CAATGCTGTACAACCACCACCACCATCCATCTCCAGAATTCTTTTCATCTTGCAAAACTGAAACTCTTAACCTGTAAACAACATCTCCCCATTATCTTCTCCCCTGAATGTCCTGATATTAATCCCTTATTAGATTTATGATTTGCAAATATTTTTGCCCACTCTGTTGACTACCCTTTAGATCTGCTGATATTGCCTTTCTTTAAAAAAAAAAAAAAAAAAAAGAGTTTATTTATTTGACAGACGGAGATCACAAGTAGGCAGAGAGGCAGGCAGAGAGAGGGAGGGGGAAGTAAGCTCCCCGCTGAGCAGAGAGCCCGACATGGGACTCGATCCCAGAACCCTGGGATCACCACCTGAGCCACCCAGGTGCCCCAGTTTCGAAATTTTTAAATCAAAAGAGGGTCAACACTGGTACTTGGACCCTAAAAGTTACAAAGATCAAAAAATGAAAATTCATGGGTAGCTCAGTGGATTGAGCCTCTGCCTTCAGCTCAGGTCATGATCTTGGGGTCCTGGGATCGAGCCCCACATGGGGCTCTCTGCTCAGTGGGAAGCCTGCTTCCCCTTCTCTCTCTGCCTCTCTACTTGTGATCTGTCAAATAAATAAATAAAATCTTTTTTAAAAAATGAAAATTCAATAATATACACTATCCAATTAGAATAAACTGAAATCAAATGAAATATAGACAACATATCCGTTTTCTTATGGTAACATATTCACTGCTAACAGAACACACAACAAAAAGGGAATTCTGTCCCTCCACACTAAATGATAAAAACCCACATAATGAAACTGAGTCACCATTCAACAGAGAAATCACAAATGTTCAATGTTCAATTATGCTTAACAAAAGCTATTACCTGGAGTTCAGCAGAAACTGATGACTACTGAGCAGACACAAATTCAATCTCACTTAATTTTTTTTAGAGTTCCACCAAAATGAAACACAGAAAAACACTTAAAAAATTCACATACCTGATTTCTTTGGAAACAGAAATTACAGGCCCAAAGCTTTGCTCGATAATCAACCTGACTGTAAGAAAGATAAATATTACAGGTAGGTACCATTTTCATTTTTAATACAGAAAGCAATCAAATGTAATCCTCAAGTTCAGTAAATCACACAGATGTGTTTCTTTGTGTGTGCAAGAATGGATGGAGGTATACAAAATGTCCACTGCAGTTAAGAGTCTGGCTGTTAAGTATGCCAAAAATTTCTTTCCTACAGCGACAATGAAGACTTAGTAAATCTTTTTTTCTATTTTCTAATTTCCTTCATAATATTTAAAATTTCATGATTTTATATAAATTATAGGTTATTCTCTTTTGCCCTATTATCTTAACTAATCTGTGCGATTTTTCTAACATCTTTATTGTTCAGATATGTGAAACTACTAAATTCCAATACTAAAAGCATGCATAGGAAAAATATGGCTGACTTTCACCTCACCTAGCTCACGTGAAAAAGTTGGGAGGCATGCTTCTGGGTTGATATACTTCCTAGAACTGGTTAAAGATAATGCTTCAGTTGCTTCTTTTCCCCCTTTCTACACTCAGAAAATTAACAAGCAAGGCTAGCTCTTCAAAAGAAGAGCAGCATTGTACATATGGGTACCTTAAGTAAAAGCAAGGGGAATGTAGTAAAAAATGTTCCCTCATATAAAAATCTTACCTTTTGAAGAATATTTCTGATACTCTTCACCTCTTTAAAAAGTTCTTTCAAATAATGCCCACATTTAAGAGAAACATCATAGGTCATCACCTCAGGTATAAAAAATTATACTTAACAATCATTAAGAGCTGTGATTTCTTCTATCACTCCTGCCACACGGCATCACCATACCAGGTAAGTAGGAGAAAACTGTTTGAAGTTTTTCATTTTTGGAAAATGCTTTAAAAAGCACCAATATAGGGGTGCCTGGGTGGCTCAGTGGGTTAAGCCTCTGCCTTCGGCTCAGGTCATGATCCCAGGGTCCTGGGATCAAGCCCCGCATCGGGCTCTCTGCTCCGCAGGGAGCCTGCCTCCACCTCTCTCTCTCTGCCTGCCTCTCTGCCTACTTGTGATCTCTGTCTGTCAAATAAATAAATAAAATCTTAAAAAAAAAAAAAAGCACCAATATAACTTATAGTTAAGCCAAAAGCAAACTGAAATTAGGAAAAAAAAAAAAAAGCAAATTTCAAATCCCTTCCCTTTGTTTCCACTTCATTCCCATAGGTTCTAATTTTACGGAAGGGAGACTGGGGAGACTTTATAAGCATTCACTGTAAGAATCTCACCGTTCACTTCTCTACTCAAATTTGATGACTTGCCCAAATTGAATCATTTTTATGAAATCATGCAAATGTCGTAATTTACTGCGTTCTTCTTTTTTACTAATTTTAAAAAGAATTCATACCAAAGTGGATTGAGAATGGCTTTGCAAGTTGTCCGGCTACAAAGCACAGGTTCATACTGTACAGGGGGCAGGTCTGGACGTTCTTTCAAAGGAGTAAGGAGACAAGCAAGGGGAACAACCATTCTCGTAGCCTCGAGACGGCTGGAAGGCCACACGTTCCAACTAAACCGCACACCATCCCGTTCTTCATTCTGCTGAATGAACTCCAGATATGTTGCCATAGTCTAAAAAGAAACTGAAGATAGAGTTGTAATTTTATGTGAAATTCTCAAACTAAACTTCAAAAAAGAAGACAGTCACCTAACGCAATGTTTTTTAAACACTTAGTCCAGAAGAACCAGTCATTGTAGGATGACATCTCTCTTCCCTTTGACCCCCAAAAGCCAAATAACTTCACAGTTATCTTTGACTATTGTTCCTTTGTCAACTCTCTCCAGAAATAAACAAAAGGTGTGGGGAGTTTACCATTATTTGATCATTTTTAAGCTTCAAGTTAGTTGAATACTAATGAAAACCTTCTCATAGATCACACATCTCAACCAAGCAAATTCTAGTTCCCCTTGCCCAAGAGTAAGTCTCAAATCCTGTTTCAGCATCCACAACCTTCCCCCCTGCCCCAAACCCCTTCCTTCTGTGCTTTAGTAAAGCAAACACTGTATTAAATTTTACCTTCCAAGTGATCTCATTTTTGTGCCCTTTCCCTTCCTCTCCTTGTTAACTGTGAAGACAAGAACTGGATGTTGATACGTGAATCCAATTCGTAATCCACCATCAGTTCTGAGCCAAAGTATTTCTACTTGGGATCACCAAAATTACAATGCTAGGTTTGCTATCATGCTGAGTGAGTCCTTCACCAGGGCTTCTCTCCTCACCATGGTTGCTTATGCTCATGCCTCAAAAGATTATGGCTAATAAAATAACCATTTAGACTAAGCTTTTCAAACTCCCACAATGCCAACTCCATCCAGTGTTTTATACATCCTTTTTACATCCTAAAATCTAGGCTAAGGCTAACACACATCTCAGCCACTTAGGGTTCAAGGGAACAAGCCGCTCACGAAAAATGGAAAAACAGGCAAATTAAAGAATCTACATTTTTAGTAGCCTCTAGTGCTCACTTTTTGCAGTGCTGAAAAACTGTCTCTATGTTATTATGAGAAGTGCCATACATACTGTAAATAATGTGGACTAAGGAAATGGTTTTTATATGGCTAGAAAGGTAAATGAAACAATTAGTTTACTGCACACAACTCATACCACAAAAATTCCAAATGTTGGCTCCAACTGAAACTCTAAGGCATATATTTATTCTTTCTGGCAAAGGCAGGATACTTAAACGCCTTTACATAGGACCCACCTCTGCAACTACCTGAGTGGGAATAAAAGCATGTTCTAATGTGACAATTCTCAGCAAGTACCTCTAAAGGTTTCATTAAAAAACTGTTTCCCCATTCAAAACACTTCATTATTAAAAGGTGGCTCCATCCAATGTCCCCAGGCAGCTACGTATTAAAATCTGCTCTTTCCATTTCCCATTGCCTCCTCCCCTTACTTCTTCTAGAGCATGGATTCTTAACTCTGGGCACAAAACCAACGGGGGATTTCAGAGAGTCAATAAATCTTCTGAAATTGTATGTAAAATTGTGTGCATGAACTAATGTGCATTTTTCTAGGGCGGTCGATTTATGGCTCACATCATACCCTCACAGATTTTCTGAAGAGGTTAATAGCTGAATGAATGAGTGAATAAAAGAACTTTAAAGATTTTGTAGCAGTATCTGCCAAAAGAACAAAGAAAACACACACACACACACACACACACACACACACACACACACACAACTGAACCGCTCATCCCATCAAAGCATAATTTTCAGAACACAGTGGACAAGTTTAAGCAAAGTTTAATGGTTGAAAAGCAGTCGGAAGACCTGGGTCCTACATCGAGCTGCCACGAATCAGAAGTCATTTCACCACATTTCGGGTTACTCAACTGAAAAAAGGTTGAATCCTTCCGCACTCCGCGATTCGAAGGGTTCCCGAGCCAGAAACCGGCCGGCCGCACCGCCAGACGAAGAACTAGTCACTCTCAGCGGACCCCTGGGTCACTGAGTCCCTAAGTTCCTCTGCCCGCCGAGAGAAGGTTTCGTCCTAGGGGCACCCACTCGGTCCCTATAGAGACTCTTGTCCGTGCCCACGGGCTCCCCATCACCGGCACTCCCACTCACCTGGCAGGAGCCCGTCACCTGGCCGCGTCCGCACCCACAGCTGCTAGCGCCCAGCTCCGGCTCCCACCGCCAAGTCCAGCTCAGCTCTCAGCCAACTGGTCAGCGTCCCTGTGCGTCACTCCACGGCGCCGTCCGCTGGCCAATCAAAGGAGGCCTCTCCGGCGGAGGAGCGGAAGCAGACTTTTAGTGAAGCCGCGCCGCCATTTTGGAATAGGGCAATACAATCGTGCCTTGGTCAAGGAAACCAAAATTCTTCAGATCCTAAGTTCCTTCACGTTCACCTCTAAACCTTTGTCCTTCAGAAAACTCCAGTGCCTGCCGGATTGCTTCCTAGGTGCAGCCTGCACGCCTCAGGGATTCGGCTGAGCGAACATGACTTCCGTTCGCCTAAGTAGGAAGTCCCTTTCATCGCCTTAGTTACCGGGAAGCGAGAATGATGACGTGTAGCACCGGAAGAAGGAGGGACCCGTGCGGGGGAGGTTGAAGCTTGCCGGGAAAAGGTTATCAGCGCGGGAAGGGGCGGGGCGAAGGGAGAGTGAGGCGGTCTGCGCTAGATGAGGGAGTTCGGCAGATAGAGAAATGCTTCCTTTAAATTATTACCAGGTTTCCTCCTTTCGCTCGCTCTGTTGGATTCACGTTCTCTGCAGGGAATGGCGCTAATGCAGTTACTCTCTGCGTGTCTGTCTCTGTCATCCATCTACGAGAAGGTGATTAATTGAGAGCTGTCATATTCAGGCATCCCAGGAGACTAACAAAACCCCTAACTCTATAGAGCACTGCTTTCCCCAACCATCACAGCCATTATACACCTTTTTATAAAAATGAGCACGTTTATTAATCTGACCCAGAAATACAGCCTTTCTGTAGTATCTAAAAATAAGAAACAAAGCTATATAAACTTAGTATTATGCTTAGAACGTGTCTAGATATCCAAGGATTACTATTTATTCAACTTAATATTAGTACAAAATTTTAAATTACTTACAGAACACCAATTAGTTTCTTTTTAAAAGATTTTTATTTATTTGACAGAGAAAGAGAGAGCACAAGTAGGAAGAGCAAGCGGGGGGTGAGGGAGAAGCAGGCTCCCCGCTGAGTAGGGAGCTCCATGTGGGGCTCCATGCCAGGACCCTGGGATCATGTACTGAGCCGAAAGCAGCCGCTTAACTGATTGAGCCACCCAGGTGCCCCAGAATACCAAATAGTTTTAAGTCCATGTACTGTGAAACATAATTACTCTTTGTTTTTACATAATTACTCTTAATATGAGAAGTCTGTGAAATAGTTATTCCGTTTTATTGAACAAATTTACGTTTTCCAAGTTCCTAAAACATTATGTCAGAGTAATGTTAGGTTATTTCATTATAAAACTTGAATAAATTTAGGAAGTTTGCACTAATTTTTCTCTCAGTAAGGAAACAAACTCAAAATACACATATATTTGTATTATGGTTTACACTGAGAAAAGACAGCTGTGGCTTTTTAATCAAACGTTAAAAGAATATCATTTGCCAAAGGCTTGCTTTGATTATTTGAACCTGGATTCTTTCAGTACTGGAAATTTATGAGAAGGATATTTTAAATACAATCTCACATTTAAAATATTGGGAGTTTTTTTTTAAAGATTGATTTTATGTATGTATGTATGTATGTATATATGGAGGGGTAAGGAGCAGAGGGAAATGGACAAGTGGACTCCACAATGAGTGCGGCACCCCTAGGGGGGTTGGATCCCACAACCCTGAGATCACTACCTAGGCAGAAATCAGTAGTCAGTTGCTTAACCAACTGAGTTTTAATCTGGTACCCTCCAGGCGCCTGTCATCCAATCAAGTTTTTGTCATTGATCATGTGGGAAAGGGTAGAGGGCTCCTTTCAGGATGGCATAAAATCCCTTTAAGGGTAGTTTCCTCTTAGGGGACATGGGGAGCTTGTCTCTGCCTGCCTTTCTTCCAACTAGCCTTCATCACTATCAGTTTTCTGTAAATTAATTTCTGTCTCTATGGAGTTGTGAAATAGCTTAGTCAAAGATAAAGACATACATCACTTGCAATCGGATGACCCTAGGGAGTCCTTTAAAAAATGCCCAGCATTCTTTGGAACTTCACCCAGTAAACTCTTTTGACTATTTCAAAATCTTTCACAATTTTCGTGACGTATTATTCATCATCTATAATCTAATTTCTGTATTTCTGGCTCATACTTATCCAACGTGAGAGTCATATATTCAGCAACAACCTGCTGGGTATCTCTGGATATTCTTGGCACTTCAGTCTCCATATGTCCTGTTAAGGTGATTGAACACGAAGGCCATTAGACTGATGTCTAAGGTCATGGCAGCCTAATAAGCAAACTAAAATGTAAGCATATAAGTGCTTCGAGGTTATGATATCAAAACACCAAGGACAGACAATCACAATGAGCCAACTGGACAATCAATTAATTTCTTCTCTTTGCTTCCATTCCTTCTCTGTGAAAGTGTTTTTCCTGACTCCTGTTGGCAGAGGACTCCAAACCACTTCTGGTTTGGTCCTGTTTGATTCTAACCGAATTTTGCTCAAATAAGCTCTTATAATTTTAATGTGCCTCAGTTTATCTTTTAAACTGAATTCATTGCTCCTCTTGCCTTAAACTAACCTATCACTTGGAGATACCATTCCTCTCCTAGTAACTAAGGAGTCCTTCCTTGTCTCTGATGTGTTTCAACACATGCCACCCCACAATATGACATGTTGGCATATTGAATATTTTAAACTGAGAGTTTTTGAGAGAGGGTAGGTGCAAGGAAGGCCCCACTGACCTCTCCTGTCTCCCTTCAAACAGGCCATAAGACCTTCATGGGAAAGGTGCCCTCCCTTTACCAGGAGGAGACATCTGTTACCTCTGCAGACAGAGGGGCGCTGTGTGAGCTGGACTAGCACTGTCTTGGGTGAATCCACCATGACTATCTCTTTGTAACCTGAAGCCTTCAGCATAGCTGCCCCCACACACCTTCTTTTCGTCTAACCACATCCTTGATACACCCTTGAGGCATGACATCCTTGACAGGCTGTGGAGTTATGACAATGACATGACACAACTATTTTCAAACATTTCCTCTGGGGGTGGTCTCCCGGGACATATTTCCCTGCCTCTAGGGCAAAAAAAAAAAAAAAAAGAAAGAAAGAAAAGAAAACAAGTCTTATGAGAGGTGGGGTTGCAGAGATCTACTCATCTTGCAGCCACCCAAACTAAAGTCCCTTTAGTAAATCATCTCTTGTCAAGCTGGACTTACTGGGCTTTTTCTTTGGTCTTATGCCTCCTTCACCCTTTGGAGATAGTATTGCATATACTTCCCTTAGATGAGGAGAGGAATCAGAATGAACAGGCCTTGCTAAGTTTCTTACTGCTTACTACCCTTAGCTCATATCTTTTTATCCCATTGAATTTTCTTCATGACCTCCCACTCTTCGTCACATAAAAACAATCTGATTTAACTGCTTTGTTGGGTTGTCATTTCTTTATGAAGGCTCCTATGTCATGTAAAACATACTTAAAAATCAATGTGTAGGGCGCCTGGGTGGCTCAGTGGGTAAAAGCCTCTGCCTTCAGCTCAGGTCATGATCCCAGGGTCTTGAGATCGAGCCCTGCATCGGGCTCTCTGCTCAGCAGGGAGCCTGCTTCCTCCCTTCTCTCTTTCTGTCTCTCTGCCTGCTTGTGATCTCTATCAAATAAATAAAAAAAATTTAAAAAATCAATTTGTATGCTTTTCTCTTGTTCATATGTTTTTTGTTTCAGAGTCCCAGCCAAGAACCTAGAAGGGTAGAAGGAAAAGATGTTTTTTCTTCCCCTACATCTCTGACACCCCAAACTTGAAACTAATAATGAATCACTTGGTCCTGTTGATTTTTCTATTCTAATTATTTCTCAGTTCCATCTATCTACTTATTTAACCCTCATTCTTTTTCGTTCAATTACTATAACAGCCCCCCCCGAATGATCTCTCTCCCCAAATTTGTCACACCTAAATCTCACTTTGATTGCTAGATAGATTTTTCAGAGTCACACATCTGACCCAGATTATCCCTTGTTTAAAACTCTACCTGGAAAAAAAAAAAGAAAGAAAGAAAGAAAAAGAAAGAAAGAAAGAAACAAACAAACAAACAAACCCAAAACCAAAAAACCTCTACCTGGCTTTCAGTCACTTACAGGATAAAGTAGATGCCCCATCTTGCTGTACAAGGGCCTCCATGATCTACTTACTTCAATTCTACAGCACTGAACCAATTGTCTTTCCTAGCCTATGTTGCTGTCTCACCTCTGTGCCCTTGTGCATGCCCTCCACACTGCTAAGAACAACCTGGTTTATGGGGAGAACAAAGGCAAAAGGAAAAAATGAAAATTTCCTTACTACTTACAGCCCATTGACAAGTCCTTGAAACAGGCAAAGTGACCTTCCTCTAGGAACTCAACAGCCTGGATGTTAATACTTTGCTAAGGGCAAAAGTCAATCTTAGCTTAACATTATCCCAACCTCCTAGATCCTTTAACATATAAAAATTCCTTTGGAAACTTCCTTTATTTCTACACCCAAGATCTGTTTAGCAATCATCCTCCAAGCAAACAGCCCACTGATATACATCTGAAGGCTAGGGTTTTACTAAATCGTAATAACTGACTTTTTCCCGACAATAGCTAGCCTCCTCAGGGTCTTGGAAACCTTGCTTCCAAAATTCCTTAGAGACTTAAACTATCCCTAACCCTCAGTTCCAACTTTAAATATAATCAATTGCTCCTCACAAACTCAGGGCAGCTCTTTCTGCCCATGGGTCCTGTCCCCATGCTTTAATAAAACCACCTTTGGGGACCAAAGACATCTCAAGAATTCTTTCTTGACCCTTTGCTTTAAACCCCAACATTTCCACATCATTGGTTGCCTCCCTTCTTTTCTCACTTAACTCCCACGTGTCCTTCAGGACTCTGAAGAAGCTTTCCTTATATTTTCCTTTCTTCTTATTGGTTAAAACAATAATACTAAGTGAAAGAAATAGAAAAGGAACCATAGAAGAGGTTAGGATGTCTAGACAGTGAGTTTGGAGAATCAGAGGCAAATTGCATAAAGAAGAGATTCTGACCTGGAAAGAAAAGTTCAGGGAAAGGAAGGTGATTCAGAAAGAGAGCCATAGAGACTGATGGCTGAGTCTGTCAGAAAAATGAAAATGAGTGGTGCCTGCCTTGCTCAGTTGGTAAAGTATCCATCTCTTGATCTTGGGCTCATGAGTTCAAGCCCCATGTTGGGTGTGGAGATTACTTAAAATAAACTCTTAAAAAAAAGAAAAATGAAAATAGTTTTTTCAAGTTCTTAAGAATGGCTCTTTCAACATCAGCAAATGATATACCAGACATAAATGTGCATTTTCATTTTTTGATTCATAAAAATGATTTTAGTTTTGAAACCAAGCTATTTCTTCTCTGATAATGACAAGCTCAGAAAAATGCTTGCCCAAGAGATAGAAAGTAAAAAAGAAAACAAGGTGGATTCATGTGTAAGTACATAATCTTTGCAATCATTGTTGACAAAAACAACCTCAGAAAGATGACATTTGAGGCCTTTACCTTATTTTTCTCCTTCTCAAAGGAAGAGCCAATTACCTTGCGACTGAGAAGAAAGACAAATCTTAAATCTTAAGGAAGGATAGATCCTTTTTCAGCCCACAGTTCCTGTTAATGGAATGTCATTGTTTATTGAACTAAAAACCACGAAGCAGGGGCATCTGGGTGGTTCAGTGGGTTAAGCCTCTGCCTTCGGCTCAGGTCATGATCTCAGGGTCCTGGGATGGAGCCCCGCATCAGGCTCTCTGCTCAGCGGGGAGCCTGCTTCCTCCTCTCTCTCTGCCTGCCTCTCTGCCTACTTGCGATCTCTGTCTGTCAAATAAATAAATAAAATCTTTAAAAAAAAAAAAACAAACACCACAAAGCAAGCAATCTCTAGGCTACAGGAATGCCTGTGATTGTTTTAATTTATATTTAAATTTTAAACAGCTTCATTGTGGTATAATTGACACACAGTAAGTTGCACATATTTACAGTGTACAATATATATATTTTTAAATTTTATTTATTTATTTGAGAGACAGAGAATGAGAAAGAGAGACAGCATGAGAAGGGGAAAGGTCAGAGGGAGAAGCAGACTCCCTGCTGGGCTGGGAGCCTGATGTAGGACTGGATCCTGGGACTCCAGGATCATGACCTGAGCCAAAGGCAGTCACTTAACCAATTGATCCACCCAGGTGCCCTAAAATTTATTTTTTTGTACAATTTATTAACTTTTGACATCCATCACCACAATCAGGATAATGAGCATGTGTAATGTTTCCTTGTGCTGCTGGTATTTTCCATAGTTTTAAATAAGTGGAATAATATGGTATGTTCTCTTTTTTTGTCTAGTTTTATCTTTCACTCAGCACAATTATTTTGAGATTAATCCATGGTATTCTGTGTCAGTTATTCATCCCTTCTGAAGTGAATAAGGTTACATTTAAAATTCAATAATATTGAACTTTTACTTTTTTAAAGATTTTATTTACTTATTTATTTGTTAGAGAGAGAGCGAGAGAGAGAGCGCACAAGCAGGCAGAGTCAAAGAGAGAAGCAGGCTCCCTGCCGAGCAAGGAGCCTAATGCAGGACTCAATCCCAGGACTCTGGGATCATGACCTGAGCAGAAGACCACAGCTTAACCAACTGAGCCACCCAGGCATCCAATAATATTGACCTTTTTTTTTTTTAAAGATTTTATTTATTTGACAGATAGAGATCATAAGTAGGCAGAGAGGCAGGCAGAGAGAGAAAGGAGGAAGCAGGCTTTCCGTGGAGCAGAGACCCTGATGTGGGGCTCGATCCCAGGACCCTGGGATCATGACTGGAGCTGAAGGCAGAGGCTTTAACCCACTGAGCCACCCAGGCACCCCTAATATTGACCTTTTAAAGAAAATTCAGAGTCTGAGGTTCAAGAAGAAAGAGTATGTCTGGCTCTTCCTAAAGAATGTGGTAGTGGGGCAGTGTATCCTTGATCACCTGCTTGTGCCTGTTCAAAAAAAAACTGCCTGAGAGTGTTCCTCAGTAACAGATACTGGAATACCTGTATTCCATTGTCATTGTTACGCAGTGAGTAAGCCCATGGGAGGGGCAAGGAAGAAGCACTTTCCTGTTCATTCCCATTTATTTGGTTTCTTTATTTTAAAAGATTTTAGTGATTTGAGAGAGAGAGCATGAGGGGACTAGGGGCAGAGGGAGACCTAGGGACAAGCAGACTCCCCGCTGAGCCAGGAGACCAGCTAGCTGGCTCTGGGCTCTATCCCAGGACCCCAAGTTCATGACCAAGCCAAAGTCAGCCACTTTTTTAACCCACTGAGCTACAGAGGTGCCGCATGTTTATTCCCATTTATAACCACACATACACACTTCTGCCCACCTCAATATAAAAGTAGGGATGCCTGGGTGGCTCAGTTGGTTAAGTGGCTGCCTTCAGCTCAGACTGTGATCCTGCAGTCCTGGGACCAAGCCCCATGTGGGGCTCCCAGCTCAGTGGGAGTCTTCTTCTCCTTTTATCCCTCCCTCCCTGCTCGTTCTCTCTCTCTCTCTCTCTCTCTCTCTCTCTCCCTCTCTCTCAAATAAACAAAATCTTTAAGAAAAAGAAAAGATTTGGATATATCTGTGAGGCATGACTGGTTCCTAAAATTTCAGGACTGCATATAATATAATAGGTGGTACACTACTTCATTGCTACCTCAGTTTCTCCAGTCTCTAAATTGGTTTGAGTATGAATCTTATCCATGTGCACCTTTTAAAAAGACAGCATTTAAAGCGATGAAAAATAACAACCAGGGCTGACAGTAACTATTGTACTAACAATTGTTTTGAAATGGGAAGGAAAAGTAATAAAAATTTCAGGAGTCCTCAACTCATAAATAGGTTATTTCTGTGTATTGGAACTAAAAACACACTTTCCTATAGAAATACATCGTAATTGTAGTAAAGAGAGAAAAAATTCTGGGCATGCCACAGCCTGTCCTAAATAAGGTGGTGAGGGAACTAGCGTTAAGAGGCAAGCGAAAGGTGGTTCACATATGATGGGAACTCTCGGGTTTGCTTCGGCCGCCATGTGCGGTAAGTACCGCCGGAGTCCACGAGCGGACCCACGACCTCCCAGAACTACAATTCCCAGAATGCCACGGTGCAGACTCCTCAGCGGATTCAGTCTTCGGACTCTCCGCACTACAGTTTCGGCTACTGGGCGAAACCGGACCCTCTGCGCTCATGGCTCCCCCAAGCAAGGCAGTTATTGTTCCCGGGAACGGAGGCGGCGATGTGGCCACCCACGGCTGGTACGGCTGGGTGAAGAAGGGGCTGCAGCAGGTAAGAGACACGTCTGGCTGCTCTGGGAAGTCGGCTTGGAGCCCGAGGGGACGGAAGGGATGGAGGGCTCGGAGGACTGAAGTTGGAACGTGTGTTCACCAGCCCCTACCCCACCCCAACACACCCCCTTCAGCAAAGGCCAGGGTGTTTTCATGCCTCTCCCTGCTGCCCCGTCTCGAACTCTAGTACTAGTGGTCGGAATTTTGGTGGGTGAAACTGCCTGGAAGACTTCTCTGAGGGCTCAGGCACTAAGAGTACAAGGCACCACTTCCTATTGCCCCCTCCGTTTCCCTGCATCTGCCCCTGGTTCAGATGATTGTACATCTGCTTCTCTGCTCCCTGCCTCTGATTTTTAAAACATCAATATGTAATATTTGATATGTACAAAAGCTGTAACATATATGTAAATTATGAAGTATAATGTAATGAATACCTGAGGCTCCATCACCAAACTAGAATCTGCAACATTAACAATACCTTCGAAGCCACATGTATGTCCCCCCATCCCATTTCCCTACCATCCTGAAATCTTTTTCATTTCCCTTCTTAAAAGTGAACGTATTTTTGCAACTATGTCCGTGTGCTTTGAACAGTATATTTAATTTGGCTTCTTTATGAGCTTTATGAAAATGGTGACCAGCTGTGGTTGTCTTGTGCATCTTGATTTTTTTTTTTTTTAACCTCTTCCATAACCAGGCAATAGGACTGCTTCCTGGATTGTCATCCTCTAGAGCTCTAGAGTACGTTTCTATAATAAAGTTCCAGGGCTGTGGCTGAAAACCAAGGCCAGAGCTACAAAACAAAAAGATCAGGGCTGAAGTTGTCCAAGAGGGTGGGATCTCCAACTTTCTCTTCCATCTTTCTGTACCATGTTTTACCTAATCCCTGGACACAGTCTGTTTGGCTACAGTTTGTCTAGAATGCATTCATTCATGATACCTCCATAGTATCTGTTTACAGCAATAAACAAAGATATATAAATGCGCATATAGGTCTCTGTATATAGCGACCTACAGAGCTAGCTACATATAGAAATACAGACAGATGGAGTTTATCACTGGAGGGATTGTGTGTTCATATGTAATCCTGTGGCACTTAACTCACTTTATTTCATAATATAAGCAAATATTTATTGAATTAATAAAGATCATATCAGGTGTCTCATTTTTTATTAGCAAAGTATTAGTTGTAATTAAGATCTTTATTATAGCTTTTTTTTCCCCTCATATCATAGATACCTGGTTTCCAGTGTTTGGCTAAAAACATGCCTGACCCAAGTAAGTTTTAAACATGTTTTTAAATAGCCTCATCTTGTTGGGTTTTGATCTTACCATTTTCCTGGTAGAGAACAAGAGTATCATCCAGAAAAGCCAAAGGGAGTATATACCTAAGAATGAATGATGGCAAGTAGTTTAGGGAAAAGGGTGTAAACCAAAAAATATTCTAGAAAATTCTAGTAAGGATCAAGAAAACACCTGGGCTTGGTAAAATTTGATTTTCAACTTTGCAGGTCACTCGATTTTCCCTTCTAGAGGTCAACAGATATTTTCAGGCAAAATTTATGGGTGTTTCATGTGAGACAGAGATATGATAAAACTTTACAGCACCTATAGGAGATTGGAATATTTCAAAATGTAATATTGCCACTTTTGTTCTGACTGTGCCTATGACCTGTGTCAGGAAATTTTTCTTGGGAAAAAAGAATATATATATGTGCATATGAATTTGAGAATGTGGTCTAGAGTTTTTTTTCTTAAGTTTGAAAGTTCACATTAAAGCTTCAGAGTTACATTTTTATTTCTTCAGCATTTTCTTATAAGAACATGGTGAAAAATAAAAGCAAAATCAGATAGATAGATGGATAGATAGACCAAAACTGTGGATTTGAGTCTTTAAAACAGCAACACAGCAACAACAGCCAGTACATCATTGGCTCTGTTAAAACAGCCCCATCCTGTCCTGCAGTTCTTAAATTGAGAAGTGCTGAGTAGTCATTGTTTAGAAAGGTGGGACAACATTAGACTATAAGACTGTCCTATCAAATGACACACTCTTTCTTTACCCTGAACCTTAGTTACGGCTCGAGAGAGCATCTGGCTGCCCTTCATGGAGGCGGAGCTGCACTGTGATGAGAAGACCATCATCATAGGACACAGTTCTGGGGCCATTGCAGCCATGAGGTGCGATCCTGCTGAATTCTCCCCCGATGTGGGCTCCAGCTGGTTTGCAGACCTCATTGCAGTTCCTTGAACATGCCAAGTGTGCACCCGCCTTAGGCCTGTGTTTGCCATTGTTTTACGTGGAATACTCTGATCCTAGCTACTTGTATGGCTTTCTCTTCTTTAAATCTCTAATGTCTCTTTCCACTAAGGCCTTCTCTAGTCACTTCAGATGAAACAGCAACTTCACCTCGCTGGCTCCTATCCCCTTTATATCTTGGTATCCCCTTTTTATCTATAGCACTTTTCACCACCTGATGTCCTGTTTATTTGTCTGTCTCCAGCCAATAGAAATGTGAGCTCTGTGAGGGTGGGATTTTGTTCACTCTGACACTGAAACCAGACACCTAGAAGAGTGTCTGGAATACGGTAGGTGCTCAGTAAATATTTGTTGGAGGGTGGAGGCTATTATCTCCCTGCACCCCCCCCCCCCCCCCGCAAAGTCCTTAGGATTCATGGTGCCTCCCTGATGCTCTTAGTTAGAACATCAGGTCTCTCTCCCTTTAAGCTTATAAGGCCTAGAGGATAGGACTTACTGGCTGAGTAAGCATATTAGGGTTGAGTTTCTTCCATATTTGCTAGGAATATAGTTTTTGTGTAGCCCCTTGGCCCAAGCAGTTGCTCAGGGTGTCCTATGAATTGCTTGTCAGAGAATCTTGCCAGATTCCATAATCTTTCTGCCACACCATTCAAAGCTCTGAGATATTGCTTCCCAATGTGGAGCTACAGAATTTCTGTATAGTCCTAATGTTTATAAACTGCTAGGGGTTGTCTGGAAAATGAAGAAATCCCTTTATGCTGAAATCTGTACCAATCCAAGGCCACTGAATTTTTCTCAGGCCACTGACTACTAAAGTTGTGTCTTCTTTTAAAAAAATCCCTGAAACTTACTGTGGGATTATTTGCAACCTTCTAAAAATTAACTTCTAGAGTTAAGGTAGGCAAGGAGAAAATAGATGCCAAAACTATGGGGTATAAGACTGTAGGGGAACAGGAGATTGATCGAGTCACAGAGGACCACCCCACAGATTACTTACTATTCACGAAGGGGACAATTGTGTCTACAAGGGATATCTGATAGCACTCACCCTAAATAATCACACTTAATCTCACCAGTAAAGGGACTCTGGCATTGTGTGTCTCTGACGTGACGGAGTGGGATGGACACATCGCCTATGTAGTATTCTTGCCAAAAATGTTTAACCTCTAACCTCTGATCTCGAGGAAAACAGCCAAATTCAGTTTAGGGGATGATGTACAAGACAACTGGCTTAAAGTCTTAAATGTCAATGTCATTTAAAACAAAAAACTTAAAAGTGACTAGAGAGTCATGAAAACCAAATGCAGTGCATGATCTTTATCTAGGATTGAAAAGCAGTTTTAAAGAACATTTTTGGTACAACTGGGGAAAAATGAATACAGATAGTATTACCGTTTCTATGCTAAATGCACTATCTGTAATAATGGCACTGCGGATATATGAGACTACCTTGTTCTTAGGGGATACATGTTGACATGTTTAGGTGTGAAATGTGGTAAAATAAATGAATAGGTGCTTGTTTTAGGTTTGAAATTTTTCAAAACAAATGTTGGGACAGCAGCTCTTTCTGCCCACGGGTCCTGTGCCTATGCTTTATTCAAACCACTTTTTTTCACCAAACAAAACAAAACAAACAAAAACAATAAATGGCTGGGCAAAAATTTTAGGCTGAAAACAAAATACCAACCCTAAGTCTTTCCTGGCCCAAAGGCCTCTGGAAACAATGACCACTCCGCATCTTTCCCTAGCCTAGTCTTTGCTGAGTGAGCAGAACCTTCTGCAAATGGCTGAGTGTCCGTTTGCCAGGCACTATACTAGACACCGGGGTCACAAAGATCAAGGAGACTGACACCTCCTTAAGGAGCTGAAGGTTTATTGGAGAAGATAGATATAATATGACACAAACAATTACTACAACGCAATGTAGTGTGTGGCAAAAGAGGTACATTTCCATCATGGTACAGAATTTCTTAAAATATGGTTCACAGATCACTGGTATTTGTCATCTGGGTTGGAGAAGGTGTCATGCCTTAAAATGCAGATTCCTGGGCCTTGTATCAAGCCTCTGCATCAGATGCTCTGGGCTGAATCTCCAGGTTGACCAACAAAGCAATGCTGATGCACACTGAAGGTAGGTTGATAGGCACATCAAAGAGAATGATTACACTTTTTATGTTTTTTTGGAAAGGATTACCAAAGAGGTTTGGACTACCTTGAAAGAGTAGAAACTCACCAAGTGGCCAAGGGTAAGCCATTAACACCGGGCTTGTAGTTCTGCAGTTTTCTTCCTATTTTTCATGTTAAACTCAACAAGTGATAGCACCTGCTTTCTGTAAGCTGAATCAAATGAGTTTTCAGGTTTGGTTTTGTTTTACTTTTTGGCAGTCAGATTTAACACTAAGTTAGCTGACATCATTTCTCTTTCTTCAGGTATGCAGAAACACACCGAGTATATGCTATTGTGTTAGTGTCTGCATACACCTCCGACTTGGGGGATGAAAATGAGCGGGCCAGTGGTAAGTTTGAAGGCAGAAACCAATACAGAAAAGCCTTTCCTCTAGTCACAAGGATGCTTGTTCAGTTTAAACAGCACTGACTTGGGGCGTCTGGGTGGCTCAGTGGGTTAAAGCCTCTGCCTTCGGCTCAGGTCATGATCCCAGGGTCCTGGGATCGAGCCCCCGCTTCGGGCTCTCTGCTCAGCAGGGAGCCTGCTTTCTCTCTCTCTCTCTCTCTGCCTGCCTCTCTGCCTACTTGTGATCTGTCAAATAAATAAATAAAATCTTAAAAAAAAAATTAAACAGCACTGACTTTTGGATAGGCTAAAAAAACCTCTAGTAGCATTTGAGAAACATTTACTGCCCTTCTTTAGATGCAAATTAGGCCCTTTGAGAGGTGATAGACCACTTCCTAATACATTGAACCCTGATTTTATCTGAGCCATGTACTCCCCCTTCCCAAGTGACTATGGTATGGAGCTCTACAGATTTGAAAACTAAAGGATTTCTAACTTGCACGTAGGCACTTAATCTTTGTGTCTCTGCTATGGTCTTTGCTATATATTTTATAGTGGCTAGAATGGAAATTATCCATGGGTGGTAATAGGTTATATATGTTTTTTTTTTTTTCCCATAGGATACTTCAACCGTCCCTGGCAGTGGGAGAAGATCAAAGCCAACTGCCCTCACATTGTACAGTTTGGCTCCACTGATGATCCTTTCCTTCCCTGGAAGGAACAACAGGAAGTGGCTGATAGGCTGGAAGCCAAATTGTACAAATTCACTGACCGTGGCCACTTTCAGAATATGGAGTTTCATGAACTGATTAGTGTGGTAAAGTCTATGCTGGTTTCAGCATAGACAGGATGGTTTCTGCTATTTTGCATTCCAGTATACGGACAGAGCAATTATCAGGTTATTAATAGATAAAAATCATCTGTGACCAGATGATTAGTGGACACATAAATCAAATTAAGTTCTAAAAAAACCACAAGTTCAATGTTCAAAATAAGTTAGAAACAGCATTTCCATTTTCCATAGGATCTGTATCTCACAAACTGCTATGAACTGAAGCAGTGTTTTTCCCATTTGATTTGGGACATAAGGACAGTTTATCTACCTTTATCTGTCCAAAGTGAATAAGCAGAAGTGGAATCCAGGTTTCCGGATTCCCAGTCCAGATTAAAACGAACTACTTCTGTGTATGTTGTAGGAGTGGTACTCCTCTTTGGAATGAACCTTTTGTTATTTTGGGAGGAAAGAAAACCTGACTAAAGGTCCAGAGTGCTGGCTTAGAGCTCAAACCACTAGCTATTTTGGGCTGGCCCAGGACATTAAACCCAGACCAGGGCCTCCCATCTTTATGACACCCTGCCCCGGTCCTTCATGCTGAGGAAGAATGACCCATACGTAACTAAGAGTCGGGTCTGCCAGGTCAGACAGTGACCATAAGCCCAACCTGGACATACACATGAGCACAGCCAATCAGATCTGTGCTAGACTAGAGTGGTAGTGATTAGGGCAACATGGGGAACTCATGCCTTGTCTACATTGTTGCCATGTGGGAAGGGTGAAGGGTATTGCCAATTTTCTGATTTTTCAAGGAAAAAACTCAATTCAGTGGTTTTTATATTTAGGGACTATATATATGTTTGTATACACAGTTCATATGTATATGAGTTACATTCAGTACACGTACATATGGATGATGTAATTTGGCAGTGACAGCATCAATAAAAATTTTACAGACACTGCAAGACACACAAAGTCCAAGTCACCCATTTGTGACCTCTGCCATTGGGACTGACTTAGCCAGGTGCTTTAAATGATTCTTTGTGAAGCATAAGAAATGAACATAATGTCAAAGGATGCAATCATGGGAATAATTTGGATTTTGTTACAAAATCTTAACTATTTTTTAAAAGAATCTTTCCATACCTCAAATTTTGTTCTGTAAAGAATTCTACCTTTTAACTTCCATGGTCCTTTGGCTCTCATTTAAGCCTTATTCCATGATTTCTTTTTTTTTTTCTGATCATATTCCCTCAAAAAAAAAATGCTTTTTATTTTCCAACATTTTTTGGCTATTATGATCCCTAAGTCTTGCCTCAAACTAGCAGTGACTTCATACTTGATGTTGCACAACCTGATGTTTGCTGCAAAGATGTGAATTCCCTGTTTATGTCTAAAGGAGATTCAAAGCCATCATTTTAACCTGAATTTGGTTTCTAAATGTGATCAAAGAAAAAAAAGACTCTCATCATTTAATGGCAATTATCTTTGGGGAATGGGAATTTTAGATATGGTGTGGTGGGAGTCTCCTTTTTATTTACCTGGGTATTTGAGTTTATTATAGTGAACATGTATTACTTTTATAATTAAAAAAATTAAGAATTAAAACAACTCATTTGACATGTTAGTGAAAAGCAAATTCAATAAATCAATTGAATAATAATTTTCTTAAAGAGGTTGTTTAGCAATAATTTGATCAAGCCTATAACCAAAATCTGATTCTATTTGGATTATTTAGAATTAGTCATTGCTTTACTTACTCTCAGTCTTGTTTTCTGAAGTCCTTTGTCAAAAAATTACAAACTGGGGCACCTGGGTGGCTCAATGGGTTAAAGCCTCTGCCTTTGGCTCGGGTCGTGATCCCAGGGTCCTGGGATTGAACCCCGCATCAGGCTCTCTGCTCAGCAGGGAGCCTGTTTCCCCCTCTCTCTGTCTCTGCCTGCCTCTCTGCCTACTTGCGATCTCTGTCAAATAAATAAATAAAATCTTAAAAAAAAAGAGAAGCCATAAAAAAAATTACAGACTTATACAAATAAGTTAATAATATTATGTTGTCCTCCTCTTCCACAGAAAGGCAACAAATCTATACAATTGAGAAATAAGTAATTGTGATATTCTTCATTCCTATAATTAATCTAGACCTAGTTGTGTTATCCAATATGGTAGCTAATAACCACAGGGAGCTAAAAGATTAAAAATTCAGTTCTTCATTCACACTTGAAATTTATACATTTCAAGTTTTAACAGCCCAGGTGACTAGTGGCTGCTTTGCTGAACAGTAGATATGGAATACTGTCATCCTTATAAAAAGTTTGTGGGACAGCAGTAGTCTAGGACATGTATTTTTATTCTTCCTACCCACCATGTAATAATAATGGTTCAAAGTAAAAGTCACTCAACTTGAAATTGTTTGACTCATTTACTCAGTTGATCGCTGTAAAAATCATGGCTGCATAAAATTTACTCTTCACCAAATTAAGCTCAGAGGAGTTTTATAGAAGAATCCCACATAAACTACCCATTTAAACCACTGAATCATGGTCTCTCATGACTGATTCCCAATGGATCATTATTAAGCAGAGTTGAGGGGCCCTAACCGACTCCAGGGAATATCTATACTTAGGTGACCAAAATATCTTATACTAAATGGAAATCAACTGTAAGGATTAGGACTTCACTCACAATTTGATTTTCTCGTGTCAGGAGTCAATAGCTCCATAATTTGTTTTAGTCACAGTTTACTTCTGATGGGTAAATATCCACTTAACTATGTATTAAAGACACAGTATTTTTGTCTCTTTTCTCCTTCAGCTACTATTTAGAATGAAAAACATGCTGTGGGAAAAGCATTTATGTTGCGGTCTCAGATTGTAAGCTTTAAAATCTTTGGCTGTCAAGACACAATGCAAAGTCTGTATTTAATACATGAACTGCTTCCTTCTCCCCACCTGTACCTCTTCCCCAAGTTCAGTTTTCTCATTAAATAAGACTAGCACTTTCATGACAGGCCAGGTCCCAAGGACAGATAATGTTACTATTCCAGCACTCTCTGCGGGTGTTGTAGTTTCAGGCTCCCAGATTCTTCTCTATATATCCAATACCTGAAATGATCTTTGTTTCAAAGTCCTAGTGTTAGTGATTATATTTCTATAGAGCTGGCCACAGTCTCCACCTGGTTCTTAGTTGGTTACTGAACTGAATTTTATTTTATTGATCCCATATATCTCAAAATAACCCTTCTGATGTTTACCACTTGGAGTATATCCAAACTGGTGTTTGAACTCAGGCCTCAGTAGTAGCTGGCTTTGAGTTCCTTTCCTTTGGTCCCATGCTTTTGGCTTGGACACAGAAATCATTAAGTAGAGCTACAAAGTGAAAATACAATTGCTGAGATCCTAAAAAGCTAACTTCTGTGCAACAATACACCAAATAACGCAGGCTTGAAAGTACTATTAGAACTGAGAAAAATTATAATGGCTTTTTGCTTAGGTTAGACCAATTACACCATGACTTCTAAGACCGTAAAGAAAAAAAATCTAAAATAAGACAAGAAAAGTGGAGTGGTACCCCGCTCACAATAAAGTGTGAATGGAGGGCAATGCATTATAGGGCAATTCTAGCAAATAAGGCAGCTGAGCCACAGAGTGAAACTTGGAAGACTCTGACAAAGAAGGATCAGTGAAAACATTCTCTTTAGGACTAGAATAATCATATTTATGCACTGAAAACATCTCTGGCAACAGTCATTTGCATTTGAGGTAAGAACAAAGGCATAATACTCAAAGAATATTTCTGATGTAAAAAGGAATGAATAGTGTGTGGAAAGGGATGTTCCACACTTTCCCCCACTCATGCCTCTAAGTGCTATTCCTGCCTCACCGCTTTTGATTCCTTCCCAATGAAACCACTGAGAAAAGAGAAAACTAATGGCAATAGTGAACAGATAAAACTTTCCAATGAAGACCTTAATAAATAACTTTAAAATGGGCATTTTTAAACTTTAGTCATTATTGTAGTATATGGCAAACATGGATTTGTTGGCTTCTTTTTCCATGAACCATCAAAAGTCTTGAAAGCTTCAGAGGTGGTCTTCTGGAAGTTCAAAGTATTATATTTATTGAAGAATGAATTTCACTATTAACCTTACCTGTTTCATATTCTGTTGGCTACTCTACCAATATAAATTTAGTCTTCATAGATTAAAAAAATACTTTTGCATAGCAGCACGTCTGTCCATTATTGTGAAGTTTGCTTTCAAGGGAATTTGATGTTCCATCGTGAGTTAAATTATCTGCTCCCAAAGTAACTTCATTTGCAAAATGTCAGTAAAGTTCCTATTCTCTGTTAAAATTCGAGCCACTCTGTCATATAAATACAGTTAGATGGTGAAATCTCACCACCTTCATGGCAGTCATCAAAAACCTTTAAAAAAGATAAAAGTTTACAATCAAATGAGAGTTTTAAAATTATTACATTATAAGTCTTAAATGTCACCTCTAACTAAAATTTCTGTTAAAAGTATCCAAGATCCAACCATTTTTTAAAGCAGTATTAAAAATAAAATTTTAAGGGCACCTGCATGGCTCAGTTGGTTGTGTCTGCCTTTGGCTCAGGTCATGATCCCAGGGTCCTGGGATCAAGCTCCATGTCAGGTTCCCTGCTCAGCAGGGAGTCTGCTTCTCCCTCTCCCCACTGCTTGTTCTCTCTCTTTCCCTCTCTCAAATAAAAAAAACAAAATCTTTAAAAAAATACATTTCAAAATAAAAGTTTCAGGGGCACCTGGGTGGCTCAGTGGGTTAAGCCTCTGCCTTCGGCTCAGGTCATGATCTCAGGGTCCTGGGATCAAGTCCCGCATCGGGCTCTCTGCTCAGCGGAGAACCTGCTTCCTCCTCTATCTCTCTCTCTGCCTGCCTCTCTGCCTACTTGTGATCTCTCTCTGTGAAATAAATAAATAAAGTCTTTAAAAAAAAAAAAAAGTTTCAAAGAGACTAGGGCTGTGTTTAAGAACATGCTGTAATAGACCTGCTGTGTGATTATAAAGTTCGTGAATATGAGGCCTTTCGCTGTAGCACTAAGATGATCTGAGCATCTGCCCACTGGGCCAAAGGCTATCAGCAGGTAACTGGAAAGCAGACCTATATATATGTTTCACTAACCAAATGTTTCATGTTAGCTATATTCGTTTTTGTGAAGAATTCCCACATATGCTCGCTGTTTTTTCTGGGACTTAAAACCAGCATACAAAGAACTTAGGCATATAGACAAGGGCTGGTTTAATGAAATAAAACTGACACCGGCAGCCCCCGAATATAAACACCCCGAGGGCAGAAGGAGCGCCTGCAGCATGCAGCCAGCATGCACATGCCACGTGGGACCAGATGAATGAAGAGTAGTGGGGTGTGCTGCGGGGGAAAGAACATGTCTGGGTTCCCATCCTGGGTGTTACTTCAAAGCTGTAGCTCCTACACCTTCGTTATCTTCATGCTTATGCAGAAATAATACCACTAGCTCCAAGGGACAGAACTAGGATTAAATGAGACCGACCATGAAAATCTTCAAGGATATGCCTGGACTATAGTGGGTTCTCAGCAAATCTCGTTTTCCTCCCTACTTTGGTTAAATGATCAGCCCTCATTAAAAACTGTCCATTTCAGGGCCAAGGGCAGAAAACACAAATTTCTCTAACTTGGTTATTCTAAAAAAGAACGTAAAGCAATGACTTGTTCATCAAGGGCCCGTCGTCAAGGTTACATGGAGGTTTGAGCTGCTGTTGGGCAACCCTGACAGTCAGAAAACTGGGGTGTGCTTGCTGTTAAGTTAGGTGGCATTTGCACCTGCTGGCAGTCAGGTATGATGTGAAGCCACTTTAACTCACCGGGCAGAGTCCACACGGTGCCCGGACCAAACCCGTGGGCGGGATGATTGGATTGACTGCTCTGTACAGTTTCATGTGTCCGTCTACACTGCCAACTGTGCCTTCTTTTGCAGCAATGATAGTCATCTCCACTTTCCCATCATAAATGAGTGTATTTAAGATCGTTTCAATGTCCTCCATGGACAACTCTACCTGAAAAGGAAATGCATTAGGAAGAACATAAAAAGCACAAGAAGACAACCTTTTGGAGAGTCTTTAAACAGTAAAAGGTCCTCAATGCCTTGGTGAAATGGGGAAGCATTATGCTGGTGAGTCATTAAAAGCATGGGTTGAAGAGCCCAGGTTAGCACAAACCACTGAAATGCTAGGGACAGAACTCCTAACTCATGTCGAATTTGACACTCTTATTTTTCCACCCTCTTCAGTAAAATTTAGAACTCTTCTAAAGTAACAGTTTTGGGGCAAGAATATGATGGAGATTTACAAAACGGTTGAACAGAAAGTTACTTTAAATATCAAACAGTCCAAATTCCTTCTTTTTTATAAATGAGAGATCTGGGGTCTGGGAAATGAAAATGACTTGTCCAAATGGTCACTTCAGTTTCTTCTCTGATTATGAAAAGCACCCGGCACTGTGTCTTTATGTACAGGTCTTCAAAAGCATATGCTGACAACACCACTCACATCTTACACGGGGAACACGATACCAATTAAATGACAGCTGATGGGATGGCTGATGTTTGGCTTCTACATTGAAAGGTCCCTGAGAAAGTCAAGACCTTGTCAACAGACTATTGCATTTTGGTAGTACAACGCATTGCCAGGCCTGTACTCTACTGCTTGTATCCCAAGCTGAGTACATACAGAGCCCACAGTGCCTGATGGCATGATAGTCATCTTAGTCTAAATGGCTTAGGACAGTGCTTTCTCAAAGTGGGTTCTGCAGAATGTTCACCCTGAAAAAAGGGTCTTGGTCAAATACGTTTAGAATACTTTGTAAACTATATCCCTATGATGAAGAGTAACCTTTAAAAAAGTAAGATGAGGGATGCCTGGGTGGCTCAGTTGGTTAAGCTGCTGCCTTTGGCTCAGGTCACGATCCCAGGGTCCTGGGATCGAGTCCTGAATTGGGCTCCTTTCTCAGCGGGGAGCCTACTTCTCTCTCTTCCACTGCCTGTCACTCTGCCTGCTTGTGTGTTCTCTTTCTCTGACAAATAAATAAATAAATAAAATCTTAAAAAAAAAATTTAAACATAAGATGAAAATAAAAACTGTGCTCTCACCTTACTGATCCCCAGTTCACAGATGTACTTCCACACTTCATGTGATGAGGCAAATGAACTATTTCTTTGTATCATTGGATTCTGTTTGCTTTCTCGTGCTGTTTCTGCCTACAAGGGTAGAACCATAAATCTCAGCAAGAACACTAGTATTTTATGAATACAATTATTTAGTGTGATATCAATAGCAGAATATATTAAGAAAAAATTACCAATTTGAATATTTTCAAGTCCTATAAAATATGATATACAAGATTGTTCATTCATTCTTTGTGAAGCAACTTTTAAAAAAAGACCTGCAGTGATGTTTCCTGAATTATGGCTCACCTTGGTTTGTAGGAATTTAAAACACTGTTGGTTAAGCACCTCTACAAATTCTGATTCAAAATCCTGATCACTGTACCAGGCTCCACCAGTCACAGATCGGTCCGGTTGCAGGTTATAGAGCATGTATACTTTCTTTTTTGAGGCCTAGGGAAAAAATGTACAGCAGATGTGGTTATAAGATAACCAAGTCTTCCAGGGGTGCCTGATTAAGCGTCTGACTCTTGGTCTCAGCTCAAGTCATGATCTCAGGGGTCATGAGATCGAGCCCCCGGCTTGTGCCCATGCACACTCTATAAATCAATCAATCAATCTTGGTGGGGGGGGGGGGAAGATAATCAAGTCTTCCAAAACTGAGATTTAAAAAAACCCTTGGGGTGCCTAGTGGTTAACCTAGTTGGTTAAGCGCCTGCTTTCGGATCAGGTTTTGATACTGGGGTCCTGGGATCGAGCCCTGCATCGGGATCCCTGCTCCGTAGGGAGCCTGCCTCTCCTCCTCCTTCTGCTGCTCCCCCTGTCAACTAAATAAATAAGACCTTTAAAAAATAAAATAATTTTAAAAGCCCTCAACACTTTTTTTTTTTTTTTTGGAGTCAGGGGTGAGAGAGGGAGAGAGACTTAAGCAGGTTCCACACCCAGCACAGAACTGACCCTGAGATCATGAACTGAGCTAAGATCAAGAATCGAATGCTTACCTGACTGACCACCCAGGCACCCTTCAGAATTTTATATTTTAAGCAGTTTCAGATTTATACAATTATTGTAAAGATGGTACATTTACCTTGTGCTCAGTTTCCCCTCTTAACATCTTACATTAGTAGGGTGCATTTATTACAATTAATGAACCAATATTGATGCATTATTATTAACTAAAGTCCATACTTCTTTGGGGTTTCCTTAGTTTTTGCCTAATATCCTTCTTCTGGCCCAAGAACGTATTCAGGATACCACATTACATTTACTTGTCATGTTTCCTTGGCAGATTCCCAAACTTTCCTTGCTTTTGATAACTTGCCAGTTCTGAGAATTACTGGACATCTGTTGACTGGGATTTGTCTGATGTTTTTCTCACAAGATCAGGAGAAGGACCACGGAGGAAACGTGCCCTTCTCATCACATCCTGTCAAGGGCACTCAAACTTCAAGTTATGACTGATCACCACCAATAGGACTTCTCAGTGTTGAGGTTAACCTTGATCATGTGGCTTGTTTCTCCACTGTAAACTGACTTTTTTCACCTAGCCTTTCCATGTGTGGAAGGAAATCACTATGCACAGCCCACACTTAAGGAGTCGGAGTTACTTTCTACTTCCTTGAGGGTGGAATGTCCACTTTAGATTACTTGGACGACTTCCGCACAGGAGGCTTATCTATTCTGCATCTACTCATGGGAGATCTGTTATTTATTTACTTATTTGAGAGGGAGAGAGAGAGCAAGTACAAGTGGCGGGGAGGGAGTGGGACAGTCAGACTCTGCACTGAGCCTGGAGTCCAGTGTGGGGCTTAACCTCACAACCTTCAGATCTCGACCTGAGCCAAAATCAAGAGTTGGACGCTTAACTGGCTGAGCCACCCAGGCGACCTGATCCGTCATTTATTTATTTAAACATTTATATCCGTATGGACTCATAAATATCTTTTTATACTTTGGGTTATAATCTAATACTACTTTAGTTTGAAACCTTGAGAACATGATATAAATGAAAGAAGCCCGACACAAAAGACTACACAGTGTATGATTCTGTTTATACGAAATGTCCAGAGTAGGCAAATCTCCAGGGACAGAAACTACATGTCAGTGCCTATGGGCAGGGAGGCTGGGAAGTGACTCCTAGTGGGATATTTCAGGGGTGATCAAAATGTCCTAAAATTAGAATAATGTGATAGATGCATGACTGTGAGTATACCATAAACTACCAAAATGTACATTTTAAGCATATGAATTTAACGGTATATCAATGATTTCAATAAAACTGTTATTAAAAATAAAGATGGAGGGGCGCCTGGGTGGCTCAGTGGGTTAAGCCTCTGTGTCTCTCTCGGTCAAATAAATAAATAAATAAATAAATTTTTAAAAAAGATTTTGTTTAGGAGCGTCTGGGTGGCTCAGTGGGTTAAAGCCTCTGCCTTTGGCTCAGGTCATGGTCTCAGGGTCCTGGGATCGAGCCCCACATTGGGCTCTCTGCTTAGCAAGGAGCCTGCTTCCTCCTCTCTCTCTGCCTGCCTCTCTGCCTACTTGTGATCTCTGTGTCAAATAAATAAATAAAATCTTTAAAAATAAATAAAGATGGAGAAGAAAGATTGGTAAAGTGAAGCTGGGCGATCAGTATGTGGGGACTTATATCATTTTCTCTACTTTTGTATATATTTGAAATCGTCCATTAAAAAGGCTGAAGGGAGGTAATGTTCTAAATTAGGGACTGGGGAGCCCCTGCGTGGCACAGTTGGTTAAGCGTCTGGCTACTGATTTTGGCTCAGGTCATGATCTCAGGGTTGTGAGATCGAGTCCCGTGTCAGGCTCCATGCTCAGCTCCAGGTCTGTTGGAGATTCTCTCTCTTCTTACCCCATTCCCCTCCCTGTGATCGTGCACACGCGCTCTCTCTAATAATAAATAAAATCTTTACAGTAAATAAATAAATAAGGGAGTAAGCTAAAAATAAAATCTCGGATGAACATCAAATTCTTTTTTTTAATTATTTTTAAGAGTTTTTATTTATTTATTTGACAAACAGATCACACGTAGGCAGAGAGGCAGGCAGAGAAAGACAGGAGGAAGCAGGCTCCCCACTAAGCAGAGAGGCTGATGTGGAGCTCTATCCCAGGACCCTGGGATCATGACCTGAGCCGAAGGCAGAGGCTTTAACCCACTGAGCCACCCCGGCACCCTGAACATCAAATTCTTATTTGCTGAAATCCTCATTCAATCAAACTTAAGAGGAATCTCGGCTTTTCTGCTGCTGGGTCAGTGAGGTCAGCAGCTGGTGTCCCTGTGGAGTAGAAACCCCTGCAGGAGATCATGGGAGGGGAGCAGGGTGGTGTGGGAGAGGAGGAGAAACGCCATATCCTGGAACGGACCCTCTACCAGGACAGAGATCTTCCTCTGACTTGTTCACTAACGTAGCCCAAGCACGCACAAAAGTGCCTGGCACAGAGCAAACATACAATAGGTATTTGTTGAATGAGTGATCTAATAGCTAAAATGAAGTAAATTATCTCACATGCTGAAAATCCAGGAAAAATGTTTATGATTCAAAAACTCCTTATTGAAGAGTATAGTAGTTTTAGCTTTTCAAGTTGGTGAGACACAAGGAATTAATTAGGTGGTGATAAATCTAAGCAACGTCTCCAAACCAATCCAATATGAGCTAAATTTTTAAAAATCTTTTCGACTGGTAGTTTTAAATCATGACATAGCTTGAAGAACAATAAGATCTCGAAACATATTCAGAGCAAAACATATACAATGAATACTTCGGGGAAGGAAAGAGAAAACTACTCACTGCCACAGACTTAACAGCTTTGATAAGCTTTTTACTTTCCAAATTCTTTAGAATTTTGTTAATTTCTGTTAATGGCAAGTTACTTTTGTACCGGATATCTCTGCTCCATATTCCTGTAAGAAAATAAAGTAAAATGAGTTCAACACCACAGGATTTGTGTTTATAGTCCTATTGCTTACATCACAGGACAAAACTAGCAAAATATGTATATATGTATACATTCCTAGGGCATAGCTATTGGAAAAACAGAAGTAAGAATCTCAGATAACAACAAAAGTATGCAAAACGTAAGTTATGTGCTCTATCTGCTAACCAGAAAGTTCTTGGGACTCCTAGTGTGACACCTTTTTAAAAACGTGTGAAAAAGATACTTTTCAATGGAAGAAAAATCTTAAATGTTATTGCATTAACTTACATTGTCTCTTCCATCCCCTTCCACACCCCAACTTTTGTTTTCTATTATTTTTACTTTAGATTGTATTTAGATTATAACTTAAATTTGAGCCAAGGTCAGGTGCCACTGTCAATGGAGAGCAAAAAAACTCTTTATGTAAGCATCTGTGTGCATGTATACCCATTATTTATATCCTATATTTAGGAGATGAAAAAATGGAAGACTGCAGTTCTTATAGCCACCGAAAGTCCTGTGCAAGAAGCTAGGATTTCTGTTTCAAAGAAGGGTTGTATGTGGAATTTTTTATTAAACATATTTCCTATCTTCTTTCCAGCACAGAGGCATAATGAGATAGGAAGAATTAAAAAAACAAAACAAGGGACGCCTGGGTGGCTCAGTTGGTTAAGCAGCTGCCTTCGGCTCAGGTCATGATCCCAGCGTCCTGGGATCAAGTCCCACATCGGGCTCCTTGTTCTGTGGGGAGCCTGCTTCTCCCTCTGCCTCTGCTTGCCACTCTGTCTGCCTGTGCTCGCTCTCTCTCTTTCTGACAAATAAATAAATAAAATCTTAAAAAAAAAACCAAAAAACCATAGAGATGGGGGGTGCCTGGGTAGCTTAGTCTGTTAAGTGTCTGCCTTTGGCTCAGGTTGTGGTACTGGGGTTCTGGGATCCAGCCCCACATGGGGCTCCCTGCTCAGTGGGGAGTCTGCTTCTTCCTCTCCCCGCTTGTTCTCTCTCCCTCATTCAAGTAAATAAATACTTAAAAAAAAAGAGAGAATGGCTTTTGTCATGTCTATTTTTAAAATATTAAACTCCTAATAATATAAGAATGATATGATTTCAAATTATATCATTGCTGATACATTGTTGAAACTAATATCAGGGACTCAGATAGATCCTAAGTTGTAGTAATAGCTATTAGGTATAGTTCTGTAAGAAGGATAGAGAAAACGGAACAGTTGCTGAGGGATCTCTATCGGGACACTGCGACAGTGCACTGGACATCCCTCTGGTTTTGGCAAAAACCACAGAGAGAGATGGTATTATCCACAATTTACAGGTAAGATGAAGATGAAGAAATGAAGGCCTCCAAAGTTTAGAAGTGAGAATTGAAAAACAAAAACAAAAACAAAAAAACCCTTAAGTTTTAACTGGTTTATTTTCTATCGACAGTACATTCCCATGGTTCAGAATTTATAACTTTCTTTCCATCCTGGCCCACAGCCACCTAGCTCCTGCCTCCCTACTAATAGGAATGGCATCACACCTGGGTGTCCTTCAAACATATGCATGTTACATATTTCTATTTCCTCTTCTTTTAACATACATGGCAACATTCTCTATATGTCGATCTGCACCCTGGCAAGCCAGAGCTCAGTCCCTATTTCTGGTCCTAAAGACAATGTTTTTTTCTGTTTCTTCCTTCACATGCTTACCTTTATTCACATGCTTACCTTTATTTCCTGCATCTTCTATGATTTGATATACTAGTTTTTCTTGGTTATCTGATCCTTTCATTTTACTGCAGGGGAATAAAGTAGAATTAAAAAGGCAAAGAGATACAGGATAATCTAATAATCTACATGACTATTTTAATGAATTAGCAGACAAGGTCATCACATTGACTTATTTACCAAAATAAGGGCTTACCTTAAAAAGAATGATACAGGGCTGTATGTACCAGAATGAAAAGATGTCCAAGATATAGTAAGTGAAAAAAACAAGTTGCAAAACAGTATGGATAGCATGATCCCATTTAAAAAAAAAAAAAAAAAAAAAAAAAAAAAAAAAAAAAATTATATATATAGTATATAAATATATAATCATTTCTATATATTTATATATATTCCTAGAAAAAAGGACATATACCAAATTATTAAGAGCAGTTATCTCTGAGAAATGGAACTCATGATAAGAGGCAGGGATGGTATGCAGGACAAGTTTTCATTATGCAATTCTATATTGACATTTCTCCCCCAAATACATATTTACATTTGTAATAATAGACATTTCTTAAAATAAAAAAATTGGGGCTTACCCAGCATTCTGAGAATCCTTTATTCTATACAGTAGTCCCGTATTGCTCCTTAAGAGATCCAACTGACCCTAAAGTTTGTTTGTTGTTTTTTTTTTTATAGAAAATAACAATGAATTATTCTGGAGATATTTCAAATCAATCACAAATGTTAATGTATTCTTTAAAATTATACACAAACCAAAATATCCTATCCAGCACAGTTATTTGTTAGTTCCTCACTTGAGACTTAAGTTTTTGCCTACATATCACATGTAATATATTTTCGAAAACTTAGCTCTTTAGTTCATCACTTTCCAAAATATAAATACCTAACAGTTTCCTATATGCTATATTCTGGCTTGGTTATAGGACCAATGCATAACGAATTCTGAAAAGCAGCTTTAGAATAATAAATAAAAATCCATATTCAAATTCAAATAAATTCACTAAGTATAAACATAAAAATAAAAATATAATTTATATAAACAAAAAGTTCAAATAAAGACTAACATGCATAAATATTCTATAACATGATAACTCAATAAAATCTGCAATGTTAACAGTGACATCTACTGATTTGTGTGATTTCTACTGTATTACATGACAGGCAGAAAGGTCAAGTAATGAATAAAAGATGCAATGGCTTCAGTTTTATATAAAAAATCAAGGTGTGGGGCGCCTGGGTGGCTCAGTGGGTTGGGCCTCTGCCTTCGGCTCAGGTCGTGGTCTCAGGGTCCTGGGATCTGGGATCGGGCCCCGCATCAGGCTCTCTGCTCGGCGGGGAGCCTGCTTCCCCTCTCTCTCTCTGCCTGGCTCTCTGCTACTTGTGATCTCTGTCAAATAAATAAATGAAATCTTAAAAAAAAAAAAAAAATCAAGGAGTGCCTGGGTGGCTCAGTCGTTAAGCTTCTGCCTTCGGCTCAGGTCATGATCCCAGGGTCTTGGGTTTGAGCTCTGCATCACATGTTCCTTGCTCCCTCTCCCTCTCCCACTCCCCCTACTTGTGTTCCCTCTCTCACTGTGTCCCTCTCTCAAATAAATAAAATCTTTGAAAAACAAAAACAAATCAAAAGGAAAGCAAAGCCTGTCTGATGTGCTTTTGAAATTACTTGGGTCTTTGGGCCTGAACTCAGGAGCACTCAGATGGCTGTACCACTGGGCTTCTGGCAGTGTGGGGAATCCATGACTGAGAGGCCCCATTCCTGTGAGTTAAGACTGGGACGGCACATGACTTGCAAACAGGTTTATATATGGATGAACAGTAATAACTTCCTCCCTGGATCCCACTAAGCAAAACTGAACCACAAAGTTCCATTTGAAGGTAGTTTATTATTTATTTATTTATTTATAAAAATATTTTATTTATTTATGTGACACAGATCACAAGTAGGCAGAGAGGCAGAGAGAGAGGAGGAAGCAGGCTCCCCGCAGGGCAGAGAGCCCGATGTGGGGCTTGATCCCAGGACCTTGGGATCATGACCTGAGCCAAAGGCAGAGGCTTTAACCCACTAAGCCACCCAGGCACCCCTACTATTTATTTTTTTTAAAGATTTTATTTATTTGACAGAGAGAGCACAAGGAGGCAGAGTTGCAGGGAGTGGAAGAAGCAGACTCCCCGCTGAGCAGAGAGCCCAATGTGGGGCTCGATCTCAGGACCCTGGGATCATGATCTGAGCCAAAAGCAGACACTTAAGTGACTGAGCCACCCAGTGCCCCTTGAGGTTAATTCAGCCTATGAATGTTTGCTCAACGCCTGTACTATGATATATATTTGGGGGGACCAACATGAATTCTAAAAGAGAATTGCACAGCTGATTTCAACTATCTGGTCAGCATTAACATAAAGGTAAGTAAAGGGTGGGATGGGCACTCAGAGTAGCAGCTTTGGCCCAAACTGGGGAGTTCAGGAAGACTTTCTGGGAAACAGGAAGCAGAGCTGAGTCTTGAAGGATAATGAGGAGTCAGTCTGTGAAGAAATGGAACCTGAGGCATGAGGTGACAGGGAACCAAAAACAATCTGTTCCTCTGAAACCTAACTTTTGAGGCAGAGTGGCGGCAGATGGGGCAGGTGAGGAAGGTAGTGGCTCAGTCTGGTAAAGCCAGGAGTTTGGACTTGAACCTCTAGTGCTGAGAGGATTCTGCGACTTGGCCAGATCTGTGTTTGAGACGATCAGGTAGGCTTCTCTAAGGCAGATGAAGCCAGAAGAGCCGGTTAGAATACAGCATAATAGTCCAGGAAAAAGCCAAGACGTGAACACATGCAGGAGTAGTAGGAAGGGAAATGAGGGGGCAAATCTGAGAGCTCTTTAAGAGCTACAATCAGCAACACTTTGTGATTCACTAATACTTATTCCCTTAAAATTCATCATAGTTCCACCATTGTTTATATCCTCTAGACAACAGGACTGGCAGTAGATGGGGCTGCAGAGGTGGAGAAAGAAAGGGGGAGGTGTGGAGGATGATTTTCAGACAGAAAGCAAAAGGCTGAAAGAGTAGTCGCGGGACAAAAGCAGTTTCCATTGGCACTACCTCCAGCATCCCTTCCACTATCCCTCCTGGAGCCAAGCCCTTCACCGAGGTGAACTAATTAGAAATCACCAACAGTACTAACAAAGAGGTCAGCAATCTGGCCCACTGCTTGTTTTTATAAAGTGCTACTGGAATGCAGCACGCGCATTGGTTTATGTATGCATGGTCCATGGCTACTTTTTTGCAGAGTTGAATACTTGTGACAGAAACCACGTGGCCTGCAAAGCCTAAATACATACTATCTGGCACTTTACAGAAAGTCAAGTTCTCCAGCCATTGAGCTAGAGGGTTGAAGGGAGTAGTTTAACAGAAATTTCATGGGTCCTCAAATTTCTATGAGGTCTTAGTGTGGAAATCTTTTAACCAAATTCTACTACGACCAAACTGAAATGCTTTCACGATAGGGGAACTTTGATGTAGGGGAAATGGAAGGACAAATAGGTAGACTTAGAGGATGGGGTCCCACAAGGTAGGTGTTTCTAGACAGTGGAGGAGAATGACATTAAGGACCCAGGACAAAAGAAGAGGTAAAAGCAGGTAGAAGGGCTTCATTGAAAGACCACATTGTAGTGTTATTTGACTCATTCCTGCCTCCTGAAATGTTCAGAGTGAAATTGTGAAGAATGAAACCCTAATGAACTGGCTCAGTGATAGTTGGTAGAAGACACATTTCATAGGGAATGGCCCAACACTGGCAGCAGGAAGCAAACAGAAGGTGAGAGCAGACTAGTCCTGTGTGCCCTGTGTACATGATGACAATTAGGTTAACAAATACAATGGTTAAAGCAAAATACATTTATTTCATTCATTTTTTAAAATATTTATTTCAGAAAGAGAGAGAGAAAGTGAGCACATAGGGGAGGGGGGAAGAGGGAGAGGGACAGAGAAAATCTCAGGAAGACTCTTCACTGAGCACACAGCCCACGTGGGTCTTGATCCCACAACCCAGAGATCATGACCTGAGGGGAAACCAACAGTTAGATGCTTAACTGACTGTACCACACAGGTGCCCCTCATTCATCTTGTAAAATGATGTGTAATTATTTCTTCTCTCCTCAGTTCAGGCAGTCTGAGCTGTTTTTTGGCTTGGAATCTTAAGACACTTTTGAATGGTTTCACAACTACATACATGGAAATAATGACAATCACAGCACATAAATGATTATATGAACTAGTTGAATTTGCCTTACCATGGACAGGAGTCTATTGATGGCCACGGCCCGCTGCTGGGCTTCTATATGAGGCATTTCATTCTGAATTACTTGGTCTGTGATTCCATGGGGAAACTGGTGACATAATTCTATAATCCTAGGAACAAAGGCAATAATATTATTCATGTTTTTACCTGTTTCAAGGCGGGGAGGAATACAAGCAGAACAGTTTGAAATTGTGTCTTTACTCAAATTTGGCAGATAATCTGTTTTTTTGTTTGTTTGGTTTTTTAGTGTGGTGGTGGGGGTAAAGAGGGAAGGGTGGAGGGAGAGGGAGAGAATCATGCCTGGCTCCATCTCACAACCCTGAGATCATGATCTGAGCTGAAATCAAGAGTTGGATGCTTAACCTACTGAGATACCCAGTAAAGTGCCCCACGCTAAAATCAGATAATCTGGGTTTCTACGATGGTTCTGAACCAAAGCATGTTAGAAAGTGAGCAAGATAAAGTACATATTTACATTATACTATTATTTAAGAGGAGTGTTTCTTTTCCTAATACAAACTTAAAATTAGAACAAAAGTCAAATGAAAACACAGAAAAAAATTAAAGCTGAAGCTTCAATATTCTCAGATGGAACAAGTATGACAAAATTAACATTCAGTGTGTTGGGCAGCCATAAGTCTGCAAGGAGTCAAATCAGACACCTCTGGTAGGAAGGCAAAATTTGTTAGGACAAGTCACCATAACTGGGGCTTGCTTTTGGAATTATCTCTACCAAACAAAAATAAATCCAAATATCCACCTTGTCATAGGATCATCATACGTGTTTTCATAAGTTTGAGAAAGTTAAGGTCTTTTAAAACCTTAAAAGATAACCTAAAAGTGATAACCTAAAAATAGCAGTGCACGGAGAGCGAATTTAAAATTAGGAGAGGCTTTAGGTGACCTAAAAATCTTGACTTAAGTACTGCACGGAACTACTTGGCTTAATGTTTCTTCAAAAGCACAAACTGCACCTTAACTTCGCCCAAATGTTCTGTCGTGGGAGTTCCCTTAGCGACAAGAGCGATCCTGGATCAAAATATGTAGCTACAAGCACTACGGGAAAAACGCCGTGTCCTCTCTGGGGCACGTGGGTGGCTCAGTCGTTAAGCCTCCGCCTTTGGCTCAGGTCATGGTCCCGGGGTCCTGGGATCAAGTCCCCGCATCAGGCTCCCTGTTGGGCAGGAAGCCTGCTTCTCCCTCTCCCACTCCCCCTGCTTGTGTACCCTCTCTTGCTGTGTCTCTCTCTGTCAAAGAAATAAATAAAATCTTAAACAAACAAACAAACAAAAAAACGTCGTGTCCTCTCTGGGCATAGATCACCTTAATGCAGGAGGGAAGCACATCATCACAACTTTCCAAACAGTACCCGGACAAGGGGAGATAAAGAAAGTTACAAACTGTCAAACTCGCTCAAAACTTCTTAAGAAGTCTGCGTTCCAGGCATAGGAGAGGGGTTCCAAATCCCCAATCCCCTTCCTGCGCGTGCCGGTATCTACCGAGGGTCCCGGGATTAGGGGTCCGGCTGCCCAAACGACCGGTCGCCTGCGGAGAGGCTCCAGAGCCGGGAAGCGAGACTCACTCACTGGTTTTACCTGTTTTCTATTTCGACCGGATCCGCGTCGGGCGGCTGCACCTTCACTTTCACCTCAGCCATGACTCCCCAGTTCCCGGCCCCTCGGTGGGAGACGCTCCGGGTAGCCACACAGGCAGTTGGGGAACCGAGGAACCGGGCAATAAGGGGGAAACGGCGCCGGGCTTGGGCAAGGGGCCTTCTTCGTCGTGTTGCAGCCGGTCCTTACTTGTTCTGTCGGCTTGAGGTGGCCAAGGCGTGCCTGACCCGCCTCACTTGCCCGCGCCGTTACATCTTGTTTTTCTGAATGTTAATACCTGTCAGACGAACGAGCCTGGTTCCCTCTGTGAGTTAGGACGCCACCTCCGAGCACTTTCCAATGTCAGTGAAGGCATATTCTCAGAGGCCTGCAGTGAAGGCTTAGGAAAGGCGCTCGAGGCAGGTACCAGCCTCTGGGCCTAGCGGCAGGGGCGGAGCTGGTTGCTAGGAAGTCCGTGTCTGCCAATCACCTGCTCGGCTCTCGTGGGCGGGCCCCGATTCGCAGCGTCTGTGGAAACCCAGGAGGCGGCCTTGGAGGGCAGGAGGAGGTGAGAGGTGGGCTTCCTGACTGGGGACCGTGGCGGTACCTCGGGGCCCCAATCCAGGTCCCGGTGGCTAGAGGAGGAGGGGAGAGGCGGAGAAGGGACTCCCTCACTCCAGCTGAAAGGAAGCGGGCGCGCTTATTTGCCCCCGATGGACAGGGACAGGGACCGGAAGGGGTTCCGGATCCGGGCGGCGAGGGGGCGGTATTGATGGAAAGAGTTGAGGGGTTAGGGGTGCCATTGATCCCAGACTGCCATGTGGACCTAGCATGTCGGTCTACGTCTTGATCCTCTTCGCTTGGGGCCCACTGGCCGCCCTAGCCTCCCAAAGGTACCTCCTTAATTGCAGCGGGTATGACTTCCCGATTTTTTTTGGATTAATTTTTCAGCTACTTTAATTTTTTTATATATGTAGAGTTTATTTATTTATTTGACAGACAGAGATTACAAGTAGTCAGAGAGGCGGGCAGAGAGAGGGTGAAGCAGGCTCCCTGCCGCAGAGAGCCCGATATGATCCCTGGCTCGATTCCAGGACCTTGAGATCATGACCTGAGCCGAAGGCAGAGGCTTAACCCGCTGAGCCACCCAGGCGCCCCTCGGCTATTTTAATTTTAACTGCCTCTTACTTAAATGGAAAAATGAGAAACAGCACCTCCTTCTCCCCTCCCTCCCGCTTCCCAGAGTCCAGCCATCCTTCCGTAGAGGCTATTACTCTAAAATCAGTATCTACAATTTAAATTCTTAGCCTCTGATCTGGAACTATCCAACCAGGCATTAAAGTCACTTCTTAAATTTAGTTATCCGACTTTAGGGAATGTAGTCTGGGACAAAATTCAAACCAGAAGCTGTTCAGAGCAACATTATTTTTTAAAGATTTTATTTATTTATTTGACTGAGAGAGAGAGAGAGAGACAGAAAGAAGGGGAATACAAGAAGGGGGAGTGGGAGAGGGAAAAGCAGGCCTTCCGCTGAGCAGGGAGCCTGAGGCAGGGCTCCATCCCAGGATCTGGGATCATGATTTGAGCCCAAGGCAGATGCTTAATGACTGAGCCAACCAGGCACTCCCAGAGCAGCATTTAGAATTGAACAGACCAAAACTAAAAAGAAACTAGTAATAGTCTAAATGCCCAACCACAAAATGATAAATAAGATTATGTAAGTATGTGGAAAATTGTAAATAAAAGAGTGAGGATGCAAGAAGTGCACTATAAAAATAGGATGAACATATAGATTATAACTGAGTGAAAATTATGAATCCATAACCACTGAAATTTGAAAAAGGGACACAGAAATGTAAATGGTTGTTGTATTAAGGTGAGGGTTGTTTCCCCCGCCATATCCTTTATACATTAAGAATTATACTCCATCCCACCGAAAAAGATCAGTAAGGCCTCCCTACTTGTACTTGATTGTTTATAAATACAAGAGATGGAGTGGGAGTCTTTTTGTTTGTTGCTCACTGTTTATATCTGTGCCAACTTTCTTTCAGCTGAAGCCTGGTACTCTGCCATCCTTCTAAAATTTCTTTGCAGCTTTCAAATGCAAGAACCACTTGGCAACAACAGCAGGGCCTTGGACCTAGAGCTTTCCCAAGGGAGTTGGCTCTAAATGAATATTTCATGCCACATACAGAGTTACTTCTGTTCCTCTTGGGTGATGACTTACCCTGAAGTCAAGAGAGGTGGCATGTTGACAAAAGGCAAGAAAGGGTGATAATGATTTAGGGGAAGCTCAGATCAAATCAGTAGTGATGGTCTCTGTTCTGATAGATAGTAGTCTCCCCTTATCTGCAGTTTTGCTTTCCATGGTTACTCTTACCTGCAGTCAACTGGGGCCTAGAAGCAGATGATCCTCTTTCCGATGGCAGAAGGTCACTGGTAGCCTAATGTCACATCACAGTGTCTAGGTCATTCACCTCACTTCATCTCATCACGGAAGCATTTTATCATCTCACATCATCACAAGAAGGGTGAGTACAGTACAATATTTTGAGAGAGACCGCATTCACAAAACTTTAATTACAGTATGCTATTTTAATTGTTCTATTTTATTATTGTTGTTATCTCTTACTGTGCCTAATTTATAAACTAAACTTTACCGTAGGTGTATATGTATAGGAAAAAACAGTATATATAGGGTCTGGTAATATCTGTCGTTTCAAGCCTCCATTGGGGGTCTTGAACATTTCCCCTATGGACAAGGGGGAGGGGACTGTTGTATTCATCTAATTTGTTCATTTAAAATAATTTTATTTCCCCATCCCATTCTTTCATTCTGTTTTCTCAGAAGTGAGGTAAGTATTTAGATAATCAAAATCCCACATAAGCCCTCAACAGCAGAAATGCAGCTGAAACAATAATTATTTGAATTAAAAATTAAATAATGTTCTTGATGACATTCTCTTTAGTTTTTTACTGGTTTTGCTGTATTTAAACCACGTACTTCTCTTTAACTTTTGTGTTCAAAAAGATGCCCATTGGAATTTATTTTCCTTTCCTTTTTTTAATGTAAGGAGGGAAGATGACTGCAGGCTCAGTGTGTGTCCCTCAGATCATACCATTGCGAGTGCCTCCCCCCGGAAGAGCCAACCATGAAATTGATAACAATACACTTTTGGAAATGAAATCTGGTAAGAGTCAAATGTACCTGAAAGCATGTAAAATAACTGCCATGCTCTTTAGGTTCCTTGGGTTGTTAATTTTTCACTTTGCATGCTTTCTGCAATTAGGGCCTTGGGAATTTTGTAAAGGTTCCGAAATTTGAAACAGTGTGGTACTTGGTGGTTTATAGAGTGGTATATTTTTAGATGAAAGCAGTTGGCTTTGACCAACTTTTCATTTGTATTAGTAGATAATTGCATCAATGCCTTGATTCACATTAGCCAAGGTAAGATGTCCCGGTTCTTGCCGGGACTTTCCCAGGATTCTCATCATTTTGCTGGGATAGTAATCTGACCTACTAACACAGGCTTTCCAGTCAGACGTACTGGGGATTAAATCCTGCTTTGGACAACTTCTAATGATACATTACTTAGCCTTTCTGAGTCTCAGTTTTCTCATTGTTAGTGAGAATAATGTCTGCCGTTTGGAGCCACTGTGAGGATTAAACGAGTTGACACGTTATGTGAGGTACGCAGCGTCTGGCACATAGTAATGCCAAAATAAATCTTAACTATTATTACAGAAAGAAAGCGGTGAATATATTTCCTGGTAATAACAGGAATTTATATATACATATATACACGTATATACATATATGCACACACACATATACACACATATATATCTACATATATACACACATATGTATATAATTAACATAAGGAGAAGAGAAAGCTTTTTTTAAAAGATTTTATTTATTTATTTGACAGACAGAGATCACAAGTAGGCAGAGAGGCAGGCAGAGAGAGAAGAAGGGAAGTAGGCTCCCCGATGAGCAGAGAGTCCAGTGCAGGGCTCGATCCCAGGACCCTCGGATCATGACCTGATCCAAAGACAAAGGCTTTAACCCACTGAGCCACCCAGGTGCCCCGAGAAAGCTTTTTTTTTTTCTTAATCTCTGTGCCCTGCGTGGGGATTAAACTCATGACCCTGAGATTAAGAGTCGCATGTTCTACTGACTGATCCAGCTGGGTGCCTCAGGAAAGTTTTATAGATAAAACATATGAACAAATACTTGTTTAAAAAGGCTTTGAGGGACGCCTGGGTGGCTCAGTTGGTTAAGCAGCTGCCTTCGGCTCAGGTCATGATCCCAGCGTCCTGGGATCGAGTCCCGCATCGGGCTCCTTGCTCAGCGGGGAGCCTGCTTCTCCCTCTGCCTCTGCCTGCCATTCTGTCTGCCTGTACTCGCTCTCTCTCCCTCTCTCTCTCTGACAAATAAATAAAATCTTTAAAAAAAATAAAATAAATAAAAAAAATAAAAAAATAAAAAGGCTTTGAAATTCCAGTTATATATTTTGATAGTTAATGTATAAAATCTATTTATCTGTATTTCTGGTGACCCCTGTGCTTCCTAGACAAATTCCAACTAAGGATATAATATACTCTATCTCCCTTTATCTTAAAAGCTAGTATTATTTTAAAAAATTCTCAAACCAGGGGTGCCTGGGTAGCTCAGCCAGTTGGGTGTCTGCTTTCGCTCAAGCCGGTCATGATCCCTGGGTCCTGGGATTGAGCCCCGAATCGGGCTCCTTGCTCGGCAGGGAGCCTGCTTTTCCCTCCCCCTCTGCCTGCAGTTCCCTTTGCTTGTGCTTTCTCTCTCTCTGTCAAATAAATAAATAAAATCTTAAAAAAAAATTCTCAAATCTGGGGCGCGTGGGTGGCTCAGCGGGTTAAGCCTCTGCCTTCAGCTTTGGTCATGATCTCAGGGTCCTGGGATCGAGCCCTGCATTGGGCTCTCTGCTCGGTGGGGGGCCTGCTTCCCTCTCTCTCTCTGCCTGCCTACTTGTGATCTCTCTATCAAATAAATTAATAAAATCTTAAAAAACAATTCTCAAATCAGAATACAAATTTTAATAAATGTGTCCATAACTCTTGGGAGAAGGTGGATTATTACTGACAAATGATGATACAAATGATAGAGTATCTAAATTCCCTAATATTTAAAATGCTTACTAAATAAAGAGGTTCCGGGCACCTGGGTGGCTCAGTAGATTGAGTGTCTAACTTGGCTTAGGTCATGATCTCTGGTTTCCTGGGATAGAGCCCAGTGTAGGGCCCGTGCTCAGTGAGAAGTCTGCTGTTCCTCTCCCTCTGCCCCTCCCTCCACTCATGTGTGCACCCATTCTCTCTCAAATAAATAAATAAAACCTTCTAAATAAATAAACAGATAAATAAATAGGTTCTACAATTCAATAACAAGAATAGGAACCCAATAGAAAAGTAGGCAAAAGATATGAAAGGACATTTTATAGAAAAGGAAATATAAATGTCTTTTAAACATAGGGAAATATATGCCTGGCCAACCGTTTACGTACTTGCAGAGCATACCTTATCCCCTGCTTTATTTACTCCATGGTATTTAGTCACCACTTGATATCACACATATACCTGTTTGTTTTGTTTCCTGTTTGTATGTCCTTCCTAAAATAGAGGCTCCCCGAGAGCTGGGCCTTTGGTCACTGGCGTATTCCCCAGTGCCTAGAACAGTGTCTGGCACAGAATAGGTACTTAATTAATATTTGTGGACTGAATGAATGAATCTTACTCAAAAATGTAAGAAATGTGAGTTAAAACTATCAGGTTTTTTGTTGTTGTTGTTTTTTGTTTTTATACCTAAGAGATGGCAAAAATAAGAGAAGAATTAATAAAACACTATAGGGATGAGTATGGGTGGACAGGCACTTTCATGAGTTGCTGGTAATAGTGTAAATTGTTTCAGTGTCCGTGAAGGGAAGTTTGACCCTATAAGCTAAAATTACAGATGTACATATCTTTTGACTGAGCAATACTAGTTCTACATATTTTGCAGGTATTAAAAGAACTTTATGCAAAGATATTCATTGTAGTGCTTCTGATGGCAAAAGAAAAAAAGAAGAAAGACAAAGAAAGAGAGCCTAAATATTCATCTGTAGGGGATTGGTTAAATATTGGTTCGTTTGTCTAAGGACAGAACCCAATACAGACATAACAAAGAGTGAGGACACCCTGTATAGCAGTATAGTACAGTAGCCAAGGTAATACTGTTCAATGAAAAAAGATGTGTGTGAAACAGGATATGTTATGTCACCATTTGTATTAAAAGAGAGGGGAAAATAAGAATATAACATGCATGTATGGATATAAAATATTTTTGGAAGGATACTCAAGACACCACTGATTGCCTTTGGCCATCTGATTGATGTCAGGGGTGGGAGAGGGTTTTAATTATAAATTCTTTTTCGACTTTTTAAAAAAAAATTGAGATATAACTAACGTATAACTTTATGTTAGTTTCATATGTACAGTGTAATGATTTGTTATTTATATGTATTGCAAAGTCATTCCCACAATTAATGTAGTTGCTGTCTATCACCAATAATTAGGTTTTTTTCTTTTGATGAGAACTTTTAAGATCTCTTAGCAAACTTTTCTGACCTTTTGAACCTTGAATTATATGAGTTTACTACCTTTTAAATTTTTCCAAGAAGTATGGGAATTATTTACCAGGTCCAAATAAAATATAATAAAAACATTTCTTTTTAAAAAACATTTTTTAAAGATTTTATTTATTTGACAGAGAGAAATCACAAGTAGGCAGAGAGGCAGGCGGAGAGAGGGGGAAGCAGGCTCCCTGCTGAGCAGAGAGCCTGATGCAGGGCTCAATCCCAGGACCCTGAGATCATGACCTGAGCCAAAAGCAGAGGCTTAACCCACTGAGCCACACAGGCACCCCTAAAAAACATTTTTTTTAAGTAGGCTGAACTCACAACCCTGAGATCAAGACCTAAGCCAAGGTCAAGAGTCAGAGGCTTAACTAATTGAGACACCCAAGCACCCCAACAACAGCATTTCTGAAGCAGTGCTCAAAAAATAAAAAATTAGCTTCTGCTTTCTTTTTTTTTAATAGTTTTTTTTTTAAACATTTTAAAAATTTATTTGACAGAGAGAGAGAGACATCACAAGTAGGCAGAGAGGCAGGCAGAGGGGGAGGGGAATGCAAGGCTCCCTGCTGAGCAGAGAGCCCCACATGGATCCCAGGACCCTGAGACCATGACCTGAGCTGAAGGCAGAGGCTTAACCCACTGAGCCACCCAGGTGCCCCTAGCTTCTGCTTTCTAAAGGGGTATTGTAGGGGCACCTGGGTGGCTCAGTGGGTTAAAGCCTCTGCCTTCGGCTCAGGTCATGATTCCAGGGTCCTGGGATCGAGCCCCGCATCGGGCTTTCTGCTCAGCAGGGAGCCTGCTTCCTCCTCTCTCTCTGCTTGCCTCTCTGCCTACTTGTGATCTCTGTCTGTCTAATAAATAAATAAAATCTTTAAAAAAAAATAAAAAAAAATAAAAATATAAATAAATGGGTATTATAGTCTTAAAACTGAGCCCTGCTCTTTTTGCATCAGTGCCTTATTGGAGTGGCACAATAGCACAGTGGTTCAAGAGCATGGGCTCTGTATCCATAGCCAAAGTGAAACCACAATTGTACTGTTAACCAAGCAACATCCTTAACCTCTGTGGGACTCAGTTTCCTCATCTGCACCGTGGGTATAAAATGGGACCTGTCACATAATTCATGTAAGACACACAGTGCCTGGCACGGAGAAAGAACTCACTTATTGCTACTTACTGTTATTCATTCCTATGATATATTAAAAAAATCTCATTAATTAACTGACCTACAAACATTATTCAGAGACTGTGCTACTTTAGTGTTAATTACAGTTACCTATTTTGGGTTTTTCAGACACTCCCGATGTCAACATATATTATACCCTGGATGGCAGCAAACCTGAATTTCTAAAGAGAATTGGTTATGGTGAAAATAATACATATAAGTACACGAAGCCTATTACTCTGCCTGATGGAAAAATACAAGTTAAAGCTGTTGCAGTTTCTAAGTAAGTTAAGAGCATGGTGATGAAAATAATTGGTAATACAATGACATTACATTTTGATTTTATTTATTTCTTCCTGTGAGAACAAGTGCAGTATTAGAAGGGCACTCAAGGCAAAGTTATTTTAATTTCAACATATATCTATACCTTTAGGGTTTTGTTTGTCTTTTACCAAGTTATATGGTAAAGTGCACAAATCACGAGAGTACAGCTTGATGAGGTCCTATGTATATACTGTTTTTCTTTTGAATTCCACATTGGGATTTTGGGAAGGAAGAGCCTTTTCAGGGCTTGGGACCTTTGAAGTGATTCATCTGGCTGTGAAGAAAATACCGTTTTTAGTAGATGGTCCTTTTATTCCATAGGACCTGGCCTTCAATCACTTCCATCATTCTTTGTTATGTTTTGTATTCACTTAATCGGCCTTCATGGCTACTGTCATTTTAATTTGTTGGACATTAGCTCCTTTATTTGTTTCTTTGTCCTTTCTTTTTAAATATTTTTTTGAAGATTTTATTTATTTATTTGACAGAGAGAGACATAGCCTCAGAGACTCTTTTTTAAAAAATTATTTTTTTAAAATTATTTTCAGTTAGCCAACAGAGGTTTTTTTTTAATTTAAAAAAAATTTTTTTTTTTTTAGAGTTTTGAAATATAGACACACCACTCAATTTGGAAACTGTGTGTTGTGGAGAAAAAGACTCAAGTGCTTTGCACGTCTGTGTCTGAGATAGAGGAATTATTCCACACGGCAAGACAGGTTTAGCCACATTTTTTGAACACTTTTTTTTTTTTTTGGTCATTTTATTTTATTTATTTATTTATTTATTTTTAATCATTTTTTAAAATTTATTTTCAGCATAACAGTATTCATTGTTTTTGTACCACACCCAGTGCTCCATGCAATCCGTGCCCTCTCTAATACCCACCACCTGGTTCCCCCAACCTCCCACCCCCCCACCTCTTCATTTTGAACATTTTTAATACCCAAACCAAAACCTGACTTTGAGCAGGCACTTAGGAAAAAAAAAGGGGGGGGGGGGGGGCGCAGTGTCTCTCCAGGCTCCCCCTGGTGGCTGAGGTACTGCATAGCTTTGGAGGAGAATTAGAAATTCTTTTTTTTTTTTTTTTTTAATTAACATATAATGTATTATTAGTCCCAGGGGTACAGGCCTGTGAATCGCCAGGTTTACAAACTTCACAGCTCTCACCATAGCACATACCTTCCCCAATGTCCATAACCCCACTTCCCTCTCCCTACCCCACACCACTGGCAACCTTCAGTTTGTTTTGTGAGATTAAGATGCGGATGACAGCTTTGGCATCCGAAAGTTTTAAAAAATAAAAACAAAAATAAAACAAACAAAAATGCTAATACACATTATCATTCTTTATTAAAGACTAGAAAAAATCGGCTTTCACTTGTCAAAGCACTTCTGTCGAAACAATCATCTCAGTTATGAAAAATTAACAAAATTCTTTGGTGCCTAATGCTGTAAGGCAGGCCTTTTTATAATTTACAGGTAGTAATAAAATGAAGTAATAATTACTAACTATGTAATTCGTAGGAGTTAACAAAGCTTTCAAAAACATCTAAAATAAGGTCACTCTTTATGCCTCTCACCATCTTGCTCTGTACCCACTTAGTGTCTGTTCCAAAAGCACTCTTAGTAGTTCAGGTATGCTCAGCTCAGGGAAAGTATTTATGTAAAAAATTTTTTCTGTCTTCAAGACAGAAAGATTTGTGCTTGTATGCATTTAAATGAATTTAAATTTAAATTTAAGTGAATTTAAATGCAGTAAGTTTTCTTTATGGAAATTATACTGCTTCATTCAAGCCCTTTTCTAGGTACTTACAGTAATTAATTTCTTAATGAGGAGAAAAGGCTTTGAAATGGGAGTGTTAACAATTAAAGGCCACTAGTATGTTAAGAGGAAAAATATGGTCATGAAATTTTGAATGATTTGGGGAAATATTTATGATTCAAGTGAAAACAAGTTAGGATATATGAGTGCACTATAGTATTTTGACATTGTTTAATAATGTGTCGGCATGGGCGCCTGGGTGGCTCAGTCGGTTAAGCATCTGCCTTAGGCTCAGGTTATGATCCCATGGTCCTGGGACCTAGCTCTGTTGGGCTCCTTGCTGGGCAGGGAGCCTGCTTCTCCCTCTCCCTCTGCCTGCCACTCCCCCTGCTTGTGCTCTCCCACTCTCTCCCCCTTTGTTAAATAAAATTTTTTAAAAGAATCTTCAAAATGTGTCAGGAGAGAACTGAAGAAGGGCACTACCAGAGGCATCTAGGAGGGAGTGAGTGGTGGGCAAAGAGTGCTCATTGCACGGAGCCAGCTGTCTTCTCCTTCCCTGAGCCAGATGGCTAGGGACATTGTGGATGTCTTTGTTTCAAAGGGGTCAGGTTGAGGGGCAGTCCCCCAGTCTCTTTCTGCCCCAGCTCAGTTTGGAAAAGGTACTGACATGTAATTCTTCTCTATTGTAAGCTTTCCTTTTTAAAAAATTTTTTTAAATTTAAATTTAATTAATTAACATATAATGTATTATTAGTTTCAGAGGTAGAGTTCAGTGAGTCATCAGTCCTGTATAATACCCAGTGCTCATTACATCACATGCCCTCCATAATGCCCATCACACAGTTACCCCGTCCCCCATCCCCCTCCCCTCCAGCAACACTCTGTTTGTTTCCTATGACTAAGAATCCCTTATGGTTTATCTCTTTATCTGATTTTTGTTTGGTTCTCATGATTAAATGATTTGGAAACAAAACAACAAACAAGCCCAGCTTTAGCATTTCACTGCCTTTGGTGATTCAGTCATGGTTTGTGTTGTTTGTGTTGATAATTTTTTAGTTTCCAAAATTTAACAGTGAGCTCTGCTTTTGTAATAAAAGAGTCTCCGAAATTATCATGTAACCAGTGCTTCTCAACCTTGGCTGCTGAATCAGTTGGCTATTGCTGTATAACCAACCACCCTGACATTTAATGTCTTAAAAGTTTGAACAATCATTCATTTGCTCATTTTTCTGTGGGTCAGCATTTTGGTATACATTCAGCTGGGTACTTGTTCTCTTAGTCTTTCCTGAGGTCCCTGACCTGGCTACATTTTTTTTGGCTCACCTTGAGCTGGAGAGTCTAAGAAAGCTTGAGTCACTTGAACTTGTTGGTGGTTGGTGCTGGTGGTTGGCTGAGCCTTGGGTCTCCAGCTGGGTCACCTGAGTTTTTTCATTCATTTACAAAAGCTGTAAGAGAAAGGGCAAGCTTGGATATGCAGATGCTTTTTCTAGTCTCTGCTTGTGTCATAATTGTTAATGTTTCACTGGCCAAAGCAAGTCACTTGGCAACCCCCAAGGTCAATGTGTGAGGGGATTCTGCAAGGGCACAAGGGCACCAGGGGGTGCAGATAGAAGACATAATGCCTCAGGGACTGTGATTGTAACATTCTACCACAAGTCCTTATCAGAATCACCCAGGGAGCTTTGCAGAATCTCCATGCCCAGGTCATGTGTACACTCCAGACCAACTAAATAACAATGTCTTGGGATGGGACCCAGGCATCAGTATTTTTTTTTAAAGATTTTATTTATTTATTTAACACACAGAGAGAAAGATCACAAGTAGGCAGAGCAGCAGGCAGAGAGAGAGGGAGAAGCAGGCTCTCCGTTGAGCAGAGAGCCCGATGCGGGGCTTGATCCCAGGACCCTAAGATCATGACCTGAGCCGAAGACAGAGGCTTAACCCACTGAGCCACCCATATTTCCTGATAATTCCAGTATGCAATCAAGGGTGGCAACTGACACATTAATGGGGAAAAAAAGATGTTTCAATTTAAAGAGATTTGGCCAATACCACTTTTTGGGAAATATATTTTTATTAAAATATGATATCCTAGAATGAAAGAAAAGGAATAAGGACACTCATATGTGCGCTTTCATGGGTCCAAATATATGTACATGAATTTTCACATCAGAGCATGGTCAGTAAAGAACACAGGTGAACGGGAGGGGTGGGAAACTTGGGAACATTTCAGCAAGTGGGAGTGGGTGTTGGGATTGTTTTGTTTTATCTTGTTTTTTTTTTAAGTAGGCTCCACACCCAGAATGGAGCCCAGTGCGGGGCTTGAACTCACAATCCTGAGGTCAAGACTTGAGCTGAGATTAAGAATCAGACGCTTAACCAAATGAGACACCCAGGCACCCTGGGTGTTGGGTTTTGATGATCCATATTGATGGTCCAGTCCAGGGTCTGTAAACTTTCTGACATCTGTCTTGTTTCTTTAAAAGCCGCCTTTCTGGGGCACCTGGGTGGCTCAGTCGTTGGGCATCTACCTTTGGCTTGGGTCATGATCCCAGGATCCTGGAATCGAGCCCCACATCAGGCTCCCTGCTCGACGGGAAGCCTGCTTTCTCTCTCCTAGTCCCCCTGATTGTGTTCCCTCTCTCACTGTGTCTCTCTCTGTCAAATAAATAAATAAAATCTTAAAAAAAAAAAAAAAAGAAGGCACCTTTCTGTTCAGGAACTTCCTCTCTTTGATATCATCATTTTATAGTGATTTGACAATGAACTTGTGTGGTTCTCCCTTCTTTGTCAATTACCTTATATGGTGGTCAAGATAAATTAAGCTGGGCTGAGGTAAAAGCTGTCTCAAAACAAAACAAAACAAAAAACTGTCTCAAACCGAAGGTAGATATTTGGGGGAGTCAGAGTCTCCTGAGAACAATCATTTTCTTTCATGGGGAACTTTCCAGTTTTACAACAATGGTTAATAAAGTAAACTGATTGGCAGGTTAGCAGGGCATCTCACGGGCATCCATCTGCAGCCATATATAACGTATGGAGGAAAGATGCAGATGCCATCTCCATAAGCAGCAACAAAGGCAAGAAGAGCACTGCTTTGAGAGGGGTAGTTTGGAGTGTAGAGCAGAGGATGGAGTTTGCTGGCCTTCAGATCTGGACTTTAATCCCAGTTCTCTTGCTCCTCTTTGAATAAGAGGAACTTACTAACTGGAATAAGTTCTGATTCTCAGTTGTCTCATTTGTTAAATGAGGTTAATAAAACTTAGCTGGCAGCCATTGTGAAAATCAGAGGTAATATACTTCAGATACATTTGGCATTGCACATGGAATAGCTGTTATTGTTGTTGTTTGTTGTTATTCACATTCCTAACAAAGGGGCTAACAGGTTGCTGTTGTGTGACTCAACTCAAAGGGCATGCCTCGTATTTGAAAAACCAATGCCTGCCTGAGTGAGTAGGTTCTACTCAACCCCTTCATGTTCCTAAACCAGGTTCTTTTTTTTTTTTTTTAAGATTTTTATTTATTTATTTGACAGACAGAGATCACAAGTAGGCAGAGAGGCAGGCAGAGAGAGAGAGGAGGAAGCAGGCTCCCTGCCGAGCAGAGAGCCCGATGCGGGGCTCGATCCCAGGACCCTGGGACCACGACCCGAGCCGAAGGCAGAGGCTTTAACCCACTGAGCCACCCAGGCGCCCCCCTAAACCAGGTTCTAAGATGGGCATAATTTTGCCCCAAAGGGGACATTTGGTCATGCCTGGAAATATTTTTGGTTGTCACATCTGGAAGTGGGAGTGTGCTAGTAGCATCTGCTGGGTGGAGGTCAAGGATGTTGCTAAACATCTTATGCCCTGGACAGCTTCCACAGCAAAGTATTATCTAGCCTAAAATTCTGGTAATTCTCAGTAGATTGAGAAGCCTGGACAAGTTGCAGAATTCTTACAGATCCAGCTTCTTAACTCTTACAATCATCCAAGTAATTCTGCTATTTTATTGAGAGGATAGTAATCTTATGGGGATAGAGCTACACATACTTTTTTTTTTAATGTCAAATGCACCTAATATTGCTATTCCTAGAGATACATATTTAAGACCTCTGATATCAATCCTAGCAAAATTTCTGTGTATTTAAATGAGATTTGGGCAGAGTATGATTTCTAGCTCCAACCCCAAACTTAAACCTTTTTTGATATCACAATCAGGAAGTCCTTCTACTTAGCTGGCAGTTGAAGCTAGTTTCTGGGCTCCTCATGGAGGGAACAAGTCCATGAGTGAGAGCCCTTGCTGTGTCCCCGTGGAAGGGACCAGCTATGGTGGGGGAGACAACCTATACTACTTCCAGGAGTAGAGCAAGTGGATAGGAGTCAGGCTTCTGCTCAGTGTGATGGTGGGACTAGAAGCGCACATTTCAGGGAGCCCCATCATTATCCAGGATTTGAAGGATCCCTGGATGGAGATATTTGTGGTGTCCAGGAAGTGTGCTAGCAGGGAAGACAGCTGTATCTTGGATGGCAGACCTGGGACCAAAGATGAACATTTAGGTGAGATGGATGTTGAGGTCAATGAGTTAAATAAGCATCTCATCTAAAAGATCCTCTGTATCTACAGCCAGATATCTGTAACTGTAAAACTGAACAAAACAAAGGACAGCAAAAAACGTGTGCTTCCCCAAAGGTTAGCCACCTGTAAATCACTCCAGTGAACATGCAGTTTAAATATTGTTACATACTGATAGATAGTGCCATTGAGATGAATTGTGTATTTCTGATCATTTTTTTCTCCTAGAAATGTAGCTTCAAACTTCTTTATTGCTTAATGTTAAATATTTCTCTGTTTTGTAATTGATGTTTACACATTTATAAATATTTACTTGATCAAAGAATCTAAAGTATTTTGGGGTACTTTTTTACTTAAAGTTTCAAAATTTTTTTTGACTTTTTTTTTTTTTTAAAGATTTTTATTTATTTGACAGAGAGATCACAAGTAGGCAGAGAGGCAGGCAGAAAGAGAGAGGAGGAGGAGGCAGGCTCCCTGCTGAGCAGAGAGCCCGATGTGAGGCTCGATCCCAGGACCCTGGGATCATGACCTGAGCCGAAGGCAGAGGCTTTAACCACTGAGCCACCCAGGCGCCCCAAAGCTTCAAAATTTTTAAGAAACATTAAAAAACTGGCAAATAAGAGATCTGAGAAATTGCAAAAGAAAGGCTAATGAAACATGAAATGTATCAGAGACCAGTATGAAAATCAGCAAGAGTAAAGCAGACAGAGAACACAAAAGAAAGAAGAGAATGGAAATGGAAAAAGAGTTAAGTGCCTAGGCAGAATAGAATTCACACAGAATCATCTGTGTTCCAGCTGTGAGCTTTCGACACAAATTAGTGGGCATGAGAGTTAAAAATGTTAAATTTGATTCATGGTCATGATGATCATTGGAGGCTGTTGGCTGTCCCCCACTATCTGTGTTTTCCTTCTTCTAGAATAACAGAACCCATGATTTTTAGCTGGACACATGTTTGCCTGGAAGAAAGATATTTCCCAATTCTCCTTGCAACTGGCCAGAGCCAGGTGTGGCCAGTGAGATGCATGTGAAAGTGGTGTGTGCAATTTCTAGATTGTGCCCTTATAGGGAAGAGGTGGGCCCTGCTTCCTGCTAGCTGGAATGTGGATGTGGTCAGCCATGTTGGCTCATGAAGACAAGTTCAAGGTCTTAGAGATGGAGCAATAAGAAAGAAACTTGACACCATGCACCCATCACCATGGCACCTCTGTACCAGCTCTGAGCTGATTATACCCTGTTGATTCTCTCTAGTTTAAGCCACTATTATTTTGATTTGGTGTTACAACAGCCAAGCCTATGTCCCAATATTCTAGGGACACAGCAGAAGCAAATGCCTACAGAGAACATAATCAAGAGTACAGGTGACCAAAAAAGGCTGATAATATCAAATGTTGATGAGTATGTGGAGAAACTGGAACCTTCAAATAATACTGGTGGGAATGTAAAATGGAACAACCACAGTTTAGCAGTTTCTAAAAAGTTAGAGATACACTTGACCCAGCAATTCCACTCCTGCATACCTATTCAAGAGAAATGAAAACATGTCCACATGAAGACTGTCGTGGGCTGGCCTTGGCCCATCAGTAACCAGTGTTGTGGCTGGACTGGCCCTTGTAGTTCTTATCATGGTTGTAAGACATCCTCAGCAGGAACCATCAGGAAACTCTCAGAGACAAGGTTTATTACTTACAAGTCCTGGAAATTATGTAGCATACCTGGGACCACACAGCAAGGTCACCAGTAGAGAGAATGTATGGGCCTGGGATGCTGCTTCTATTGGGGCTGGGGTGGAGGCCTAGGGTCTCTTGGTCTCACTCTTTATTGGTTAATTTAAAACATAAGAGCAGGAATTTGAAGCTTGGGAAGACAAAAGCAAACAAATAAGGGGCCCAAATGATAATTTATGGAAACCAACCAAGGAGCCTGGCAGGGGTGAGATGGGGTGGGGAGGTGGGGGTTGAAGATAGCAGTGGCCTGGTTCTTTTTTTTTTTTTTTTTTCTTAAGATTTTATTTATTTACTTGACAGAAATCACAAGTAGGCAGAGAGGCAGGCAGAGAGAGGGGGGGAGGCTCCCTGCTGAGCAGAGAGCAGGATGCGGGGCTCTATCCCAGGACCCTGAGATCATGACCTGAGCCAAAGGCAGAGGTTTTAACCCACTGAGCCACCCAGGCACCCAGTGGCCTGGTTTTTTATCAAGTGGTGTGGCTGGTGGTGTGGTTATTCAAGAGAGCTGTCTTTTCTTGGAAACTTCATGTAACACTTTTTCTATTTTCAGGGACTGCAGACAGAGTGGCATTGTAACAAAGGTGTTTCAGGTGGGCTGCGAACCAGTGAATACAGTCTCTTCAGAAAACCATGTCGGAAATGTCCTCAAAGATTCTTTCAAGCAAGCAAGTAGATGTGACACTTTCAGATGGTCACCACATTCTTGGTTCCTTCTTTCTCAGTGATTCCATCTTCTCTTTCATTTCGTTGCCTATGCTCGTAGGTTCTTATAATTGTGGTCAGTAGCCACCACTATGAAGTGATTTCCCTCCTGTTAGTCAGTCCATCCTGCACGTGTTCTGTCCTGCACATTAAATTCCTCCCCAGCATTATGGCCCATGCTCCATTGTCTTCAGTGAACCCCACTTACCTATTGAAGAAAGTGACCGGTTTCTGTCTTCAGTCATCCTTTCTCATTGTGTGACTCCCCTGTATATTCCTCCAGCCAAACTACATTGTGTATGCTGTGTTCTGTCACTGCTCCCCTAGGGTCTGGACCTTCTCTTTTATAGTGCTTTGAATATGTGATTGCTTTGCTCATCATTTACCTTCCCCATGCAGAGTAAGTTCCAAGGTGGCAGAGAACAAGTCTGCCATACTCATTGCCTTGCACAGAGGAGGGCTGGAGAGGGCAGTGAGTGTCTATTTGTTGAACAGATACATCAGACTAGTAGAAACCCTCTGTGACCATAGCTGTTGATTATGCTGAAATCTTCAACCCTGAAAAGCTCAAAACCTTGCTTCTCCGGAGGATGAACCAGACTTACCTACAAGGGTATTTCAAACTTCAGTCCCTGGGCTTTGGGCACCAGTGAGATAGATGCAAGGGCCAGAGGATGGGCTAGCTCATGGTAAAGCAATCAACCAAAAAGTCTCAGTCATGGAGGTCTTGGTGGGGATGACCAGAAGTTTGGGAGGGGATCCCTTCAGCTTCAGGATGGACCAGAGCCCAGAGAGGTGGCTATAGGACCAGAGCAGTGGGTGCAGGCCTAAAGTGGGGCTCAAGTATGATTGGGGCAGGGATCTACCATGGGCAGGGGTATCCAGTAGAAGCAGAGCTTATTTGCCTCAGTAGATGCTCAGGCTTGAATCAGGCATAAGGGACTGAGTCCAGGGGGAAGAAAGTCCATGGAGAAGAATATAAGTACTGTGCATGGGCAGGTAGTGTAGTTAAGTCCTATTTTGGCCTGACCCCCACCCTTTATTTGCCTCCTGGATCTGGTGGTCCCTTTGTTATTCCCCAGATTCCAATGATTGTAACATCCTGCCTTCATGTCCTGCTGCTGGCCTTGGCTGCTTAAATGTTGGAGCCTAATAGCCAGACATGCTGCCAGCAAACCGGCCCAGATACAAAGCCATGGGTTTCCAGAGTAAGGTGAAACAAAGGTCATTTTGTAAAAACTACTGTAAACTCTTTCGAGTAAGAAGGGCATGCTATGACATTCTCTCTACCTGGCAACTTTTCATTTTCACATTGCAAATGGGTGTAATCGAGTGATTGACATGCAACATATGTACATGACATCCAACATGTAATCAAGTGATTGACATAGGATTGTCATTCCTAGGAATTGGAAAATGGATTTGTTGAATCAAAACTATGGAAGAAATACAAGAATGCTGAAAATAAACAGGATTGGAATCTTAACCTTAGAAAGTCTGCAGGTATGACATGGAAGGATGAAGATAAGGTTTAATATTCTAAACCACCAAACGGGTTCATTGCTCATGTTCTTGACTGTAGAAGGGTTGGAATAAGAAATACTGGAATAGAAAAGTAAGATAATCTTAGTGCTATCCTTGCTAACAGCTTAAGACCAAGAGGGATCATCACAGAGTCCAACAAAGTGAGATTTGTTGACTTGTTGCAATGAGGGAGACCACACAGCAGAAGAAGTATGGGGCATCACACCAAACAAAGGAAAAGACAAGGTTATAGGGCTTGGGGGACAGATGGAGTCTGGATGAAATGAAGTGAGAGCCAAGTTTTGATAGGCTCAAAGCAAAGCAGGGCTGCACGTGAACTGGCACCATCAGATATGGATTGCAAAGGGAACCAGGGCTTTGTTCACCTTGGAAACTACAAAAATAAATGTGGAATATTGTGTTCATAGACAATTCTCTGATACTCTGCACCAAGGTTGGAAATTGAGGCTGCTGCTCTGTGTCAGAGTGACTTACGTCCTCCAGGCGAGAGTTGGAGGGTTCATTCTTTCTGATAAGATTTTAACCAGCAAGATTTCTGATAATCTCTGGTTATAGAGAACAAGGTTTCTTAGCAAGTAAGAAACAACAACCACTCAAAGAAGGGGGAAAGGAGCTGTTATGACATTTTACGGCTTCAGTGCGTCCTTGGGAGAAAGAGGGTTTCCTGCTCACCCTGCCATTGGATTTATCTATTTTCTCAGCCTGATGTGGAGTGTTGTAGAATGTAGCAGGGCAGATTTTTCTTTTCTCAGTCTGGGCTAATTTTTTTCTTTCCCAGTGCTAGTTCACGGAGTGGTGGCTTCTTTATATAATTCTTCCATCTAGTTAAAGATGTGATGACCTCAAAAGGTGTCCACCTATGAAGACGTATTTGCATGATTACATATATAATTACAGATATTCACAGAATTTTTTTTAAAATAATTGTAGATCTTGAAGGAGGAGAAAGAACTGACTCTAAAACATGGAAGGACCTTCGTTTCTCAGAGAGTCCACTGGAAATCCCACCTCACCATGAAGAATTAGGTTCTAGACCACCCACCCGCCAATCTCAGGTAACTTCTAAAGAAAATCTTCATGGTATTAAATACCTCCTATATTTTTAATCTTCCCGTGAAATCCTTTTAAGGCAATGTCCCCTAGCTTTTTCACCATGTGCCAGGCACTGTTTCAGTGTTGGGAATATTGTGTTGGGCAAGAAAGTCCCTGTACTCCGGAGCTTACATTTTATGCAGGGTGGGGGCATGAAAATAATAAACATGAAAGTCATCAACCAAAAATTTTAAAATAGTGGGAATGCCTGAGTGGCTTAGCTGCTTAAGTATCTGCCTTTGGCTCAAGTCATGATCCTAGGGTCCTGGGGTTGAGTGCCACATCAGGCTCCCTGCTCAGCAGGAAACCTGCTCCTCCTTCTCCCTCTGCCCCTCCCCCCAGCTCGTGCACAATCTCTCTCTCTCTCTCAAATAAATAAATAAATAAATAAATCCTTTAAAAAAATGAATAAAATTCACCCACAAGTGATTCTAATGGACAGGCATGGTTGAGAATCACAGATGCTAGGATCTTGAGGCCTATAGCAAGGAGTTTGAATTTTCTTCTCATTGTAAAGAAAATCTATTTGGAAGGTAAGACAAGATATCATTTGCATTTTAAAAAGTTTTTTAAATTTTTTTAAATCATTTTCATTAAAAATATGGAGATTAAGCTGTAGAGGAGTAAGAGGGGAGTAACATTTAGAAGGTTTTTTTACTCCAGGGGAGAGATGATGGTAGCTTGGACCAAGGTTGTAGAAGCGGTGGTGGTAGGAGGCATGGGAATCCAGACATGTTTTGGAGGAAGAGCCACCAGGTTTGGCTGAAGGATCAGATGGATGGGATAAGGGACAGGGAGGAGCCAAAGTTGACTCTGGTTTCTGGCCTGGGCGTCTAGAGATGGTGGTGGTATTAACTGAGATGGGGAAGATCAGGGAGGAGCAGGTATGAAAAGACTCATTACACATCCAGATGGAGGTCTTAAGTAGACCATTGGATGTGCAAGTTCAAACTCAGGGAAGAGGTCAGGGCCACAGATACATATTTAGAAATATTCAATAAAATTACGTTGTTTAAAGCTTGGGTCTGAATGAGATTACTTGCTGAGAGTATACAGAAGATGAAGGGCAGATGGCACAAGACAAAGTCCTTGACTTAGAGGTTGAGCAGAGGAGGAAGAGCCTGAGAAGTAGGAAGAAAGCCAAAGGGGGGAAAAAAAAGTGGTGCCATAGAAGCCAAAAGAAGAAAGAGTTTCAAGGAGAAGTGGACGTCTATGTCAAATGTCACCAAGGATTCAAATTAGACAAGGACTGGGACTTGCCCATTGGATTTGACAAGATGGAGGTGATTTACAACCTAAATAAAAGCCCTGTCAATAATTTAATTACTGTATAACACAAAGATTCTCTCATACTAGTTGCCTACTACAACTATTCTAGCACTCTGGTTTTTCAGTGTTTATAAAATTCAGTTTAGACTTAGGCATCTAAGGGCAACCCAGGAGCCCTTGCTTTCTTCCTCTAATTCTGAGTCCTAAGTAGAGTGTACCTGGAATCACACTGTCTATCCAGCCATAGCTGCTGCTGCTTTGCCTGTGATCCCACGGCTGCTCATACTTAGCATCAAGTATAAAAAAAGCGTGACTCCCAACCCTGGTTGCACAGAATCACCTGGGGGAACTTTAAATATATATGCCCTCCCAGCTACACCTTCCTGCAATCCTTTTAGATAAACTGATCCCATAAGCCTGGGATGGAGTCCTGAAAGATTTTGGTGATCACCTCAGTCTGAGTATCCCTGGCCTAGAAGACCAGCTATCGTCCCAAAGTCCAATCCTTTTCTTCATTTCCAGTCTCTAGTGCCGTAGTGTATCTCAGTGGAACCTCCTGGGTTCTTCTGTCAGCCCACTGACTATACTTCCTGGCAAGTCACAAAGCCCAGACCAGAGGACCACAGATCTAGTAAGCCCTTCCTGGAAATCTCAGTAAACAAAAGGATACACATCCCTGCAATAGAAGATTGCCCATCTTAGTCTCCTGGAAGAATGATTCCCTGGTTACCAAATGGACTAATGAGCACTCAACTCCTGTGAGCAGTGCTCACCAGTGCAGCCAGTGTAGTATATAAAAATACTGGTTTTGAGATAGAAAAATACCATTTTGAAGAACGAATGGTATATGACAAAATGCAATCATAACTTTTCAGAAAACATTCTCACATGACCATAGTAATCTGTAATGTGTCCAGAAAGAGTGATTTTCTTTGTGTATGAATATTTGGATTACCTTGCCCACCTACTCATTTAAGAGTTGTTTAAGATAAAATAAGACAGTATGTAAATATTCTAAGATTTAGAATCCCCCAAAACTAGGAACATGGGGACACATTTGGGGAATCTGACTAGAAGTTAGAAGACCAAGGGGGCCAGAAAAGGACTGCAGAACATTTATCTTCCACTCTTTTCATTCCTCTTGGTAAGAGATTCTTATCAATATTCCAGCTGAATCCCATCTGAAGCATATGTCAACAAACATCAGAATTAACAATACTGGGTATTACAACATTTCAACAATACCACCAGGGAGACAAGATGTCTCTGAACTAAGTGTCTGACCTTAGGCACCGTTAGGGGCTATGCAGCAGAATAAATGTAAAACCTGGGTTGAACATAAATGACAGCTTACACAGGGCTTTCGTTTCAGGGCATAAGAGCTGGGGGTTCTCTGGCAATGTGGAATACCTGAGTCAGCTGAATGGGTTAGTTATCTCTACTCAGCTCCAGTCAACTATTGACAAGAAGGCCTACAGGCTTAGTGTTGCCACATCTCATGATTTTACAAGAAAATCCAGAAACCTGCATTTTTATGTGCTATGATCTAATTTTAAATGTTAACAATTAAATCAGATTTTGAAATGCTGTGTGGACCAATATACATGGGCCAAATGAAACTCAGTGACCGTCCAGATTTGGTCAAGTAGACCACCACTTTGCAACATCTGGTCTGTGCCATGATGGATCTGACACAAAAGCATCTCAGAACCTCTGACAGCTCCCCATTACCTGAAGCATAAATTCTGGAGTCCTAAGCTCAGCCCACAGGTATTGTGGTGGACAGGGACCCTTTCGGGGTCAGAGAGGCCTGAGTACATAAGATAGTTCACATATTGTTAACATGACTTCAAGCAAGTGACTCAAACTTTCTGAGCCTCAGCATCTTCATCTCAGAAATGGGGATGATGATGATTATAATTATTTTTAGTTTCAGAGGCAGAGTTTAGTGATTCATACGTTGGATATTACATTCCTCATTACATCACGTGCCCTCCTTAGTGCCCATCACCCGGTTACCCAATGTCCCCACCCATCTCCGTCCAAGAACAAATATTGTGAAAATGTCTGGGCTACCTAAAACAATCTATACATTCAATGCAATTCCTATCAAAATACCATCAATATTTTTCAAAGAGATGGAACAAATAATCCTAAAATTTGTCTGGAATCAGAAAAGACCCCAAATAGCCAAAGGAATGTTGAAAAAGAAAACCAAAGCTGATAGCATCATAATTCCGGACTCCAAGGTCTATTACAAAGCTGTCATCATCAAGACAATATATGCTACTGGCACAAAAACAGACACGTAGATCAATGGAACAGAATAGAGAGCCCAGAAATAGACCTTCAACTCTATGGTCAACTAATCTTCAACAAAGCAGGAAAGAATGTCCACTGGAAAAAAGACAGTATCTTCAACAAATGGTGTTGGGAAAATTGGACAGCCACATGCAAAAGAATGAAACTGGACCATTTCCTTACACCTTATACAAAGATAAACTTAAAATGGATTAAAGACCTCAGATTAAATCTGAGGGATGCTTGAGTCGCTCAGTCAGTTAAGCATTTGCCTTCGGCTCAGGTGATGATCCCAGAGTCCTGGGATCAAGTCTCACATCAGGCTCCCTGCTCAGTGGGGAGGCTGCTTCTTTCTCTGCCTGCCGCTCCCCTTGCTTGTGCTCTCTCTCTCTGTCAAATAAATAAATAAAAATCTTAAAAAAAAAAAAAAAGACCTAACTCTGGGAAAGGAATCCATGAAAATCCTAAAGGAGAACATAGGCAGCAATGTCTTTGACCTTGGCCACAGCAACTTCTTGCTAGACATGTCTTCAAAGGCAAGGGAGATAAAAATGGGGAATGTATATGCCTCTTGGTGTGAGGCACTGAGATGGACACTATATCATTTCTCTCATATTTGTGCCAAAATGCATACATGAATCCAAGCATTACGAAACATCAGACAAAACCAAATTGAAGGAGATTCTACAAATTAAATGACACGTTACTCTTCAAACATGTCAAGATTGTGAAAGATGCAGATAGACTGAGGAACAATTTCGGATTAAAGGAGACAAAAGAGACTTGACAACTAAATGCACAGTATGACACTGGACTGGATCCTAGACCAAGAAAAAAAATATATAGTGTGAAGGACATCATTGGTGCAAACAATGACATTTGAAAAAAGATCTGGGGATTAGATAATAGTATTGTGTGGCCATTAAATTTTCTGGTTTTGATAATTGCATTGTCGTGTAAGAGGACATCATAGTTCTTAGGATGTGCACACTGAAGTATGTAGGGGCAGAAGGGCAAAGTAACTGCTGTTCATTCTCGAATAATTCAGGGACACACATACACAGAGAGAGAGAGAGAAAGAGAAGGAAGGTGCACCGGGCAAAATGTTAACATGAAAAACTGGTCAAGCTGGGTATCCAGGAGTTATTTGTATTCTCCTTGCAACTTTTCTGTTAAGTTCAAAATTATAGCAAAAGAAACTATTACAAAAAATTATTTTTTACAGATTTTATTTATTTATTTGACAGAGAGAGACACAGCAAGAAGGAGAGGGAGAAGCAGGCCTCCTGCTGAGCGGGGAGCCCAACAGGGGGTTCAATCCCAGGACCCTGGGATCATGACCTGAGCCAAAGGCAGACGCTTAATGACTGAGCCACCCAGGTGCCCACAAAAAAATTTTAAATGAGGATAATATTACCCACCTCATAAGATCACTGTGAAATGTTGAGATAACGACTACATAATACCATTTTAGCAGGTGTCAGACCCTTCCTAAATGATAGCTCCTCCCCTCTGTGTTCCTTCTCCAGCTACTCAGACTTCTAAATCATGTCACATCCTTGAGCCCCAGGATAGGCTAAGCACTGCCCTATCACTGTGCCTTTACAAATGGGTTTCCTCTGCTTCTTATTCCCATTGTCCTGTGTCCATTTGACAACCTTTTTTTTTATTCTTCCAGGCCAAGCTCAGGTGTTAGCACCCTGGGAAGCCTTTCTCCCCTGAAGCAAGTGAATGTGATTATTTTGTCCTTTAGAGTCCCATGGGACTCAATACAAATGCATTACGACACTGAACCCACAGTGTTTCCGTATTTTGTGTATACACCAGTTCAGCTCCTAAAGGATAGGGACCATGTAATATCTATCTTTGTCCCCTCCCTGTGTCAAACATAGTGCCTGGTACAAAGAATGCTCAAATAAAAATAAATCAAAATGAGTTAAATGTTTTCTCTGCATAGGTTCTTTTAGGTGAATTTTTGAATTGTTTCCCAGGGATGTAATCTTTGAGAAAAATGGAGGGCAGCTTAGGTTTTTAAATTCTAAACTCTGGTCTGTCTGATGATAGATTTGGATCTCTTTTTGTAAACTCTTGTTTCTAATGAAATATACATGTCTAATTGTAATAGCACCTTAATTTTCTTAAAATGTTGGGTCCTGGGGTAATTGTTAACTTCTGACTCTCCCATCATGGTTCTTAAAAGATGAGTGCTGGATGTGATAAGACAACATGTTAAAAAAAATTGTAATGCAATTTTACTGTACCAGAGCTTTTACTGTGATTTTATATGTATCCTTTATTGTAGTTCCCTAGTTTTGCTCACATAACTGGCCAGAAGAGTTTGACAAGCACAGAGATCATGAGAATTCAAAGAGAGACAGACTTTCTCAAGTAAGTATCACATTTTCTTTACTATTTCTTCAATTCTACTGAGGCATTGTCAAGAAAATTTAAGGATGAGGCATAAGAATGGTGTTTGCTCACCCAACTGTCTTTCATTAAATTTTTACAAATTTTAAAAGTATACAATAAAACTGCACTTATTTAAAAAGTACAGTTGACCCTTAGAGGGTCATTATGTACAATGGCCAAGACATGGAAGCAACCTAGGTGTTCATCAGTAGGCTAATGAATAGGGAAGATGTGGTATATTTACACAGTGGAATGTTACACAGTGGAATATTACACAGCCATAAAAAAGGATAAGACCATGCCATTTGTGACAACATAGATAGACCTAGGGGATATCATGCTGAGTGAAATAAATCATACTGAGAAAGACAAATACCATATGATTTCATTCATATGTGGAATCTAAAAAACAAGACAAATGAATAAACAAACAGAAGAACCAGACTTATAAATACAAAGAACAAACTAATGGTTGCTGGAGGGGAAGGGGTTGGAGGGATGGGCACAATGGGAAGAGGAGTGGGAGAAATAGACTTCCAGTTAGGGAATGAATAAGTTACAGGAATAAAAGCATAGGGGATATAGTGAGTGGTAATAACATTGTATGGTGATAGATGGTAGCTATCGTTGGGGTGAGCATAGCATATAAAGAAATCTAACCACTAAAAAAAAAAAAAAAGAAAGAAAGAAAAGAAGGAAATCTAACCACTATGTTACATAACATTGTGTATCAACCCTACTCAAGTAAAAAAAAATTTAATTCATTTTGCAAAAAAAAGTGCAGCTGACATGCATATAACCTTGAAACTATCACCATAATCAAGAAAATGAACAAGTCCATCACCTCCAAAAGTTTCTTGCACTGTACCCTTTTGAAATCCCTCCCTATCCCAAGGCAACTATTGATCTACTTCTATTTAAAAAGTCCTTCCTAAACCCAAGACAGATCCCACCACAAGATTTTCCACTGTTTTCTTCTAGAAATTTTATCTCTTATGATCCATATTTAATTATGGTGTGAGGTTATTCCAGTACCACTGGCTGAAAAGATTGTCCTTTCCTTATTGATTACTTTTGGGATTTTTGTGGCTCTGTTTCTGGACTCTGTATTCTGATAATATATAGATATAAATATAGACAAACTGATGTTTGTCTATATTTATTTACTACCACATTTCTGGATTACCATTCCCTTATAATAAGTCTTGAAACTAAGTGTTATAAATTCTGCAACTTTGTTCTTCTTTTATAAAAATAGTTTGGCTCTTCTCGGTACTTTGCATTTTTTTAAAAAGATTTTATTTATCCAGGGGCGCCTAGGTGGCTCAGTGGGTTAAGCCTCTGCTTTCGTCTCAGGTCATGATCTCAGGGTCCTGGGATCAAACCCTGCATCCTGCTCTCTGCTCAGCAGTGGGCCTGCTTCCCCCTCTCTCTGCCTGCCTCTCTGCCTACTTGTGATCTCTCTCTCTCTCTCTCTCTCTCTCTCTGTCAAATAAATAAAATCTTTATAAAAAAATTTTAAAGATTTTATTTATCCATTTGTCAAAGAGAGAGAGAGAGAGAGAGAGAGCGCATAAGCAGGGGGAGGGGCAGAGGGAGAAGCAGACTCCCCGCTGAGCAAGGAGCCCGATGCGGGACTGGATCACAGGACCGTGGAATCATGACCTGAGCCAAAGGCAGCCACCTGACCCACTGAGCCACCCAGTCATCCCAATACTTTGCATTTTCAAACAAGTTTTAAAATCAAGTTCTCAACATCTACAAAATGTTTGCTAGAGTTTTGATTTGGATTGCATTTAGTTGATACATTAATTTAAGACAGATTGATGTTATTAACAATTTTGAGCCTTTACAGTCCAGGAAAATGGGGTATCATCATTTATTTAGGTCTGCCTTAATTTCTTTCAGCAATGTTGTGTAGTTTTCAGTGCTCAGGTTTTACATATCCTTTGTCAAATTGATTCCTAAGTATTTCATAATTTTTTGATGCTGTCATAAATGTTATTGCTTTTAAAATATAAATTTCTGATTTTTCATTGCTGGGATAGTAAATGGATTTTTGTGTAGTGTTCTTATATCCTGGAATTTTACTCAACTCACTTATTCTTTTAGCTTTTTTGGTAGAGTCCATAGAATTATCTACATAGGTGGTCAGGACACCTGTGAATATTTTTTTAATTTTTTTTAAAGTTTATTTATTTAATCTCTACCCCCAACATGGAGCTCAAACTCACGACCCTGAGATCGAGAGTCACATGCTCTTCTGACTGTGGCAGCCAGGCACCCCTCACCTGCAAATACAGGCAATTGTTTTATTTCTTCATTTTCTGTGTGGGTCCTTCCTTCCTTCCTTCCTTCCTTCCAGCATAAACTGATTTATTTAAAAGTTTAAAAACGCGCGATAAACTAGAGATTATCCTTAGAATTAGCAGTGCTTTGTTAAAGACCAGGTAGGGTTAGAAGGTAAGAAATGGTATTGGGTGGGGGTGCACCTGCCTTAGTCACAGTGCAATCAATTACGTATTAATTCAGCTGTTACATCCTGGGGGATAGAAGTTGGGGGATCGATTATTTATTTACGGGGAACTCTACACAAATTAGAGACTTCCAGACCTACCCAGTGCCATCCTTCTCTACTCCTCAGGACCCTAAAGCCACCTAGATGGCAACATTGTCTATGCATATATTCTTCCCTCCCTAAGGAACTCTGCAAGCCAAAACTGTCTGCCCTCTGCAGCTGGAACATATATGCACATCCCTTTTCTTTCTTTCTTTTTTTTTTTTTCTTGACTTGTTGTCTTGGCCAGAACTTCCAGTAAATTTAGAATAGAAGTGATGAGAGTGGACATTCTTGCCTTATTCCTGAACATAGGGAGAAAACATTCCACTTTTTTAACATTAAATATGATATTGGCTAGAGATTCTTTTGTTGACCTTTCAGATTGAGGAAACTTTCTATTACTAGCTTGCTGAGAGTTTCTTTTTTTAAAAAGATTTTATTTATCTATCTGAAATAGAGAGAGAGAGAGTGAGAGTGAGAACCTGAGCTGGGGAAAGGGCAGAGAAAGAGAGAGAAGCAGACTCCCTGCTGAGCATAAAGCCCGATTCGATTCGGGGCTTGATCCCAGAATGCTGGGATCATGACCTGAGCCAAAGGCAGATGCTTAACTGACTGAGCCACCCAGGCACCCCTGATTTTCAAGTTTTAAAAAAATATATATTTTATTTATTTATTTGATTCGGGTGGGCATGGAACACACAAGTAGGCAGAGCAGCAGGCAGAGGGAGAGGGAGAAGCAGGCTCCCCACTGAGCAGGGAGCCCAATGCAGGGCTCAATCCTAGGACCCTGGGATCATGACCTGAGTTGAAGGCAGATGCTTAACCACCTGAGCCACCCAGGTGCCCCTGATTTTTAAGTTTTAAATCACCCATGCGTTTCTGGGATAAGTCTTACTTGAAGTATTATTTATTTGATGTCATGTTTAATTTCATTTGCTAAAATATAAAGAACTTTTGTGTATGTGTGCATGAAGGATATTGGTCTGTAATTTTCACACCTTACAGTGAAGATCTTTGTCTGATTTTAGTATCAGGATGATACTAAATGAGTTGGAAAGTATTCTCTTTCCTTTAATTTTCTGAGTTTGGGTAGAATTGGTATTATTTTTCCTTAGGTGTTTGGTAGGGTACACTAGTAAAGGCACTGGGGCCCAGAGTTTTAAGGAAGATTTTAAACTACATATTAAATTTGTTTAATAGGGGCACCTGGGTGGCTCAGTGGGTTTAAGCCTTTGCCTTCGGCTCAGGTCATGATCCCAGGGTCCTGGGATCGAGCCCCACATCGGGCTCTCTGTTCCACGGGAAGCCTGCTTCCTCCTCTCTCTCTCTGCCTGTCTCTCTGCCTACTTGTGATCTCTGTCTGTCAAATAAATAAATAAAAATCTTTTAAAAAATAAATAAATAAAATGTGTTTAATAAATATAAATCTTTTTAGGTTTATCTATTTCTTTTTTTAGTGAAACTTTGGCTTCATTTTTTTTTTTTAAGATTTATTTATTTGTTAGAAAAGGAGCAGGGGGCAGAGGGAGAGAGAATCTGAAGCAGACTGTACACTGAGTGTGGAGCTAGACACAGGGCTCGATCTCCTGACCCTGAGATCAGCACCTGAGCTGAAACCACGAGCCGTTTGCTCAGCCAACTGCACCATCCAGGCACCCCTCCTCTTCTTTTTCTAATTTCTTTAATGTGGAAGATGAAGTAATTTATTTGAAGCCTTTCTTCTTTCGAATATAGACATTTAGAACTCTGCATTTGCCCCTGAGTACTGCATTAGCCCTGAATGTTGGTATGTTGTCTTTTCATTTCATTTCATTTTTACTTTTAAATTTTTTTTAAGTAGACTCCATGCCCAATGTAGGGCTTGAACTCACAACCCTGAGATCAAGAGCCACACGCTCTACTGACTGAGCTAGGTGCCCCTTTTGTGTTTTCATTTTAATTTTCATTTTAAATTTCATTTTAATTCAGTGTAAACTCTAACTGACCTCATAATAAAACTATGAGGTTTTATTATTATCCTCCTTGATCAGATGTGGAGTTGTAGAGATTTAGCAACTCACTCAATATTGGGTTATTTTGAAAGTATTTTATTAAATTTCTAAATATTTGGGGATTTTCCTTATATCCTCTGATCTTTATTTCAAATTTAATTCCTTTTTTGATCAGAGAACATATATGATTTGATTGGTGAATGTTCCATGTACATTTGAAAAGAATGTGCATTTTGCTAGGGTGAGTATTCTATAATTGTCAATTAGGTTAAGTTGGTTGATAGTATTGTTTAACTCTGTAACTTAATGAGTGATTGAGAAATCTATGTGACTATAATTATGAATTTGTCTACTTATCCTTGCTTTCTATCAGATTTTGCTTCATGTACTTTTAAGTTCTATTATCATGTATAAACCTTTTGGATTCTTATGTCCTATTGCTGAGTTGACCCCTTTACTTCTTTAACCTTGGTGATACCCTTTGTTTAGAAATCTATTGAAAAAAAAAATCTATTTTGTTTGACATTAACATAGCTACTCCTGTTTCTTCTGATTAGTGTTTGCATGGTCTAACTTTTTTCATCCTTTAACGTTTAACCTATTTGTTTTTCTTTAAGTTTTTAAATTTTTAAAAATTTATTTGTTAGAGAGAGAGAGAGAGAGAGAGAGCGAGCGCACAGGCAGACAGAGTAGTAGGCAGAGGAAGAGGGAGAAGCAGGCTCCCTGCCAAGCAAGGAGCCTGATGCGGTACTCCATCCCAGGACGCTGGGATCATGACCCGAGCCGAAGGCAGCTGCTTAACCAACTGAGCCACCTAGGCGTCCCTCTTTAAGTTTTTTTTTTTTTTTTAAACAGCATCTAGTTGCTTTAAAAACATTTTAATTGGGGTGTTAAGAGTTATATTCTGATGATTGATATATTTGAATTTAAATCAACCATCATGCTTTTTGTTTTCTGTTCATCTTATCTGTTCTTTGTTGCCTTTTCTTTTTTTCTGCCATCTGTTGGATTAATTGGGTATGTTTCATGATTCCATTTTATTTTATATGCTTTGTTAGCTTATTAGCTGTAACTTTGTTTTTGGTGGTTGCTTTAGGGTTTCTAAAACATGTTTTTTTGTTGTTTTTTTTTTAAAGATTTTATTTATTTATTTGAGAGAGACAGTGAGAGAGAGCATGAGTGAGGAGAAGGTCAGAGAGAGAAGCAGACTCCCTGCGGAGCCGGGAGACCGATGCGGGACTTGATCCCGGAACTCCAGGATCATGGCCTGAGCCGAAGGCAGTCATCCAACCAACTGAGCCACCCAGGCGTCCCTCTAAAACATGTTTAACTCATCACAGCCTATCCTCAAATAGGATTATGCCACCTTGTATAAAGCATAAGAACCTTATATCCTATACTTCTAGGAGCTCAGTAACAGTAGCCTTAGTGCCATTGTGGTCACTCATTTCACATCTACAAATACTATGAACCCCATAATACATTATTATATTTAAACATATTATACATATACATTATTACATTATTACTTTTATTTTATATAATCAATTATTTTTGAGGCCCTTTATACTTTTATTGTGGTAAATAAATAAAATCTACCATTTTAACAATTTTTAAGTGTACAGTTCTCTAGCATTAAGTACATCCACAGTGTTGTGCAACCATCACCAGCCATCCATTTCCAGAATTTTTTTGTCATTCCAAATGGAACTCAGTTACCATTAAACAACAACTCCTTTACCTAATCCTTGCAGCCCCTGGTAACCTCTGTTCTCCTTTCTGTTTCTATGAATTTGCCTATTCTAGTTTCTTTATATAAGTAGAATCAGACAGTATTTGTCCTTTTGTGTTTGACTTATTTCACTTAGCATAATATTTTCAAAGTTCTCATGTTGTAGTATGTATCAGAATCTCATTCCATATTAAAGATGAAAAATATTCCATTAAGTATACACCACCATTTGTTTCTCTGCTCATCTGTTGATGGACACTTGAGTTGTTACCACATTTGACTATTGTGAATAACGCTGCTGTGAACACTGGTGTCCAAGTATCTGAGACCCTGATTTCAGTTCTTTTGAGTATTTACCTAGGACTGGAATTTTGATTTTATGGTAATTCTTGTCCAACACTTTGAGGAACTGCCAAACTGTTTCCCACAACAGCTGCCTCATTTTACCTTCCACCAGAAATGCACAAGGGTGTCACTTTCTCCACCAATACTTACTATTTTCTGTTTTTCTAATAGTCATCCTAATAGATATAAAGTGGATTTTCATTGGGGTTTTTGCTTTGCATTCCTAATGACAAGTGATCTTGAGAATGTTTTTCACGTGTTTCTTGGCCATTTGTATATCTTCTTTGGTCAAGGAGTGGTTCTCCAGCATGCCAGACAAGACCTGTCACTTAGGCTGAGCTCAGAGGTCAGGTGGGAAGTCAGAAAATTGCACTTAATGTAGACTTTGCTGGAATTCTCGAGGCTCACCGTCACACATGCCAAATCCAATGTGATAGGATGACTCAGAAGTGGGATCAAGGCTGCTGATAAACTTCTGCCACAGTCAGGAAGTAAGGTAAGCCAGACCAGGTGAAGGACACAAATGGGTCTAGGTGGAAGGCCACTTTGTAATAGAATGACCAGAGAAGCATCCCCTGTCTTGACCTTGTTCCATAGCCTTTGAGAGTGGTCTGCTCTTTGTTTTTGTTTTTGTTTTTCTTAAATGTTTGAACACTTGGAGAGTTTCATCTGACTTCTTAATGTGAACCCATCAGAACATGGCCAATGAGGAACCTATTTTATTGCAGGTGTGCCCACTGCCTGGCCCCCCGCCCATCTGACCCCTTTGCTCGCTTCTGTCAAGAATGTGGCTCTCCTGTCCCACCCATATTTGGCTGTCATCTCCCACCCCCAGAAGGAGCTCAGGTGAGCAGCAGAATCTTCAAAAACTTCTCTCATTGGTTTATCTGATTTTTAGTAGCCACAGTAGCATAGTACCTGGCATTCATGATCCCCAAACATAAAAACTTGTTGAAAAAATTACTGGCAGATTAATCTCTTATTGTCCAGTCTCTTACTTAAGAATGGAAAACCTTGTTTGCGATGCCATTTCTTTCAGTGGCCTTAAAAAAGCACAGGCTGAAAAGGATATTCAGTTTATAACCTGTGTACAGTAATATTTCTATTCTAGAAATAAATGGAGAGAAGTACTAATTACAAGTCTTTGTATCCTTAAGATACATCATTCTGTCCAAAGATGCTTTTGGTATAACCTATAGATGGATCAATTAAAAAATTGTGGCTGTTAAGTATAGATAATAATTGGTATTAGCCTACTAAAGAGTTTGTAGTTAGAAAAGATACTCAGCTTACTAAAAATCAAAATGCCAAAATGTGTTATCTTTTATGCATTTGAAACTTGGGGAGTTTTTTGGAGTAGGGTTTGCAAAATGAAATAAAAGGATCTATGATGTTGACTGAAAGATAACCATCTTTAAAAAGGTAGTCACTAAGAAAAAGCCACTAATTCAGTGAGTTTAAGTCTAGAGTTCTAGAATTGAGTTATATCTTCAAGCAAAAGGTGAGAATCTAAATAGATATCTTTTTTATAATTTATTCCAACATATTGCTCAAGATTGTTGTAGACGTTAATTTAATTTACTATAAAATACCTTGAACTTCATAAAGAAGATAATACAGCAAATAAAACATGAACAGGCCTCAGCAGTTTGGATTTTCCCTGCTTATATTCATTCGTTGGTACAGTGTCAAAGATATTTTTTTACTTGCCTGAAAACAGATTTCCAAAGATTTTATTTATTATTTTAGAGAGAGAGATAACGTGAACAGGGGATGGGACCAGGGAGAGAGAGAGAAAGAATCCCAAGCAGACTCTGCTGAGCACAGAGCCCGATGTGGGGCTCAATCCCAGAACCCTGAGATCACAACACAAGTTGAAACCAAGAGTCAGTTGCTCAACCAACTGTGCAACCCAGGTACCCTGGAAAACAGATTTCAGAACTTTGTTTTTTCCTTTAGGGAGGAAAGGTCATCAAAGATTATGAATATTTTATTTATTTATTATTTATTTATTTATTTTTATTTTTTTAAAGATTTTATTTACTTATTTGACACAGAGAGACATCACAAGTAGGCAGAGAGGCAGGCAGAGAGAGGAGGAAGCAGGCTCCCCGCTGAGCAGAGAGCCCAATGTGGGGCTCAATCCCAGGACCCTGAGATCATGACCTGAGTCGAAGGCAGAGGCTTAACCCACTGAGCCACCCAGGCACCCCAATATTTTATTTATTTTTTAAAGATTTTATTTATTTATTTGACCAAGAGAGAGCACAAGCAGGGGGAGCAGCAGGCATAGGGAGAGGGAGAAGCAGACTCCCTGCTCAGCTTGATCCTAGGACCCTGGGATCATGACTTGAGCCAAAGGCAGACTTTAACCAACTGAGCCACCCAGGTGCCCCAAGGTTATGAATATTTTAAATGACAAACTTTGAAACATCTATATTGTCCACTCCAAAATATTTTTAATATGCTATAATATATAAACAGATTTGGGGGTGCCTGGGTGGTTCAGTGGGTTAAGCCTCTGCCTTCGGCTCAGGTCATGGTCCCAAGGTCCTGGGATCCAGCCCCACATCGGGCTCTCTGCTCAGCGGGGAGCCTGCTCCCTCTCTCTCTCTCCGTCTACCTCTTTGCCTACTTGTGATCTCTCTCTCTCTCTGTCAAATAGATAAATAAAATCTTTTAAAAATAAAAAAATATATAAATATGTATATATATATATATATATAAACAGATTTGTAATTTAAACTCTTTATTTGCTACTTATTGTGTCCTGCTCTCAGCTGGATTTCTGGGATTCAAAGGGGTGGAGCCTACTCCTAGGTTCCTAGACCCAAAACACTCGGAGTCTTGTTAGACCGATGGAGAAGTGCACCTTACAGCTCCAGATCCACCCTTCATTGCCCTGTCTCATGGGTCTTAAAGCTGGACCCTTTAAACATTTCTCCTGTGCCAGCTAGCTAGATGTTAATTTTTGTTAGTAGAGAAACATTGCTGCTGGAGGGACACTGCAGAATAATGGGCTTGGGTTTTCTTCCTGGTTCTGATATGCTTTCGTCTCTTTGTGCTTTGATGGTGCTCAACTAACCTGCAAGAACCCAGTTGTTTGCCAGCAAGTTTTAACAGCATGCCTGCACATGGCTCCCCAGAAGGAGATTTCCAAACAGGTTTCACTGGACCCAATTCTTTGCTTTTTGCTTGCCAGTTCAGGTCTGCGTCACCCCAGTTAAACTTCTCTGCTATCCAATGGTCAACAACCATACTCCTTTTCCTCCCCATTTATTTATCTTTTCTGTAATATATAGTATATATATATATCACAACTATATATGTTATAAACTGAAAATGCAGTGTTACATGATCTTATGTCATTTAAAGATGAGAAAAAAGGTTTATGTACTCATTTATATTTACTTACATATTTATTAAATCTGGTCTCTAGTTTCTTCATTTCTTTCCTGTGAACTCAGGTTATCATCTAGTGTCACTTATTTTCAGCCTGGTGGACTTCCTTTACTAAAGGCACATCTGCTTGTCATTTCTCTCTGTCTTTGTTTATCTGAGAATATTTATTTTGCATCCTCTTCTGAAGGATAGTTTTACTGGATGTAGAATTCTTGTTTGAAAGGATTTACTTATTTATTTGAGAGAGAGGGGAGGTAGGGGCAGAGGGAGAGGGAGGATCTCAAAGCAGACTCCCTGCTGAGCAGGGACCCTGATATGGGACTCTTATCTTCCAACCCTGAGTCTGAGCCGAAACCAAGAGTTGGACGCTTAACCAACTGAGCCACCCAGGTGCCCCTTGTTTGACAGTTATTTTTAATCTCAGTCCTTTGAATACATTATTCCCCTACCTCTGACCTGCATGGTTTTTGATATATGTGATAAGTAGTTTTTTCTCTTGCTACTTTTAAGACTTTTCTCTGTCTCTGACATTCAATAATTTTTTTAAAGATTTATTTATTTATTTATTTGACAGAGATCACAAGTAGACAGGCAGCCAGAGAGAGAGAGAGAGAGGGAAGCAGGCTCCCTGCTGAGCAGCGAGCCCAATGCGGGACTCGATCCCAAGACCCTGAGATCATGACCTGAGCCAAAGGCAGTGGCTTAACCCACTGAGCCACCCAGGCACCCCTGACATTCAATAATTTGATTATAGTATGACTAAGTGTGGATCTCTTTCTGTTTATCTTTCTTGGAATTGATTTTCTTGGAGCTATGGATTCATGTTTTTCTTAAATATGGGAAGTTTCTGGCTATTATTTCCTCACATTCTTTTTTTTGCCTTTTCTTCCCTCTCCTTTCTTTCTAGGATTCCTGTTACATGTATGTTGATATGTTTTTTGTTGTCCCACAGGTGTTTGATGGTTTGTTTATTTTCTTCCATCCTTTTTCTCTCTGTTCTTCAGACTAGAACATTTCTTTTCTTTTTTTTTTTTTTAAAGACTTTATTCATTTATTTGACAGAGAGAGATCACAAGTAGACAGAGAGGCAGGCAGAGAGAGAGAGAAAGAGAGAAGCAGGCTCCCCATTGAGCAGAGAGCCCGATGCGGGACTCGATCCCAGGACCCTGAGATCACGACCCGAGCTGAAGGCAGCAGCTTAACCCACTGAGCCACCCAGGTGCCCCCAGACTGGAACATTTCTATTGGACATATTCATGTTCACCAATTCTTTCTTCTGTCATCTCTGATCTGCTATTGAGTCCCTCTGGAGAATTTTTTTTTCCCCATTTCAGTTATTTTAATTTTAAAAATTTAATTTTCATCTTAATTTTTGGGCACTTGGGCTACTGAGTCAATTAAGCATCTGCCTTCCACTCAAGTCATGATTCTAGGGTCCTGGGATCAAGCCCTGCATTGGGCTTCTTGCTCAGCCAGGATCCTGCTTCTCCCTCTGCCTGCTGCCCCCACTGCTTGTGCTTGTGCTCTCTCTCTCTCTGTCTCTCTGTCAAATAAATATATAAAATCTTTAAAAACAATAATAAACTCCAGGTTTTTATATGGTTCTTTTTAAAAAATAATTTCTATGTCTTTATTGAGAGTCCTTATTTTTTGGATCATTGCCATCATACTTTCTTTATCTTTTAAACATGGTTTCCTTGAGGGATGCCTGGATGGCTCAGTTGGTTAATCGGCTGCCTTCAGCTCAGGTAATGATCCCAGGTCCTAGGATCGAGTCCCACATCAGGCTCCTTGCTCAGCAGGGAGCCTGCTTCTCCCTCTGCCTGCTCTGCCTGCCTTTCCCTGTGCTTATGCTCTCTCTCACTCTCTCTCCAACAATTAAATAAATAAAATATTTAAAAAACAAACAAACAAACAAACAAACATGATTTCCTTGAGTTCTTTGAACATTTTATAACAGCTGTTTTGAAATCTTTGTAAATCCAACATTTGGGGATACTATATCAACTGTTTTTTTTCCTCCCTGAGTATAGGTCACACTTTCTTGTTTTTCATATGCCTCATAATTTTTTTCTTTGATTCTGGACATTTTTTTTTAAGATTTTATTTATTTATTTGATGGTAGAGATCACAAGTAGGCAGAGAGATAGGCAGAGGGGGAGGGGGAAGCAGGTTCCCTGTGGAGCAGAGAGCCTGATGTGGGGCTCAATCCCAGGACCCTTGAGATCATGACCTGAGCTGAAGGCAGAGGCTTACCCCACTGAGCCACCCAGGTGCCCCGATTCTGGACATGTTAGATGATATATTGTAACAACTCTAGACTCTGACTTTTTTTCATAGTGTTGTTTTTCTTTTTCTTTTTTTTTTTCTGCTGTTTTTATTGTTAATTACTGGGATTAATTTTTTTCTCATGTTTGTCTCCCCTGAAATGTGTGGCCACTGATATCAGGTTTTCTGTTCTTGTTTTTTTTTTAAATATATAATTTTTTATTTTTTTATTAACGTATAATATATTATTATGTCCTTGTTTTTATTTATTTTATTTTTTTAAAGATTTTATTTATTTATTTGACAGACAGAGATCATATGTAGGCAGAGAGGCAGGCAGAGAGAGAGGAGGAAATAGGCCCCCTGCTGAGCAGAGAGCCCGATGTGGGGCTCTATCCCAGGACCCTGAGATCATGACCTGAGCCGAAGGCAGAGGCTTTAACCCACTGAGCCACCCAGGCGCCCCTCTTGTTTTTATTTTTAAGCCTGGGGACTCCCTAGGTCTGCATAGCTTAGTGATCAAATGAAGACTGGCCAGAAGTTGTACTCAAATACCTTGGTCCAGTAAGGCTTCCACTCTCTGCTAATGGGTCTGTGTGGGCTGGACTGAATGTTCAAGCTTCAGGCTATTTTCAAGTCTGCCTCAGCTTTTACTTTATACTGAACTCCTTTGCATCTCCATGTGTAGCCTCCATCAGCCAGAGATGTGTGAGTGGCTTATGCCCACTGTGGTTTATGCTATACATGTGCATATCTTCCAGTCAATTAAAGATATGTGGGGAGCTTATCAAGCTCCCTATATTTGACTTACCTCCTGGAACTTTGTGTTAAATCCCTGGCTAGTTGCCTCAAACAGGACAGTGATTTCAGGCATAATTATAGAGCCACTGGCCCTCTCTGTTTGCTGGCCACTGAGATTGTCATCTTAACAGTGCTCCAAATCAAGGGAGCCCTGCCCAGCAGCAGCTATGAAGCTGCTGGTTTTCACAGCCTGTCCTGCCCCAGTGAAGCTCTCACACTGACAGAGCTGAAGGAGGATGGGAACAGCCTCAAGCAGGAACCACATAGACTCGTGTTCTTATCTGCAATTCACCACTTTTCAGTTTGCTGTGTACCTTTAGTGACTTTCAGAATCTGGAATGGTTTTTTTAATCTGAAATGACAGTTTTATCCAACTTTATAATTGTTTTTCGGAGAGAGGAGTTGTGGGTTTCCTTACTCCATTGTGCTATAAGATATTTTTTTCTTTTTTTTATATGTCTATTTTCCACAATAAACATATTCTTACTCACAATACACAAAAATAAGAATAGGTAATTATTTTTAAAGTTTTTTTTTTTACAAAGCAAATTAAATCTTTTTTTTTTTTTTAAGATTTTATTTATTTGAGAGAGAGAGGGAGGGAGAGAGAGAGAGAGAGAGACAGAGCACGAACAGGGGGAGGGTCTGAGGGAGAGAGAGAAGCAGACTCCTGGCTCACTGGGGAGCCTAATGCCAGACTCGATGCCAGGACTCTGGGATCATGACCTGAGCTGAAAGCAGATGCTTAACTGACTGAGCCACCCAGGTGCCCCCCAAGACAAATCTCTTTCTTTGTGCAGATGGGCTTGTGTGCAGAGTGCGGAAACATGGTGCCCATGAACACTCCCATCTGTGTGGTGTGTGAGGCCTCTCTTACCCTACAGCCGCAGCCACAGGCCAGCCTCCGCTTGAAGGTAATGAAATGTGATTCTGTAAAAACATGAATAAAATACATAGAAAGTGACATGTAAGTCATTAAATGTCTTCAGCTGGTGGAGTTGGTGAACAATTGATAAACTTGTATCTAAACAAAATCCACTCTAATTTTTGGGAAGGCATGCTGCCCAAGAACTTTACCTGCCAATAGGATCTATAATTCCTGAGAGATACATAGAGATGTGTTCCTTGAATATGGATTTGGGCTTACAGTTAACTTAGGGCTGGGACCCTCTTTAAGTAATTACTGAAAAAGATCTGATGATTCACGTTACTGGGGCAATTACCTCCTTATGAGAGCCCCGCCTCTCACACGATGATTTGGGGCTAAAGCTAGTGTAACCACAGCTCTGCATCAAGCGGAACTTTAGCTTGGTAACATACAAAATCCACTTGGAAGTGAGCTTTGCAATGACCTATGCATTTTTCCTCACTTCATTTTGTCAGAGCTCATCATTTGGGAGATTAGAAAATTGTTCTCATTTCCCAACTACTTTGTAAGGAAAAATGTTACCCCAATAACTAAGTTGGGTCCACTAAATTGCATAGAACAATTCAACTAGACATTGCAAATGCTCTGGGTGAGGTAGCATATGAGGGTATTGACTTTTTAAAAAAGATTTTATTTATCTGAGAGAGAGAGAGCATGAGAGGGTGGGGGCAGAGGGAGAAGCAAACTCCCTGCTGAGCAGAGAGCCAGACATGGGGCTCAATCCCAGGATCCTGGGATCACAACTTGAGCCAAAGGCAGACGCTCAACAGACTGAGCCACCCAGGCACTGAAGGGTAATGACTTTTTTAAAAAAATGTCCTCATCACAGATGTTTAGCATCTTCTTTAAGGTAGTCTGATAGTGGCCTCAATCTCAAGTCATCCCTATGGACATCTTTGAGTACAGTGATTATGATCTAAAATCATTTCTATCTGTGGGTCATGGTCACTGCTCTTCAAGGAAGTGAGCCATGACATGGTGTCACAAAGTCACCAACAGAACCATTAGAGAGACCTGTTGACCAAGAAGACTATTTACTGGACCTAAAACAGGAAGGTAGACTGCCACTTTGACTGTGTTGATTATCTCAGAAGAGAGAAGGCAGGGGAGGGTGTTTATAGGGTTTTAGTACTACACTTGGGTGATTTTTTTTTTTAAGATTTTTATTTATTTATTTGACAGACAGAGATCACAAGCAGGCAGAGAGAGGAAGGGAGAGGCTCCCTGCTGAGCAGAGAGCCCGATGCGGGGCTCGATCCCAGGACCCCGGGATCATGACCTGAGCCGAAGGCAGAGACTTAACCCACTGAGCCACCCAGGTGCCCCTTGGGTGATTTTTTTAAAAGGGAGTTTGACAAGCATGAACCCTAAGGTCAATTATGGACTTCGGGTGATAATGATATGTCTCTGTGGGTTCACTGGTTGTACCGAGTATACCATCCTGGTGTGGGATATCAGCAGTGGGGGAGGTTGTATGTGCGTGGGAACAGGGAGTAAGTATATGGGAACTCCCTGTAATTTCTGCTCAGTTTTGATATAAACCTAACACCACTCCAAAAAAATGAAGTTTATTAGTTAAAAAAAATTTAAAAGGGAGTTTTGCAAGGCAGGCTTGAGGGCCGAGTTAGTTTGGGTCAGGCTAAGTTATGATATGCTAGTTTTAAAAATAGTTTATTTAAATAAAAATTTTAAATATTTAAATAAAATTTTAATGATTTCTTTAAGTGAAAAATTTTAGCCACTGGGTGGCTCAGTCGGTTAAGCATCTGACTCTTGATTTTGGATCAGGTCATGATCTCAGGGTTGTGAGATTGAACCCCGCTTCAGGTTGTGTGCTGAGTGTGGAGTCTCCTTAAGATTCCCTCTCCTTGCCCCCACCCCCACTCGTTCTCTCTCTCAAAATAAATAAATAAAAATTTTATATATTTAAGGTGATGATGTTTTAATATACATGTACATAGTGAAATGTTTACTATATTCAAGCTAATTAACATATCCATCTCTGTATAGTGGAAATTTGCTGAGAGTAGATTTTGGGTGTTTCCACTACACATGTATGCATGCACATGTGTGCACACACACACACAGAACTGTTAATGATGTGAGAATATATTAATTTTGGATTGTGGGACCTGCTAGTATGAGGATCCTGAAGTAAGCTGTTGGACTAAATAAGTAAGCAGCCTTATTGGTTTTCAGTCTTTACAGAATATTTCCTGAAGCAAACAGCTTTTATTATTTTTGTTTGATCTCAGTATTTCTTTAACATAGGGACAGGGAATTTGATTCACTCTCAATGAGTGTCTGAGAGTCACCAAAACTTTTCTGAGTCTCCAGGAAGACCACAACCCTAAATCTCACAGAAAAGCTCTGGCAATCACAGATTATGCTGCAGAGACTAAGCAACTTGGAAGAATGCTGAACCAGCGAGTGTCAGGATCCACTAGGAGCAAGTCTGTGATTCTCTGCCATTTTCAATATCAGTCAGTTGGCCATTTGCACTTTAGGAGTTCTTTGAGTTGCAAGAACTAGAGTGAAATTAACCAGCTTCGGAAAGACCAGGGACTTCATAGCCTACCTAATGGCATTGGAACTACAGTCCTGGGAGTTGGACTTTCTTTTGATTGTTGTCGTTGCCTCTACAGCTTCAGAACACACCATGTCAGTTTCAGGACACCTGGGAAATGTAGGCACTGGAGGAAAAAGGAATATTTGAGTGTCACCAGTCGTTGATAAATGAAGGGGATAGTATCCTGATAGTGCAGGAAGGTCCAGCCACTGAACAGGTGTTAGCAAACCTTTAGTAGCTCATCTCTAGTTGGAGTACTTTAATACTCCTTCCTTCCTTCCTTCTTTCTTTTCTTCCTCCCTCCCTTCCTTCCTTCCTTCCTTCCTTCCTCTCTGTATTGCTACTTATCCTTAGTTTCCTAACTCGGAAAGTTGTACTCACCATTTATTTTCTAAGGCAGTCTTCTCATTTTTGCATTTCTGAGTAAGAAACTACAGAGCAAACCTAAATTCATTAACATGAAGTCTTATAGGCAGTTTACAAGATGACTTGTAAACACATAGGTAACTTTTTGCTAGTCCTGGGCTTTTTTGTTTATTTTTCAAGCCATGAGATGGAGAGCCTACCATCATGTTTTCCTCTGAGGAAAAAAAAGAAAGTAAGAAACTCATACATTATCAGTGCAAAATTTTTTATTTGCCTTCCCGAGGCCAAATGAATACCTGTTTTCAGTTTGTTTGTTCATTTTGGGTTGTTTCTTTTAAAACGATTTTCATTTGTCTCACACTATGTTATAATCGTTCCTAGACCAATCCAATTTCAGGGTCTTGGTGCTAAAATAAAGTCCATATCTGACTGATTGAAAAGACTGCTTGATGATTTCTTTGCACAGTTGTTTGCTCAGAGAAAAATGTGTTTCTTGTTCCTTGTTTTCGAGGAGAAAGTAGTCTGCCGCACCTGTGGCACAGGGAATCCAGCTCACCTGAAATACTGTGTCACCTGTGAGGGGGCCCTGCCTTCATCTCAGGAGGTAAGTTGACAGCATGGGCCAGGCCTCTGTTTGGTGGGTGCTCAAAGTCCAGTGTCAATAATAATGAAGAGGGGTGCCTGCGTGGCTCAGTCGGTTAAGCGTCTGCCTTCAGCTCGGGTCTTGATCCCAGGGGCTTGGGATCAAGCCCCATATCAGGCTCCATACTCAGCGGGGAGCCTGCTTCTCCTTCTCCTCCCCACTCCTGTTCTCTCTCACTATCTGTCTCTTTCTCTCTCTCTGTCAAATAAAATCTTTAAAAATAATAATAATAATGAAGAAATATAATCTGCAGAGGAGGGAAGAAGTAGGAGGTTGGAGAGAGACACAGAAGGCAACATTTCTAAATGTGGAGAGGACTTTATATATTCACCAATACAAAACTGTTTTCAAAGTGTTTTTTTTTAATTTTATTTTTTATAAACATATAATATATTTTTATCCCCAGGGGTACAGGTCTCTGAATCGCCAGGTTTACATACTTCACAGCACTCACCATAGCACATACCCTCCCCGTCTTTTTTTTTTTTAAAGATTTTATTTATTTACTTGACAGAGATCACAAGTAGGCAGAGAGGCAGGCAGAGAGAGAGGAGGAGGCAGGCTCCCTGCTGAGTGGAGAGCCCCATGTGGGGCTTGATCCCAGGACGCTGGGATCATGACCTGAGCCAAAGGCAGAGGCTTTAACCCACTGAGCCACGCAGGCACCCCCTGTTTTCTAAGTCTTAACTCCAGGGGGATTCAATAAAATCAGCAATTTCTTTTTTTTTTTTTTTTAAGATTTTATTTATTTTGTTTGACAGAGAGATTACAAGTAGGCAGAGAGGCAGGCAGAGAGAGAGGAGGAAGCAGGTTCCCTAACGAGCGGAGAGCCTGATGCGGGACTAGATCCCAGGACCCTGAGATCATGACCTGAGCCGAAGGCAGAGGCTTTAACCCACTGAGCCACCCAGGGGCTCCTAAAATCAGCAATTTCCTACAATTTCCTTTGATAACTTTGCCTGAAAGGCTGGTAGCAGCCAGTGGAGAAGTAGACCCCCTCGTATTTCATTCATGGTCACGTATGTCTTCGCTGACTATGCCATGCTGTTTTTTGAAATCGAGAACATGTCGGTACCCTCTTCTGGATTTTCTACCAGTCTATTCTGAGTATTTATAGTGAAGGAATAGGAGTACATGCAAATGAAATTGATGTTATTACCTGTCAGGGATGTAGTGGTTTCTGGGTCTCACCTATCAGCGGAACTGTTTCAGGAACAATTACAAAATTGAATTTGTTTTCCGTATTTGATTTCTCTTTGAATGGTATATCAGAGTTTGAATGTCATAATAAGAGTATATACCATTGAAGTGCCAAAGAAGTAACAGTGTGTAGTCATTCTGATAGCTTATGTCTTTTCTTTGTTTAATGGCATTAATATGAATGGAATAAAATACCTTTTCTTTCTGTAAAGCAATGTTATGTTTTAAAAAATCCACTTGAACAACAGAAGCATTTATTTTTTTTTTAAGATTCCTTTTTTTTTTTTTTTTTAGTTTGGGGGAGTGTGCACAAACGGGGGTAGGGAGTGGGGGGCGGGGAGGAGGAGCAGAGGTGGAAGGAGAAAAAAGGGGGAGAGAATCTCAAGAATGCTCTGAGTGCATAGCTGGATGCAGGGCTCAGTCTCACAGCAGTGGGATCATGACCTCATCCAAAATCAAGAGTTGGATGCTTAACCAACTGAGCTACCCAGGTGCCCTGAATAGTAAATGCATTTAAATAAAAGAGCTGAAGGCTTTCTATTTAGAAACCCAGGTCAGCAAGTTTTATATTAAAACCCTATTGTAGCGGGAGGATATATTTGAAATTTAAGTCTGAAGCAAAAGGGTGCAAAGCATTTCTCTCTTGATTTGTCCCAAGGAGTCTCACTCTTTCACAGAAATGGGGTAAGGGTTAAGTATTTACAAACAGAGATCTTCGTTCTGTCTTTCTGGATAGATGTCTGCTTTAGAATAACGAAACTGTCCCTGAAGTGAAACAGGATATAGCTAAGCAAATAAAGTTGACTAAAATATCAGTTCTGGAGGAAAAAATGGTCCTTTGAAAATGTCTTCTCTAGTGTGCATGTTCTTAATATTGTATGTGGGATATGTGGCATTTCTCAGTTATAGCATGATTCATTGATTCATTCATTCAGTAACCGTTTGCATGACTCTAATGTGCCAAGGTACAAGGTACTGTGTTAGTGGGGGAAAAATGTGAAGTGTAGTCCTTTCTCCTAAAGAAATCAGGGTCTATGGGCCCCTGGGTGGCTCAGTTGGTTAAGCGACTGCCTTTGGCTCAGGTCATGATCCTGGGGTCCAGGGATTGAGTCCTGCATGAGGCTCCCAGCTCCACAGGGAGTCTGCTTCTCCCTCTGACCTTCTCCCCTCTCATGTTCTCTCTCACTCTCTCTTTCAAATAAATAAAGTCTTAAAAAAAAAAAAGAAATCAGGGTCTAGTGGAAAGCAAGAGAAAGAAGGGAAGCTGACATATGGAGCCTGACCCTGTGCTAAGCATCCCTCCATACTTAGTTGCCCTGAGCCATCTGAACACTGCCTACAGACCTGTGGAGAGGCTCTTGTATTGAAGAGGTTGCATGATGTCATAGATATAATCAGATGGCCTGGGGTCAAATCGTAGGTCTCGCCTTCTCCGTGCCTCAGTTTCCAATCTCTGTAAAACAGGTGACAATGGCACCTGCCTCACAGGTCTGTCCTGTGGTTTGATGTGAGGTTAGAGGGACTGTGCTCAGCACTACATGCCTGCACAGTAGATGCCACAATACTTCTTTTCATGTGTCGGGGTGGAAAATAAATTCACATTTCCAGACAAAAACCAGAGCCCTAAAGGAAAGAAGATAAACCTCAATTGTGACATTCTGCTTACATTCTTGCTTATAAATATCGTTATGGTAAATCAATGGTTGGCTCGCTACCTTCCGTATTGAAGATACTGAGGAATATCAAGATGTGTGAGGAACCAGTTTTATGAACTTGCGGAATGTGTCTTCCTTGTACGAATTTATTAATTGGTGAAGTTCATCACAGTTTTACTCTCTGGGGCAAAAATACCTTATTCCAAGGCTTGCATTAATTTGGGGCTTCCCCCCCCCCGGATTCGGAGGGAGATTGCAGAATATAGTATTGATCTGTCTATTGATAAATGCCATTGTGTTCCACAGCGCATGCATGGTGGAGAGAAACCCCCTTCTCCGCCCACTCATAAAGGGGAGACCATTTCCTGCTCCAAGTGTGGTCGCAGGAATCGCAGGGAAGCTTGCTTCTGTGACTGGTGTGGATCCAAGGTGGGTATTTTAAATCTGAGCTTCTTGGTGCCGAGGCCTCATCTCTCTAGAGAGAGCCAGGGTCCCCCTTTCCCCTTTGCAGAAATCACTTCTTGGGATTTGAGTACTAGCACCTATTTAGGTAAGAATCTGAAAACAGAGATAATTAATTCTCTAGAATTAAGAAAGCTCTGTTGTTGCTGTTTTGCCTTGCATTTCTTTGAGGTTAAACTCTTTCGATGATTTACTGACTCTTGGTATTTCTTCTTTTATGATTTATCTACTTACCTTTTTTTAAAAAATATTTTTAAACTTATTTTAGTAAAAGAGAGAGAGAGAGCACTCACTCAAATGTAGGGAGGGCAGAGGGAGAATCTTCAAGCAGACTCCCCATTGAGTGTGGAATCTGACATGGAGTTCGATCCCAAGACCCCAAGATCATGACCTGAGCTTAAACAAAGAGCCAGACGCTTAACCCACTGAGCCACCCAGGTGCCCCTTCCCTTTTTTTTTTTTTTTTTTAAGATTTTATTTATTTGACAGACAGAGATCACAAGTAGGCAGAGAGGCAGGCAGGCAGAGAGGGGGAAGCAGGCTCTCTGCTGAGCAGAGAGTCTGATGTGGGCAGAGGCTTTAACCCACTGAGCCACCCAGGCGCCCACCCCTTACCTTTTTAATGAAACACTCAAAGTCATTTCTTTGAATAAGTATTGCATATAAACAATAGAGCAGGTTTCATGTAAAGAGTTAATCTCCCTTCTCATCCCGGGCCCACAGAACCTATATCCCCAGAAGCCATCACAGTTACCTAGTGTGTGAGTGTTCTTTGAGCCATTCAGTGCATTAATAAGTAAACTAGTAGTTTCATACAGACACTAATTCTGTTCCTTTCAGCTAGCAATGTGCCTCGTTAGTAACCTCATTCTTTTCAGTGGCTCCATAATAGACCACCATCTGCATGTACCATGATGCATTTAGGCCATCCCCTCTTGCCAGTCATTTAGGTTGTTTCTAGTTACTTTGTCTAAAACCACAATCCTGCAGGGAATGGTCTTAAGTAAACTTCTTTGTGTACTTGCCCATCTGTAGGATAAGTTCTAGAAGGTGGACTTGCAGAGTCAGAGGTGTCGGCATATGTTATTTTGATGGCTGGGGATTGTATGGTATGACAATAATTTATGCGGAAAAATTAGGACTCTAATATTTATCAAAGTGTGGAAATATTTTCTGTCCTCTAGCCAGGCATCTCTGTTTGCTACTCTGTTTGCCCCAAATGTGGGGCCAGCAATCACCCATCTGCCCAATTCTGTGGTTCCTGTGGTATTTATGTGACATCCTTGGCAAGACTTAGCCTGGACAACAGCCTGGCCCTAGCCACTGGAGGACTTAGCCCTTTTCCTCAGGTGAGAGACCTCCACTGTAGGAAGCACTGGTACTGAGGGACAAGCTTAAGGCTCTGAATTTTTTCCTCTACCTTGTGGATCAACCTGGGGAACAAGAGTCTGAATTTTTTCCTCTACCTTGTGGATCAACCTGGGGAAGAAGAGCCAAAATATGTAGACCTTCATTTTGGATTTTCAACTAGATGTGTAAATAAATTCAATCAATTTAGGTTTTAAACACTCGAGTGATTTCAGAATTCAAAGATTTATTTGTAGAAGGTTGAGGTTTAATTGCATTTGCAAGACTACTAATATAAATAATGTAAATCAATACAATAGCATGAAAGAGAAGTGGATTTAAAGTGCATTTTTTTTAAGGATTTTATTTATTTGTTTGAGACAGAGAAAGAGAAGCACAAGTGGTGGGTTGGTTGGGGGAAGGGCAGAGGGAGAAGCAGACTCCCCACTGAACAGGGAGCCCAGCACTGGGCTCAATCCCAGGACCCTGAGATTATGACCTGAGTGGACTGCAGACACTTAACCGACTGAGCCACCCAGGCACTCTGAGTCAGACATACTCACCATGAATTTCATGTAGCATACCAGGAACTTTACTCCTGCTCTTTTATATTTTAGAAAACTTTCAGCAGATATATGAAATTACTTTTGCCATTTATAACAACAGTGTACAATTTAAGGAAAATCTTACAAGATTATCTTCAGAAAGACTTAATCTCTAACCAGCTTGGTGTTAACCTTTTATAAATTCCTCTAAGCTAAATAAAAGCTTTTCAGGTTTCTTTTTAGTTCTTCATTAGAAGAGTTTGAAGATTGATGATAGTTATTAGAGAGAATGCCCATGCATTCAGCAACTTTGCATCCCTTTTTAGGGAGTTCCTGGCCTTCATAACCCAGACTGAGACTTACAGATCCTGGGACTGCGAATAGCCCACATGGAATAGTCCCATATGCTAATGAGACAAAAGGGTTCTTTCCTCAAGAGACTTCACTGCGATCTTTTGGAAATTGATTGTAATATACTGATTTTGTTAGAAAGACATTTTCTTCCTTCTACCAGAAAAATTGTCCTAATAAATATTCAGACATATAATGCCCACCACGTGAATTGTATCCCTTTAGATGCAGTGAAGTTGTACAGTGCACAAACTACGTAACCTTACATGATGGTCCCCTCAAGACCCCACATCCAGATGCAGGAGTATTTCAGAGAAAATACTGATTACTAGTGGTTGGATGAGTAGTTAAGCCTATATTCTATTGGATTGTAGAACTGATAAATTAGATTTCTTTCAGGCCTCAGGCAGCAAAGCAGAGAATATCAGTTCGGTTGATTGGCTGACTCTGAGATAGTAAATGGCCAAACAGATGAGGCTCGCTATATGGATCAGGCTGGGAGTCGCCAGGAGAGACAGAAGCAAGGAAGGTGAGGCAAGGGCTGAAAACCTCTTTTTAGTTCGAAGTACAGTTTCTTGGAGATATTTTTACTTCTGATTAGAATTCTTTTCTATTAGTAATATGAAGAATTAATTCAAATATATTCTAATATTTTATGTTTCTGCCTTGCTCATAGTCCCGATCTGCCTGGCAGTCCCTAAATGTTCCTTTACCCAGACCTGATGCTGGGACTCGGAAGGATGTGGGCACACAGACCGCTGGCCTGTTCTACCCATCTGGCACGCTACTAGCCAAAAAGGAACAGGAAATGGCTTCTCAGAAGCAGAGGCAGAAGATGAGCGACCATAAACCTCTCCTCACAGCCATCAGCCCAGGAAGAGGTGAGGGAAAATGTACACCTTCTCATCAGTAAGGAACTCCCTCTTGGAAAGAAAATTGCCTTTTTTCTTCCTTTAGATTTATTTATATACTTAAGGAGTAAATTCCATTGTTTTTCTTTAGGTAATTTTCCCTTATAGCTCTTAAACTTTAAGGATTCTGATATTTTTATTTTTATTTTTTCCAATTTTTAAAAATATTTTATTTATTTATTTGATAGAGACACAGTGAGAGAGGGAACACAAGCAGAGGGAGTAGGAGAGGGAGAAACAGGCTCCCCGCAGAGCAGGAAGCCTGATGCGGGGCTCTATCCCAGTACTCTGGGATCATGACCTGAGCCGAATGCAGACACTTATCAAATGAGCCACCCAGGTACCCCTATTTTTTTTTCAATGTTTTAAAAAAGATTTTATTTATTTATTTGAGAGAGAGAGAGAGAAAGGTAGGGGGAGAGAGAGAGGAAGAGAGAATCCACGAGCAGACTCCCCACTGAGCATGGAGCCTGACATGGGGCTCAGTTCCAGGACCCTGAGATCATGACCAGAGCCCAAATCCAGAGCCATCTGAGCCATCCAGATGCCCCAGTAATCTGATGTTTTGACTCGTAGCTCCATTGTATAGTCTGTAAATCAAATAGCATGTATAGATGGCTATTATTTCAGTAGAAATTTTAGCCTGTGTCATTATTGCTATCTACCGTTATCTTTCTCTTTTTACCATTCTAAAATTCACATAACAAAATTCACTATTTTAGCCATTTTAAAGTGTAGAGTTCAGTGCTATTTAGTCCGTTAGGAGCAGTATAGAAGCATCACCACTCTGTTTGTCGAGAATGTTTTCATCGCCCCAAAAGTAGACCCAGTATTCATTTTGCAAACAATCCCCACATCTCCTCTCCCAGGTGCCTGGCAAGTACAAATCTACTTTCTGTTTTGATGGGTTTGCCTATTCTGGACATTTCCTATAAATGCATCTCTTGCCTGTACTTGAGAAACCAGAAATCCAAACTCATGCAAAAATCTTCCAAATGTTAAGTAGTGGTGATGTGTGGATTCAAATGTGTTTTCAACCCTATGCACATTGCAGAGGGGCACAAGGGAGCTCTCTGGAGCAATGGAAGTGTCCTTCATACTGATCGGGATCTATACACTCACTGAAACTCGAACTGTACACTTGAAAGTTATATCTCAATATGGTTAATTTGATTTATTTATTCTTAAAAATTTTTAGAGAGAGAGCATGACAGCACAGGGCAGGGGGACAGAGAGAGAGGGAGAAGCAGACTTTTTGCCGAGCAGAGAGCCTGATCAGGGACTTGATCCCAGGACCCTGAGATCATGACCTAAGCCGAAGGCAGATGCTTAACTGACTGAGCCACCCAGGTGCCCCTCAATATGATTAATTTTAAAAAGAATAAAAGAAAAAGACCCCATATGTGGCCATCAAAATATATTCTTTTGAGATTCTCTACTCTTCTATGATCAGTCATGTGTGAAAAATAAACCTGGGAGCAAAACTGGAACTTATTCTGTACCTAGTTGAGGTTCAGTAAGTGAAAACCATCACAAAGTTTGGCAAAGAAAAATAATCCGAGAATTCTTGTTGTACAGGAACATTTTTCTTTCTTGGCTTCAGAATAGTTATCCACAAGGATGGGTTTCTCTTTTTCTTTAGGATACTGGAGAAAACAGTTGGATCATATCTCTGCCCACCTCAGGTCTTATGCTCAGAACAACCCTGAATTCCGGGCCTTGATCGCAGAACCCAGAATGGGAAAGGTGGGTGAGCTCTGGATGGAATCTCCACTCCAGAGAGTCCCGTAGGATCAGGCTGCAGGTCCCCTCCACTGACGTCATCTGAGACTGCACTTTGCTTGGCTCTTTCCCCATTCCTGTCCTGCTTTCCACACTTCCATACGGTCCTCCCTTGCAAACACTGCCTTAGCAAATCACTTGCACACGAGCCTTGTCTCTGAGTCTGCTTCTGGGCACCTAAGATAGTAAATGGTGAACATTCTATGCTTTTAGATGCCACAAGCTATGGAGATTCTGGGGTTTAGAGCTAAAAAACCCAGAAGAGTTTAGTCTCGCCAAATTGTGCACTTAAATCCAGTCTATATTAGCAGCAATAGTAATCATAAGAATTGCAATTTCCCTACACACTCACTATGTGCATTGTGTTCGTCTGTCCCTAGTGCTCATAACAAACCTATAAGGTAGGAATATTACTTTGGCAGCAGTGTTTTGTTTTGTTTTGTTTTGTTTTTTTAAATGGCCACAGATTCATTGGTAGTCTTCCCTTCAAAGAGTGGAGTCACTGTCTTACCTCAAATGTGGGCAGGCTTGTGGTAGTTGGGCTTACAGAGTGGTGGCAGTGATGCTGTGGGACTTCCAAGGTGTGGTCTTGTGAGGCCACACTGCTTCCTCTCCTACTGGGCAGACTCCCTTCCAACACTCATTCTTGGAGCCCAGCCACCCTGCCGTGAGAAACCCAAGTCCCGTGGAGTGGTGACATGGAGGTGTACCCCTCTGCAGCCATAGCTGAACCCAGTCCTTGAGTCATCTTGGCTCAGGAGCCAGGCAGATGAGTGATGAGAGTCAAGGTCATTCCAGCCTCCAAACATGCAGCCACCTCTAGCCATTTGAGTTTTCCCAGCTGAGATGTCAGACGAATAGAGCAAAGACAGTCCCTGCTGTGCCCTGTTGGAAGCCATGAACTTCATAAAATGGTTGTTGTTTAGTGCCACTAAGTTTGAGGTGGTTTTTTTTACACTGTAGTATATAATCTGAACAAGCCTTATTTGACACTCAGGAAAATTGGCTCAGAGAAGTTTGGTGACCTGCCCAGGACTGCACTGATGGGTCTTGGGGGATTCAAGATTTGAAGCAGGTCTGTCTAGCATTATACCACAGAGCTCTGTGAGAAGACCTCTTCTGTTTGTATGACACTAGAAAGGAACCGTGGAAAATCAGCCTGTTTGATCTTCTGCCACCAAATAGGCCAACATTGAAGCTATTTATTGTCAAATATTGCTTGGTTTCCTTTGATAATCTATTTTGGTGGTTTATTCATTCTTTGGCCTAATCCAGGGGTCTGTAAACTATGGTGTGTGGGGCAAATCAGGCCTGCCACCCAGTTTTGTAAATCAAAATTTTTTAAGATTTTATTTATTTATTTGGCACAGAGAGAGCGAGCAAGAGAGAGAGAGAGCACAAGCAAGGCGAGAAGCAGGCTCCCCACTGAGCAAGGAGACCAATGTTGGGCTCAGTCCCAGGACCCTGGGTTCATGACCCAAGCCAAAGGCAGCCACTTAACCAACTGAGCCATTCAGGTGCACTGTAAATCAGGTTTTACTGGACCACAGCTCGTTCATTTACTTATTGTCCATAACTGCTTTTGTGCTGCAGTGGCAATGGCCATATAGCCCACAAAACCTAAAATATTTTCTGTCTTATCCTTAAAGCATTTGCTGACCCCTGTGTGGTTGGAATTCTTCCAGCTGCTTAACAGAGAAGGTTGCTCAACTATGATACTTGGCCCTTGATTGCCAAGGCCTGGCCCTTCAGGACACCCAGCTGATGATATCCAGCTAGGTGGATTGATTAGATGTAAAGTATGTCTCTTTAGAGAATATAAATTTGGGTCTTGCTTTCTTATCCAGTCTGGCAGTCTCTGCTCTTTGATGGGAACATTAATTTTGTTCATTTACAATTAATGGAATCGTAGCTGTGGCTGGATTTGTGTCTGTTACTTCGCTACTTATGCCCTGTTTTACTTAGCTTTTGTTTCTTTGTTTCTCTTTTCTTGTCTTCTTTTGAGTTTATTAAATATTTGATTAAATTTACAGTTTAACATTTCAGGATTTCTTGGCTATTGCTCAGGACATCAAGTCCCATGTGCGTGGTTGTGAATTCTCTCTAATGTTTTTTTAAAAGCTCATCTCTGCTACTGTCCATGAAGATGGCTATCAAGTTAGCATCCGGCTGAATTATATTCAAGTATCCAACAAGGTGAATAAAACCTTTCGAAGCTGTTCATTTGAAAATCGACCAAACCAGAAAATTGTAGCTTACACTATGGAAACACTTCTGTGTAATGCATAGAAGGCATAAATTCCAAATGTTATAAAACTTGACTAAAGGCCAGTAATTTCATAGAAATAGATAAGTAACTGCACCAAATCTCAGAGAAGCCAAGTTTTAGGCACATAAAGATGTAGTAAGAACAGAAATTATTACCCACTCTATCGGTCCTGTGGTTCTCAGGCTTATTTATACTCACTGAAGTCTGAGTATAGGTGGAAGGTGGACAGATATGTTTGCTGGTATGTACTTTCACCTATTTGCCTATAACAAATAAACCAAACTTTGTGGCTCTGCCTCCCTTGATCTACGCTCTTATGTCGTGACTGGAACTTTGCTACAGCACCCATAGTGTGTGACAAACACTGACTGATTCATACCAGTAGCTGTAGTTTCATTGGACAAGAAGTCAGAATATACAAAAGAATAAGGAATGGATTGAGAAGACTTGTAAAGAAGATAAAGAAAAGCATAGTGATCAGTATTTATCAGGCCCTGGCCATGTCCACAACAGGGGACTAGCAGTGTCTTTAAAATGAGGACAGACACCTGGGCTCTGCCTAATTCAGAGGCTGGGAGAATGCAGTCTATGGACACACACGAAAGTATTTTGAAGTCAAGCACTAAATGCAGTGTTTTCAGTTGTGTGGCTACAGAAGAGCTTGGGTCAGGAAGGTACTTGAAGAGAAGGGGAGTGAGGGACATGAGACAAGGCAAGGAAAGGGGCTGAGTGGTCTGAATAGAGTCCAGCTTCAACTTGATCCATGAGGAGCTCTAAATGTGACTTGCACCATGAAGTTGTCCCAGTTGATGCAAGAAAAGGAGAGATGTAACCTCTAGAGCAAGGCAGCACCCACCTGTAGAGGCAGCTGGCCAGCTGTGAGGTGTTAGCAGCTGAGAGGGATATGCTAAACAGTTTGGGGAACCGGGTGGGCACCAAGAGCATCTTCAACACGCAGTCTATCAGGTAGAAGTGGAATCATTATCCCCAGGTTTAATATGTTTTTTTCTTAGCCTGTGTGTTCTGTTCAGGCAGTAGCAGGTGGTGCCCTGTGGCAGGAGAGGCATCCACATGAGGGTGGGGCAGGATGCCAGGCTCTGGAATCCATCCAGGTGGATACAGAATTCCAGGTCTGGACTGTGATCATCTCTCCTAATTTTATAGACCTTCATTTTACCTGTTTGACTTTCACAGCATCCCTTTGAGGTAGGCCATGATATTTTCACTTTACAGGTGAAGAAACTGAAGTACACAGAAATTTAACCACCTTTGTCCAAGGTCCCTAAGCTAATAAGTGATAGAGCCAAGATTCAAACTCTGTAGCCTGAGCTTTCCCATCTTGCCACCCAAATTCTAAGACACAGAGGGGTTTGAAGCAGGGGAGCACCATCACTTATAAATTGTAGAAGTTTCGCTGGGGCAGAATGAGTGCTATCAGGAGCCAGTTGGGAATCCCTTGCAGGGATCTTGGTGTGTGAAGAAGGGGCTGTGGCTATAATGACAGAAAGGAGGGGCCAGGCTGAGGAGCCATTTAAGAGACAGAAGAGGCAAAACATCACAGTGAGGGGATGTCCAGTTCCGGGGTTGGCAATATGTGTAGCTAGAGTGGTCATTAATGAAGAGCGGAACAGGTTAGCAGGGAGAGAGCATCATCAATCACGGTGTCTATGTTTTTTCTGTTGCCCAGAACCTTTACCTCAGCAAGGCAGTGGATTTCAGCAACCACTTTCTGAGCAGTGTCACCGAGGGTGGTGATGGGCCATTTGGCAGCAGGTCCAGCTTGGGTGAGTTGTACCCTGCCAGTAATTTTAAAACAGTCAACCAGGAACACACTGACCTGGCAAGAAGGGCAGGGAATTGCTTAAAATTTGCCAGTCCAACCACACATCTTCCTTTAGTGTTCCAGCCATTTTATTCTTTTGGCTTCTCTGAAGTTAGGAGTGAGATTTTTTAAATCTTTCATAGGGCTTGGGGAGATAAGTTGTGTGTGAGATAAGTTAAAAAACTGTACTCTCCTTTTCTCCCCTCCTTCTCATTCATCCTCTGGTCCTGGCCTGAGATGAGTGGCTCCAGGAGTCCTTCTTGTGAGGTTCAATAAAATAGACATTTCTATACAAGCCGTTTTATATTTCTGACCTCTTGAGGGGCGTGATAGTAGCATAGATCTTTGTATGTGGGGAGTGGCGGGGGGTATCGTTTTAGTCCTTGACTCTGTCATTTCAGTGAGTGACTACAGTCAGAGCACCTCAGATACCACTGAAAAAGTCAAGAGGACAAAGAATTTCAAGACCAAAAAATTTCAAGAAAAGGAGCCGCTCACAGTATGTGTACTCCTTTGTCCTTATAGCTGTCTTCTTAGGCCTGTCTATTGAATGTTTTACTTTGAGATATTTTATTTTATTTTATCTTATTTATTTTACTCGATTCCATTCCATTCTATTTATTTTTTAAAGTAGGCTCCACACCCAACATGGGGCTTGAACTCATGGGCCTGTAATCAGGAGTTGCATGCTCTACTGACTGAGCCAGCCAGATAGCCCTACTTTGAGATTTTTTTACATTGAAGAATACCTTTAATTTTCTGTTCCTTTTTAGAAGTGTATTTTTATTTGTGGAATCCTTTAAAGTATGTCAATATTATTAATTAGAATTATTTTAAAGTTCTTATTAGTTTCTGGAATCACCTCTGTTTCCTCTGGGGTCAGTTCTGTCTGTCCATCTTTCTCCATCTTATTTTTGGTTGGTCTCAAATATGTGATGATCCCTGGTTGCTAGGGCACATTGACAAGTGAAGGGCCAGTTTGAGTAGCACCAGTGTCTGCCATGGGTGTGTGGCATGGATGTTTCGGCCTCAGGTCTCTGTGAGGGTGGATGGGCATGCTGTGGGGAAGGCCTCCCTGAAGGGTGTTTGGTCGGAGGGCAGGAAAAAGCATTGGGATCCCCTAAGCTGCCTTTCCTCTGGAAGTAAGGATGGTGCTATGAAGGGCTCTAGCATATTTCATTCCTGGATGGAACTACCTTTCCTTCCTTAACTCTACTTCCCATGTCTGTCACAGAGATCTGGGTTCTGCCCTTCTTGGACCCAGTATTCCCGGTAGAAGACTTTGTTAGGCAAATCATGAATTCTCTGGAAAAAAGTTACCAGTCTTTAAGCAGAGAGCACAGGAGAGAGAGGAAGGCACCACTCATCTCAGCCACTCAAAGCAAAGCCCTTCCATAGAATCCAGCCTGCACCCAACATCAGCCCTCCTTATTGATTAACTCAGCTTCTGCAGGGCGCCCTGGAGGGAACAGACTCTATCTCTGGCATCTTCAGCTTGTTTTTTTTGCTTTGTTTTCCATCTCAGCCAAATTCCAGCTACTTCCAATCTTTGGAATTCCTCACAATTCCTGATCCACTGATGGCACCCTTCCAGAGCTTCCCACGGCTGTTAGAGTTTTGTTTTTCCAAAATATAGACCATAAACACTTTTGGGTGCCTGGGTGGCTCAGTGGGTTGAGCCGCTGCCTTCGGCTCAGATCATGATCTCAGGGTCCTGGGATCGAGTCCCACATCGGGCTCTCTGCTCAGCAGGGAGCCTGCTTCCCTTCCTCTCTCTCTGCCTGCCTCTCTGCCTGCTTGTGATCTCTGTCTGTCAAATAAATAAATAAAATCTTTAAAAAAAAATATATAGACCATAAACACTTTTTTTTTTTTTAAGATTTTATTTATTTATTTATTTGACAGAGAGAGATCACAAGCAGGCAGAGAGGCAGGCAGAGAGAGAGGAGGAAGCAGGCTCCCCGCCGAGCAGAGAGCCCGATGCGGGGCTCGATCCCAGGACCCTGAGATCATGACCTGAGCCGAAGGCAGCGGCCCAACCCACTGAGCCACCCAGGCGCCCCAACAGTTTTTTTTTTTTTTTTAAACTTTAACAGTTTTGGAGACCACCCCCACTTACTCTGTATGTGACCCAAATCCCCCATTGCTATATGCCTTTATTTTCTCATTTGTATTTAAGGGATAAGTATCAGACAAATAATAACAGTGTCCAGTGGTTCACTCATTCGGTGGTTATTCAGAGCACACATATACCAGGCACAGCTCTCAGTGGTGAAAATAAATCATGAACAAAAGCTATAAAAGTCTCAGACCTCTTGAGGGCAACATTCTAGTACATTCTAGTAGAAGTTTCCATAAGGAATGGAATTCAGTAAGAACAAGTGCCCCCCAAGACTCCCTAGGTGTTCACTTATTAGAATACCTTGTACCGTTGTGTAACTAGCCTAGAGTAGGGGGCAGAAGGGACACAGCCTGAACCTGGGATCTTCTTCTGTAAAGCTTAGAGGCCTTGACCAATGTCCTCATCCTGATGGCTCCTCAGAGAGCCAGGAGAGGGTAGATATATGATTTCTACTTTGTAGACAGGAAAATGAGAGTCCCGGGATCACCCCAAGTCGCCCTCAGATCCAGTGGTAGAAACCTACTGAAAGTAATGTCTCCAGCCTTCTAGATGGCCTCTTCAGCCTTGTAACAACCAGCACCTGCAATCCTTTATATATAAAGAAAAATTGCAAATAAAGGGGAATTCCATCACATTTTGAAAATAAAGCATATAATAAATTCTTCGGATTTCTGATGTTAGGTGAGACCTTCCCCCCCCACCAAATAAGAGTCGGCTTTATGAGTTCACTCATGCCTCAGCTGAGCATATTTTCTGAATAGTCATACTTAGGCTGATTCAGAACACTTTATAAAAACATGCAGAGGAAATATTAGGATTCATCTGGTTACTTTTCCTAGGAATATTTATTTCCTTTGTAATTACACTAGTGCTGGAGAGCTTTCTCATTGCATCCCTATCCTTAGTAAAGATAAAACAATGCCAATGTGGCGTCCTTCCTCGAGACTATGTTTCAGAGGACAGCAAGATTTTCTTTCTTCCTTTTTTTATTAAACATTTTTTTAAAGATTTTAAGTATTTATATTTGATAGAGAGAGGCAGCGAGAGAGGGAATACAAACAGGAGGAGGGCAGAGGGAGAAGCAGGCTTCCCCCCGAGCAGGGAGCCCTATGTGGGGCTTGATCCGTGGACCCTGGGATCATGACTTGAGCCAAAGGCAGATGCTCAACGACTGAGCCACCCAGGTGCCCTGAGACCAGCCAGATTTTCATTAGCTAGGTTTATTTGTGCTGCTGGTGTCGGAGACAACACACACACACAGTCACACACACACATGAGCACATGCACACACATGCTCACACTCACCTGTTCCTGGAGCTCAGAACTTAACCTTGGAGAAGTGTTTGCCTGGCAGGTTGAGCTGGGGCAAGGGGGACCCTACTGTTTTATGATGGTGGAAATGACCTTGTGTAACCCTACAGCCTGAAAACCGTCTCCTGCTGAAGGAAGTTGGACCGACAGGGGAAGGGAGAGTCTCTGTAGTTGAACAGCTACTTGAGGAGGTCAGTCCAACTCAAAGACCAAGTCTCTCTGAGGATTTCAGCCTCACGTCTCACCTCTGTCTCTTTTGGATGCAAGTCTTGTTTGGTATTGTGAGAACCATGGGCCACTTCATTTCAGACCACCTGGAAGTGGACTAAACAGCCAGTCAAGAACTTTTACATTAATTATTACTGATTACTAGTTTTTATAGCAAAGAAGAACGTCATATTCAGCCCAAAGGTGGACTGAATCCCTGGTCTGTGTCCCCATGTGACCTTCATGTTTCCAAAAGAAGCGAGGTTCGGGGATGCCTGCCCCTCCTGATTGGGGGGAGCAGAAGTTTTATCGCCCAAGTTAAGGCAGTTAGGTCTTGGGTGTCCTGATTCTCTTCTCTTCTGATTTAAAGCAGTTTAGTTCCTCCAAGCATGTGTGTTACACTTCACAGGACGGCAGCTGGATGCTGCCTAGAGCGGGGTTTTGTGGCCAGTCTGTCCTTTTCCTTATGCCTCAGGGAGCAGATCCCAACTGCAGGGATGGCGAAGAGCAACCCGTGATAACCAAGGCCGTTGTGAACAAGCACCATGAAGTGATTCCAGTCCTTGTGCAGAGAGGAGCAGACACGGAGCAGCGCTGGGGCCCGTAAGTAAGACGCAGTCACAGGAGAGTCCTGGCCCGTGTGGCGGTCAGCAGCTGCCCCGGGGCCCTGCCCCAGCAGCGTCCGTCCACATGCGTGCCCTGCTCGGCTGGAACCCCTTGGGATCCATCTTAACCCATCTGGGCCTTAAGCAGTGGCTTAACTGCCTCTCTCTTCCAAATCTGGGCAAAATAAAAACTTTTAATTGGACTGTTGGATTGCCAAATTTTTTGTAGCTTCTATAAATGATGATACATTTTGCTAGCTCGCAAGTTTACACTGAGGGGGCCGGCAAATTCTTCACCCTTGGGATGTTAAGCAACATTATTTTCATCATGATCTGAACTATTGAGATCGTTCAGAGGAGAACGGGCCCAGTGTAGTCCCTATAGAAACGTAGCCATGAAGTTACTACACAAAGGAAACTTCATCCGAGTTCACTATGTGGTTTGTGCCTTGGTTTCCCCAGCTGGGAAGCGGGACAGACAGACACCAAGTCCTGTTGGGGGCTTTTGTCACTTCCCTAGTCTTGAGCGCGCCCTACTTCTTGGCCTTTCCCAGCCTTGGGATTCTGTTGTTCTCTCCAATTACTTTGGAAACATGGGGTGGACAGTTCCTTGAGGACGGGTTCCACATGTTAACTGCTCATAGCCTGCCAACCAGGCTGCCAGGCTGGGAGTCCTCTAGGGGTTCCTGCGACCATCTGACACTGCGACCCCCTGGCCAATGACTGAGACCAGATCAAGGCCCACCAAGGACTCAGAATGCTGAGTATGCGAAGCCAGCACATGGAGATGAAGTTAGAGAGCTTTGCTTCTGTTTTCCTCTGTCTCAACATTTCCTCCAGGGTTTTTTTTTTTTTTTTTTTCCTCCAGGATTTTTTTTTTTTCCCTCCAGGGTTTTTATTCAAAATATATGCCTGTTAATTTTTCTGTGCATGCTTTTATGTTTTGGCCCAGTAAAACAGCTATGGGAGGTAGACACAACCCCCTTTTTAGTTTATTTTAGAGCAGAACATTTGACACATTTGGTGGATGTATTTGGTGGCTGGAATTTACTTGCTCACCTTTTCCTAGGGTTCTCATTCTTTGTACTCTGTCAGCTTCTTCATTTATCCCACACTTGGGTTATCATTATTCATAAAAATAATGCCACCTTGTTTGGCACTGAGGTGTACTTTGTATTTGTACAATTCAGACAAGCTTTTCTTAGGGCACTTATGTATAATGCCCATGGTTGATACAAAATCTCTTGAACAGATTTTGAACTGATGCTTACATCTGATGAGTCCCAGCCTTATGAGAAGTCCAGCTGAAAGGAGGAAACTGCTCTGGACATGGAACAGAGTTCCCATTTTTCCTTGGTGTTCTTCAGTGCCCTTTCTTACCTCCTTACTATTCTATAAATTGACATTTACCTACACGTGATCTAACTCTACGGTTGTACCATGTGTCTAAACGGCAGGTAATAGCCCGTTGTCACTCCCACTGTGTTAGCATGGTTAGCAGAATCTAGCTCACGTGGAGGGGGAGGGAGGAAAGCCAGACCAGAGCTCTCCCTCAAAGTAGCGCACAGAGATTCTTCTTCTACTTTAGTTTTTGCCACTAGGAGATAGCAGATTTTTCCACTGAGAGCCGGCTCTGCTAAGTCTGCTTTCTATTAGTTTGAAGTGTTTAGACCTGGGTCTGCCTTGCCTTTATCCTTTGGCTAGACCTCTGTAGATCCAGTAACATGACCTCAAGGCTCCATCCATCCTACTGCTCTTCAGGCGCAATCCATCCAGAGATCTGGCTTTCCTATAAAAGAGGTTCAGTGAATTGTTCCTTAGCAAACAAGGATTAAACAACTCTTCCTCCCCCCACTCCCAGCTTGTTTGACTAGTAGAGAGAAGCAGCCTAGGCAGTCTCTACACCAGGTAACTTCTGTTCAGTGGCTTGACAGGTAGCAGAAAGCCCCTCCCAGTGTTTCTGTTTCCAGCGTTTGTCTCTTTGCTACCAGAATACACTCATATCCAACCCAAGGAGATGGCTAAGGAGAGGTGCACATCCTCCATCAAAGCTGATTTCTCGGGGTGCCTGGGTGGCTCAGTTTTTAAGTGTCTGCCTTCAGCCCAGGTCCTGATCCCAAGGTCCTGGGATTGAGCCTCGCATCGGGCTCCCAGCTTGGCGGGAAGCCTGCTTCTCCCTCTCCTGCTCCCCCTGCTTGTGTTCCCTCTCTCACTGTGTCTCTGTCAGATAAATAAATAAAATCTTTAAAAAAAGAAAAAAGCTGATTCCTCTTAATAGCAGATTTCAGGAACACAGATTCAAGGTCTCGTGAGGAAAGGGTCAAAGAGAAGCACCATTTGCCTTTGGACAACAGCTAACACCCCTTCACTGGCAATTTCAGACGTTCTGGCTCTTAGTTCTGCCCTAGTAGCTGGGAGGGGCAGATGTAACCATTAGTCTGCTTCTTAGAGGTTCAACTGTGGAGAGTTATTCTATTAGGTAATTCCTGATTTACAAAGAGAGAAGGTACCTTCATCCACCATGATACTTAGATTTGAGTAAACCGTTTGAGTAGTTTGTGCATCCATAGTAGAGTTTCTTTAAAATGCAAAGTCACAGAATACCATGGTTGTACCTGCTGTACAAAACATGTTCTAGAAGGTCTGGTGATATAACACCAAGCTGCTCAGAGCAACAGATTCACAAGTATCACCTCTGCTCTGAACAGAAGAAGGTGTCCCCTCTAGTGTCCTTGCCTTGTTCGAGTCATGTCATTTGATGACCAGTGTACAAAGTTAGAGTCGGCAGTCACAATTCATTACTTCCCCAGACTGAACTGTGGTTACACAGAAAAGCCAGCCACGGCGCCCCGCGCCCCCACTCCCCGAGCTGGGAAATAGAACATGCGCTCGGCTCTCAGTTTCGGGGGAGTTATGAAGGAAGATCACGTGTCCGCTCAGGAGAGGTGGCAAGCCCGTAAATACGTGTAAGTTCCAGTGGTATATGCCTAAGCAAGACCCAGGGAATGTGAGGGCTGAAGTAACAAGCAGTTGTGCTACCAGGGAGAAAGGAAAGACGAAAGGTAAGGAAGGGTTGGCGTCATTAGTGTGACTCTATCGGCGTGCCCACAGTGTCCTGCATTACAACTACTTTAGCAGGATGATTTTCTTCCCCCAAAACAGGCTCCAAAACACAGCTCTTCATGAAGCTACTCTGCTTGGCCTGGCAGGAAGGGAGTGCGTCGCTGCTTTACTGCGGTATGCTCTCGGCCTCTGGGGGAGACTTCTGAGGGCCCCTTGCTGACCTGTGATGATTTCAGAAGGCCCTAGTTCCAGAGCAGTTAACCCTGTGAATAGGGGCTACCATCCCACCGTGGATCCCCAGCACTGAAGGCTCTGAAAACACAATGAAAATGTTGTTCCCCCCATCAAACATACTTGGTTGTGGGACTTAGATGCAATGGGAGCCAATGGGGCAGGATTGGCAATTGAATGTGTTGAAATCACAGAGCCCCTCCAAAGATCTCAGGGTAGAGTTGCCTTGGGGCCTTTTGGGGACGGGTTTAGGAAGGTGGGGCCAGGAGGCTCCCAGACTGGCCTCTGTGTCAGGGATGAGCCAGGCCTCCAGGTTTAAGTGCCTGAGTCCTTCTGTTCATGCCCATTCCCTTGGCAGGTGCAATGCAAGCATCCAAAAGAAGAACGTGAATGGCCAGACGCCGTATGACCTGGCTGTGCAGGCTGGGGATGATGTCATCACCTCGCTCTTTGCTGCAAAGCTCAGCCTGGACGACTCATAGACCCACGGGCCTACAGAGGACCTAATTGCAAGAAACCACCCAGTTCTGGCTGTTCTTTGTTTCTTTCTGAGATGTGTATTTGCAGTTTGAGAATTGAGATGGAAAGGAACTCATAAGACTTTTTTAAATTTTTTAATACAACACTGTAAGCCACCATGCAGGCATTTCCCAATATGCTGTCGATGGTGACGAACTTAATGTATGTCTTTTTTTTTTAAGGGTTTGTTGCTGCTTATTTTAGAATTTTCTTTTAAATTTATTTTTCAGGAGGTGTCTAGGTGGCACAGTCAGTTGAGTGGCTGACTCTTGGTTTTGGCTTAGGTTGTGATCTCAGGGTTCTGAGATCAAGCCCCATGTCGGGCTCCACGCTCGGCACAGAGTCTGCTCAAAAGATTCTCTCTCTTCCTCTGCCCTCTCCCTGCACTTGTGCAAGCACGCGCGCGCTCTCTCTCTCAAATAAATAAATCCTTAAAAAATTTTTAAAAATTTATTTTTCAGTAGATAATAATTGCACATGGTTCAAAGCTAAAAAGTATGAAGTGTTATGTAGTAAAAACTCTGCCATCCCTGTCCCACAACCACCCACATCCCCTCGTCAGAGGCACCACTGATACCAGTGTCATCTGTGTCTTTCCAGATATAGCACAGGATTATATAAGCACATGTATATAATATATGCATCTGTACAGAGAGGGTATACCTAAAATACGAATATAGATAACAGATACAGTCCTTGCCCTCTTTAAGACACGTACTAACGAACCACACACTCTTCCGATGTGTTGCATCTTGTTCTCTTCTTTAATATATCTCGTAGGTGGTTCCAACTTAGTACATAAAGATTAAGTTTATTTTAAAAATGTTGCTTCTGGTGTTGAGCTCATCAATATTCCTATTGTTACCGTTTGTTCTTTGGTTGGCAAACAAGCCCCGAATCAGCCATCTGCAGGAATGTGTAATTTTGACTTATGTCTTTTTTCAGATTGTTATTTCAGTCCTCGGGTGATAACGCTGCAATCGTGGTGTCCCTAAATAGTTTCTGTTAAAGCGTGTTGATGGAATATTTATTAATTCTGAGTGATTAATTCGGCACAATAAATACCGGCTTCTTTGAGTAGACTGCTGTCATCACTACCTGCACACCTTCCCCGAGTGGGTGACTGTCTGCGGGAGGACCGGAGCAGGGTTGCTGAAAGCCAAGCCCCCACGCGGGGTTGGGTGGCACTTGGCCGTCTGTGTCGGGCTGCTGCAAGGTAACCAGGGTCCCGAGAGACCCATGGAGTGGGTCAGGGGCAGTTTGCATTGTATCAGCTCAGCTGGTA